GGAATCTAAAGGAAGTATTCCCTTCTGTCTATCTATCTATCTACCTACCTACCTACCTGGATAGTATCGCTTGAACTACAGACGGTATAGATGAAGATGTCACAGTTAGGATCAGAAAAGTAATAGAGGCTTTAATTATTCTAGCATCGGTGCGAAAATTTTCTGCACTCGACACGAAGAACAAGATTCAGCTTTTGGACACTAATGTCAAGTTAGTTATGGCTTCTTTACTTTTCAAAGAATTGGCCCTAGCGTCAAGGAAAGCATTTTCAACAGGCTACAAACTTACATCAAATCTGTCTATGCTCCCTGCTAAAGATCAGATTTCCAGAAAGGATAAGTAAGAAAGGGCTCTGCCAAAGAACCTAATCCTCAACAAGCATGCAGAAGAAATCAGAGATGGATTGAACACAAGCTAAGGAGATCGGTGATTGACAACATGTACGAGGTAAGCCGATTGTGCAACAAATAGGCAGGATGAAATGGAGATGGATTGGCCATACTCTGAGAAAATAAGCCATCAAGTGACATCACTAGACAAGCCATTACTCGAATGGAACCCGACAGAATGGGAAGCGGCGAGTTGGTCGTCACTGCGAGGGTGACTTTGAGGAGGTCATGTGAAGAGGAGATGAAAGCATGTGGGCAGACTTGGAGCCAGGTGAAAACTCCAGCAGAGAACCGAACGCAATGGAGACGCGCGGCTGAAGCCCTATATTCGTCTAGGAATTAAAGGAAATAATAATAATATGAGGTAAGCACCTTGAGTAAAATACCTGAGTAGGAAACGACGAGTCGGATGTGGGTGCGACGGTGACATGGAAGATATCGTATGAGGAGATGATGACAGTTCATAGACAATCTTGAAGCCAACTAATCAGGACTGCAGAAAACAGGATAACATGGTGATTTTCTGATGAAGCAGTATGTTCCACTCGGAACTTTAGGGAATAACGATAGTTATAATATATGGAAACAACATTTCCCCATATATATATATATATAACAGCGTGATCAGTGTTCGCATCCTAATGAAGGCATCCAGCTCAGAGGAGACAACAATAACAGCGTCAACAACAAAGGAGGCGCATCTCAGCAATAGGTCTTCTCTAACCTTTTAAGCGACTAGTCTGTTATATGCATCCAAACCAAGTTCACTTTTAACAGTTTGAAAAAATTTGTGCATTGAGTATATGATATTCATTATAATAAAGAGGCTTTTTTCGTATTTCCCAATGAATGAAAAAGAGCAAAATGATATTGTTGTTTTTACTGACGCTTCGCCATTTAATGCTGCTGCAACTACTAGCTTTATCAAAGTAGTATTGTTAAACCAGAATTTACAAAATCCACTCAGCTTATATATAACAACTTAATAGGAATGCTGATGGACTAAAACAGTATTTAACCTGGTTACAACAATCCCCTCCCCCATGAAATGACAAAATCAACACGGATGTGATAAGCAAGTTTATTATGTAAACACACGCTGCTTTTTGTATAATTTTAGTAAATTATCAAATCTTCAAGTGTTGGTTTTGTAGGGATTTGGTTTGATTGTATGGAGGATTTAATCATGAGCTGACATCAGTTAGAGAACCACTGGAAAACCTGGGAGTACTGGACAGCTGTTTCGTCCTAGTTTGGGACTCCTCAGCAGTACGCACCCACCGGGGTTTGAACCCAGGACCTTCTGGTTACAAGGCGAGCTCGTAGACCATTGAGCCACTGGGACCCATACCAGCAGGGTACAGCAGGTCGAAGATGAGGCAGTAACTCATCGAAGAAGACATTGCGGAGTGGTCGCGCTATGTCGTGAATTGGCAGAAGTTAGAATTCAAGAACCATTAGATGGGGTCCCAGTGGCTCAATAGTCTACGAGCTCGCCTTGTAACCAGAAAGTCCTGGGTTCAAACCCCGGTGGGTGCGTACTGCTGAGGAGTCGCAAACTAGGACGAAACAGCTGTCCAGTACTCCCAGGTTTTCCAGTGGTTCTCTAACTGATGTCAGCTTATGATTAAATCCTCCATACAATTATCAAAATCCAAAAATCTACACAGCTGGTTTTGTTATCTTTACCAATTGGACAATTTGACAAGGTGAAAAATGACCCCATGCTGAGGAATGATGATAAAGTTGTTATATATAAGCTGAGTGGATTTTGTAAATCTCAGTTTAATAATACTTTAATGAAGGTATTAGCATTAAATAGCCAAACATCAGTAAAAACAACGACAATATCGTTTTAATATATATCTGTAAAACTTGGGCACTGTAGTAGTACGTAATTCCATATTAGTTTGTCTATTAGATGTATCACACAGTGAGTGAAACAGTATTATTTACTGAATGACGTTTCAAACAAAATTTATTGTTCATAATCATGCCATCAATTATAGTTTTCTTTGTTCTCTCCTATTTGTCGTTGGGGTAGTAAAATTTTCAGTGAATAATACTGTTTCACTGTGTGTGATACGTTTGATAAAGAAACTAATATGGTTTATCGTTTTGTTTCTCATTCACTGGGAAATACAAGAAAACACTTTATTATAAAGAAGACTAGTCTGTTCCTCAAATATCGAATGATTTTTAGTATAGACGGATGAATAAATTAAAGCACATACTGGTGACTAACTATCTCTGATCAAAAAAGCGAAACTCACTCGACTCACTCGTCTTTACAGCTTTAGACACGTCAAATATTTATTGTTTTGAAGGTGATGAACGTATGATTTAGATAACAGTTACAAATACATAAATACCAGTGCTAAAGTGTGTCATGTGACGTGAAAGGTAAGACAAACTAACTGAATTAAGGGTTTGCAAACTTGAATATGCATATGAAAACCACATGACTCTTGGTGACTGATTGTCTGCTAGACAAATGCTAAGAGGAACACATAAGCTGTAGGCTGCTAAATAACCTGTCAGACAACGTTTAATGCCTATACGTTTAATGCCTAAGATGAATTTTTCAGTCATCACGTGAGTCTTCATGTGACTATATGTGTCACTATATACTGAAGAATGATTATGGTGATGTACACAAAATAATTGATCAAAGAATATTCTTTTCGATAATTACCTCTTCTGGTTATACAATTATATGTAAATATATGTTTATGTACATAGAATATTCTAGAATTGTAGCCAATATCACTGTTGGTGTTTTTTAAATAATATCGATTTGTAAAGTAAGATCACAATGGAATTACAGTTCATTAAAGATGCATGAATTATAATAAGAGGCATAAAAATAGAATATCAAATAGAATATCAACTAAAATTAAGGAAATTTCAACAAAAATTGAGGGTCATTCGAACCTAGATAGCCGAGGTAAGGACAATATCTGAACTAGCTTCTTTTTGGACGCATAAATTGGGCTTCTTGATGTGGATCCCAACGGCCTCAGCAATATTTAGTAATCGAACTCATAAGGCCAAGTTAAGATTTGTTGATATGCGTTAAATGACTTTGAAAGCTGCCTCGTTAAAATCATCAGTCTTGTGTTCTGTATCCACAAGATGAGATAGCATAGCGCTATGTGAATGGATTTTGTCTGTCCCATACTTAACCAACCACACAGGGTGATGTTCGGAAATCTGACGAGAAACACGCCTAATTGTACTGCCTATGTACCGCATACCAACAAATCTTAACTTTGTCTTAAGAGTTCGTTTACTGAATATTGCTGAGGCTGTTAGAATTGTAAGGTATTTTGTAAGTTATATTATTTTGTCTGTTTGGGTCAACCTTCAGGGTTCTTTAACCTACAGAACTTGTCCCTGAATAAGTTTTTAGGTTTAAATGCCACCTTAATCTCTGCTTTATTAGAAATCGTATGTAGGGTCACAGATGTCTCCTTCTTATAAGGTAAAACTGTAGATGCCTTATTTTCCTTCTTATTTATGTATCATTATTAGTCCCGCCATTATCTGTATTTTGCTTTTGACACTCCCTGCAGATTTGCGTCGGTGGCGCAGCGGTTAGGATACCCGCCGACTGTACTTGTGGTCCGGGGTTCGATCCCCGGCCGGCGCACTCCTTTACCTCACTCAGCTAGATGTAGAGCTGGTGAAGAGGAAAGGTTGGGTATGGGGCTAGCAACCCCATCCTGTGAAATTAAACACTGCTACAGAAACTTCAAGCCACTAGCCTGAAGCCCTATGTTCCGCTGGGAACGTGAAGGAAAAATTATTATAAAAAAAAAAGAATTTTATAGGATAAATTTAACACCAACGCCTCTTCTATCTGTTTCATTTCATCGTTTAGGTTTTAATGGTGTACTACTTAGTGCCACTGCTCATTTTGTTAGACACCTAACTAAGCGTTCCTTTACAGATCACGGATGATATGAAATAAAGTCTAAATATCTATTAGAAAACTCAGCAACTGCACTGCACTGCACTGCATGCATTAACATACAACCACACAGTAGGGTGGGACAGAGTCGACATTCTAAAAAGTAATATAGTTAGGTGGAGGGAGAGAGAGGTTGATTACTGAATCCTTGTTCATCAAGTGAATCTACACCCAGCATGTGCAATAGGAATGACTCATCATTCATACCGGAAATATGGAGAATACTACTACCAATCAAATCAAGCGATGAAAAATAATGATGGTGATGTGTGAGTAGTGCCCTGATATCATTATGAGCAGTAATAAGCTGTCCTCGAAACGTGGTCATCAGTAAATATTACTGTATAACACTGTGAGACTTTATCAGAATTAACTCCATCTTTCCAAGACGTAACCTGAAACTTACCAGGCATCCGAGTTAATATTAAAACTATTCATTCAGCATATTTTATTCGTGATTAACAATATTATTTGCCAGGTTTCACTAACTCGCCCACTAAGCGTTTCAAGGCCATTGGTGTGGAATTGCACCCCACTGGTAATTACTGGTGTTTATAGTTTAACTAGGCCGTTTTTTCTCTCAAGTGATTATTATTATTATAACTAATATTATTGTTGTGAAAACTATAAAACTTACATTCTTTTTCCTGAGTTTACCATCTCCAGTACGTAAACTTTCTAGTGCCAATTGATCAGCATAACTTACACTGGGTATAATTTGTGATTTCATTAACTCATTGAATGGTGATAGTGTCAACTGTCGTCCACCAGGTGGTGTAGCCAACTCTAACCCTTGTAGTTTACTGGTGATTAATCCAGTTAAACCACGACGTTCTGTAAATCTTGGATATAATGGGCCACCGCATGTACCAATCTGGATTCCATAGGGATTATCTCTGCTTACTAATTCACTAGTAAAGTCGACAAGGCTAAAAAAAAACAAACAAATGGAATTGAAACAATGGAAGATAAAAAATTAATCAAATGAACGTTGGTGAAGGATATACTACTTTTCATTGGTAAGTAGTATAACAAGTAGCATTAGTTCATTTTTAGCACTGATGTCAAGATGATGACTCGTCGTTGGATGGGTAATTAATCCTAATTGAAACTCGCTAGCTGGGTATACCTGCACTCCCATGGAGTGATGGTGTTCTGATTGAGACTCAAACGCTTCGCACATTATTTCAAAAGTCAAAGTACTGTCCACTAAATCCTCGTGATATATCTGCCTGACGAGTTGTAAATAAGACAGAATGCACATCCCAGGTTCATCCGTTAGTCAACACCAACCAAAATAACTTTGGTAGACCACCCAGGAAATGAAGATAGACTGAACATACTCTGAGAAGACCGTTGTTTGACACCACATACCAGGTAGTCAAGTGGAATCCTTAAGAGACACCATAAGTTAGGGGAGAGTTCAAGGGTGACACCCAGGAGATCATGTGTGATGGAGACGAGGGATTGTGGGCTTAGAAGAGGTAATTGAAAATGAACTGAGGATTGTATATAATACCTTGATTGAAAATAGCTATTCCGACAAATATGTTAGGAAACACATGATCAAGAAAGTGGTAAAGAACTATTATAATTACTAACAAGTTAAGAAAATATATTAAAAGAATTTTTAATGCTGGTAAACTCCACGTCTTATTCTCTACACGACCGATGGTGATTCCATGATTGAAAGATGAAGTATCTGGAGTAGACTAGCCACTTCTCATTGTATCTACCAATTCAACTGCGCTTGTTGTGGAGCGAGTTATATTGGCCGTTGTTCCAGGAACTTGATTTTTCGTGCTCATTCGGGAGTATCTCCCATTATGGCTAAGTAAAGGTGTAGTGAAAACCACTAAGACAGTTTGATATTAGACCACCTAGTCCAAACCAAACGGCCACAAAGCCAGCTAGCATTGCAGAATCCTTCTCTGTCATCTACTAGGTACCGAATAAATTGCCAAAAAGAACCAGGTACCGCATACTCCAAACAGTAGAGGCTATTGCGATTCGCTTGAAACAACTAGTGCTTTGTTTGCAAAAGAAGCAAGTCCAGGCAGCCGCCCCTACTGCCCTGGTCGGCCTTCAGTGGAGACTATAAATTCATGAATTTGTATTATTATTTTCCCTAATTTCTCTGACATTCAGCTTGTTGTTTCCCTTAGTTCCTGAAGGAACATAGGGCTTCAGCCGCACGTCTCCATCGCGTTCGATTCTCTGACAACTTTTTTACCCGGCTCCATGTCTGCCCACGCGCTTTCGTCTCCTCTTCACATGACCTCCTCCTTGTCAGACCCGACCTCACAATAACGGCCAACTCGCAGCTTCTCATGCAGGTTCCACTTGAGAGCCTGTCATGTGATGTCACTTGATGGTTTGTTTTCTCATAGTATGGCCTCCAATCCACCTCCATTTCTTCCTGCATATTTGTTACACAATCGGTTTCTGGTTGGTTCGCTCCCAGAGATACCTGTTGCTAATCTTTTCTGGCCATCCGATCTTCAGCGAAGTACTAAGCAAAGACAGCTAATAATTTAGGTGTGTAGTTTGTTCGAAGTGCTCTTCATGACACGCCAAGTCTCTTATCCTTAAAGTAGCACTGACTGACTTCATACTGGAGTTGAAAATCCAGATCTTATTTTCTCATACTGAGTGGTACTGTTGACCTCCAGTTTATTGTTATGTTGATCCTATTGAACTGTAATCCATTGATAGCATTATTTTTACCATTGATTCGATGTTATTTAAGCAACAGTAATGTTGTTCATAACACTAATTCACTTATTCACTATTATAGATGTATATAACTGTAGAACTTGATGATGAAGTTATCGAAAATCTGAATATTCTTTGTTCAGTAACCATTGTTGCAGCCATCTTAAAAAAAAACCCTGCAGAGAACAGAGTTCAATGCAGATGTTCCAATCAGAACCCGGGGTATTAATAACAATACTAATAACTGAACGATTGTTTGGCCCTAGTTTAGAACCCCTCAGCGGGGTAAACCGACTACCTAATGACTGATAGGACTGAGAACCTTCAGCCAGCCAGCCAGCCAGACTAGACAAGACGAGACGAGGTGAGAAAGTATAGTTATGTAGGAAAAAAAGTAGTTTCTTTTCAACTTACTGTCTACCAATTATTAAATGATGTATCGTTATTGGGTAATCGGGTTTTAATTGTGGTCCAATGTATATTTGTCGTATAGTCCTCACATCTGGTTGTCTTGGTATACTCCATGATTGAACAATACGTTGATCAAATAGTACAGTTAGTTGTTCCGTATCCGGTGAACCAAAATACAATGTGATGACCACTTCGATTTCAGCTTGTTTTGATTTAAATTGACGTGTTTGCTTTGGTTGATGTAACAGGGGAGGGATTATTGTAGTAGTTGATTTTGATTGTGCAGATGATATTTGTTTATTTAAAATATTCCATACTGGTAGAACTGATGTTTTATTCAAGTATTCGGTTAATTCTAAATTCAACAGATTTGTATACGGATCATTTAAGGCGCGTGAAGTCAATGATGTTCGTGTGTAAAGGCGTTTGGTAACACCAGGTAATACAATGCCTAAACGATGATCTTCTGTAAGGAATATACGAATCCATTCAGCATGACCCTAAATGTGAAAGAGGTGGGAAAGAAAATATTACATGACATAATTAATTAAAAATAAGGGGTGTATAGCTAGTAGGGTTTATAATGATTGATCACTGAGGTATAGCCTAGTGTCATCTGTTTAGATGTGAATAGTACTGACTAAATTCTGTGAGAACAGTTTTAAATGTAGTCAGCAATTTCAGTTATTTGTATTTTGGTGAATCTTTGAGTAGTTATCCACAATTACCCCAACTGCAGATACCAAATTTTGATGTTGCTGTGCACTTTCAGCAAGCTGGATGGTTAACTTGCGAAGCTTTCATTGCCCTACTAGGCAACATTTTAACCGCGTACTTCAATTTGAATTGAAGTGAGCTTTTAGATTTCTCCACGAATTTATTAGTCATCTCTCCTGGTAGGTGACTTTGAACCTGACTGTTTGGCTGTTTTTGTGTGTTTTTTACACCCTCTAGGTTACTTGTATTGGCATTAGTGTTGATTGTTCCCTTGATCTGAAGTCTGACCCTTTGTGTGTATGAGATTTCCGTCTTATCGGTTAGTAAATTTTGTCTATCTCTATGTGTCTATTGATTGACAATTCATTGGAATACCAGGCAGCTTTCTAAAAATTCTCTAGTATTCTCGGTGTTTCCTGTGTCTAATATTTGAACCTTGTCCCAATCGAATTGATGTCTGTGGTTGTCTGTATGCAGCGATATGAGAAGATAAAACCGACATCGTCTACAAAACAAATTATAACAAGTGCGAAAAACACTACATTGGCCAAAGTTGACCTCCCCTTCGTCTTCTGAATCCTTCTAAATGTCAAACTGTTAATTTCAGCTTAAGATGTGAAAGAAAGTTAAAAGAAGTCGTTAATTCTCATGACAGTTGTGAGATTGCCGACAATGATATAGGAATTAAATCAGAAATTAAGTATCTTGGACTTATTCTCTCTTCTGATCTCTCTCTCCTGGTCCTCCCATGTCTTAGCGATCTCCAGTAAAATGTTCCGCCTGACATTTTACATTAAGAAGTTAAGGCACTCGGGCATAACTCAGCCTCTTCTTTTACAGTTCATAAAGTTTTGCATCCTACCTATTCTTCTTTATTGTTCACCCTTATTCTTTCCTGGTTTGCTTAAAAAAGACAATGTCACAATTCGTAGAATGCTGAAGACTGTCAGTAGGGTGGGTGGTGTCCCAGTGGACCACGTAGTTAACGTCGTTGTCGATAAGCACTTGACTTCGTGCAATAAATGTACTAGAGGGATTTTGTCTGACTTGGAGCATCTACTTTACCCTCAACTTTCACCTTGCATCTCCTCAAGTAGAACAAGAAGTAACTTCAGAAAACTGAATGCTCGCACATCTAAGTATAGAAATTCAATGATACCATACTTGGCACATATTTTATGTGTTGAAAATAGTGTCAGGCAAGAATTAACTAACTTTTTTTCATCTAGTAAATAAACAATTTCCTCCATCCATCCTTATATACCTTCAAGTTTTACTTTTATTATTTCTATTATATTTATGGTCCTGTTACTTCTTTGTTTTACTCTCATAACTGCAAACACCAACTTATCTCTATGACTGCTGTAATCTTTGTTTTTCCCCTCACCATATCATGTAAGGAGAACATTATATTGAATATTTTTAAACATGCTAGGATTTCTATACGGCATCGACAATACTGTGTGAAACAAGCCCACGGCTATTTTCACTTGTATTACTGTTATTATTATCACCTTAGCTGTTATCATTATTATTATTATTTCCATTTTATATGCTGCATGTTTCTGACATTACCCCTATTGTAAGTGTGGAAGATTTTTTGTGTGATTTATTTTATTTATAATTTGAGGAAATTAGATGCAATATTGTGATTAATGCTGAAAACTCTATTCTGTATCAAAAGTACTGTTTTTGGAATAAAGTAAATTATTATTATTATTATTATTATTATTATTATTCATATCCATGAACATAGACTAGCCGTCAAAAGACATGACATCCACTCACTCATATCTCTGCATACAGACCACCACAGACATCAATTCGATTGGGACAACGTTCAAATATTAGACACAGGAAACACCAAAAATGCTGGAGAATTTTTAGAAGGCTGCCTGGTATTCCAATGAATCGTCAGTCAATAGACACATCGACATAGACAGAATTTACCAATCAATAAGAAGGAAATCTCACACACACACACAAAGGGCAAAGCTTCAGATCAAGGGAACAATCAACACTAATGCCAATACAAGTAACCTAGAGGGTGTAAAAAACACACAAAAACAGCCAAACAGTCAGGTTCAAAGTCACCTACCAGGAGAGATGACTAATAAATTCGTGGAGAAATCTAAAAGCTCACTTCAATTCAAATTGAAGTATGCGGTTAAAATGTTGCCTAGTAGGGCAATGAAAGCTTCGCAAGTTAACCATCCAGCTAGCTCAGAGAACACAACCACATCAAAACCATGCACCTGAGCCACAAATCTTGTCAATCATATACCGAATTACATGAATGTGCGCAAGCGCATAGATCTGTTGAATAGAAAGCAGGATTTCTGAACGTTTATCTGAGCATATTCTCTGAAAATTTTGTTTAGAAGGTGAAAAACTTCTCAACAGTGTAACTGCTCGCCACTTGTTAGATAGCAGTCATGAGAGTGATGCATTAAAATCCTTTAAGATAATTAAAGTTCAAAATATTTCCAGGATTACTGAAGCAGTTGGCATTATATGATTAAAACCAAATTCAATGTTCCTCTGGGTTCCAAACGGAACGTAGGGTTTCAACAGCACATCTCTACTTTCTTCTATTTTCTGCTGACCTCTTCATCTGGATGGCTACAGGATTGCTCATAACCTCTCATCTTCTCCCCCTCCTCGAACGATCTCCTCCATGTTACCCTCACACTCACGACCTAGTCGTCGCTTCCCGTTGACGTTCCACTCGAGTGATGGCCTTTCTGGATTCCAGTGTTAGACAGAAACTGAATACATCAACCTGATAGCACTGCACTTCATTTTGTGAGTTTATTGCTTTTGATAATCCGCCAGTCTCTATTCTTCACTGTTCTTAGTAATGTCATTTACCTCTAAGATATTATGCTTAGTCTGTAAAATGGGACAACCTTACGGATGTACATAACTGATGACGATAACGATAGGTTTATCTTTAGTTGTATGAAAGCATAGAGTCAAACCCGTGGAGGGTGAAAAGACGGGCAGACAGTAGATTGACGAAATTAATCTAGAATACCTGAATTTGATGTCATTGAAAGTATTTCCAACAGGCTGGTGCAATGGCATGTGTCAGGTGATCCACAATGGAAAACTCAGCGAGGCGTTCGAAGTGTATACAAGAGTAAGATAAGGCTGCCCACTGCTATCACCGATGATATTCTTAGTTGTAGTGGACTATATTATATGTCAGGCTGTCAGGAGTGAGGAGTCAGGAAAACTCTAGACGATCGATAGGGAGACTCTAGAAGATTTGGATATCGCGCGTGCATGATTTATGTCTAATGTCACACAAACTCGGAGACTTACAGGCGAAAACCAAAAAATTGACTGAAGAGGCTAAAAGCGAAGACGGGACTCCAAGTGAAAACAAAGAAAACGAAGGTGATGGGGATAAACAATCAACAGCAATAACAGCCAGCACCAGTCACCATCAAACGGGAGAGATTTAACAGAGGTTGCTATCTTCACTTATCTGAAAAGCATCGTTTCACCTTCAGGCGGCGGGACGGACGAAGATGTTAAAGTCGAAATTGGAAAGGCAGGATACGCCTTCATCAACCCTAAACCCGTTTGGAAATCTTCCGCACTCAGCTAGCATAAGGAACAAGATTAGGATTTTCGACACCAATGTCAAGTCGGTTCTTCTATACGAGTCAGAAACTTGACCAGCGTGTCACGAAAAGCATTACCAACAGTCTGTCGCAGACTTTCATCAACAGCTGCCTTCGCTGGCTGGCTCCATACTGAAGACCAAATGGCCGGTCAGAAAGAATTATCAACAAGAAACTCAGAAGTGAAACAAACCAACAGGCGGGAGTCGATCACTCAACAAATATGTAGGAGAAATTGGAAATGGATCGGTCGGGCATACATTGAGGAGGCCAGGCCATTGTTCGAGTGGAATCCGAATGAGAGGCGACGAGTGGATCGTCTCTGCGAGGGTGACATGGAGGAGACCGTGTGGCGAGGAGGAGATGGGAGATTCTAGGCAATCGTGGGGCCAGGCAGCTGAAGAGGGCAGCAGAAAATAGAACAAAGTGGAGATGTATTGTTGAATCACTATGTTCCACTCACAACCTAAGGGAACAATAATGATAATAATACTGAAGGCTTTCATCAACACATGCTCCCCGTCCCCTCACTTTCCCTCGATACTGAAAATGACATGGAAAGACAGGATAAAAAAACAAGGAACTCTGAGTGCGAATCAGTGAAGTAACCGTCGGTCAGGAAATATGCAAAGGGAAATGGAGATGAAGTGGACACCCCTCTGTGGAGACATTCAAGTGACACCACATTCCAGTTAGGGTGGTTTTGAGTAGAATCTGAAAGAGAACTGACGAGTTGGGTTTCCAAGGATGACAAGGCGTAACTAATATAAGTTGGAGGCCAAAGTTTGTGCAACAAGTTAGGATTGATTGCAGAGAACAGAGTTCAGTGGAGATGTACTTACTGCTGAGAAACATTTTTTTTGCGCTCGAAGCTCAAAATATGAATAGTCTTAATCATAATAGCAATAATAATGTGTGCAAGATGAGTTCAACACTTACAGGTTGTATAATTAATAGGTCCATATCACCAGAACGTGTTTCTAGAGGATTAAATCGTATTGTCATACTTATACCCGGTTCAAATGGTGAATAATTACGTGGTTCTTTTAATTCTGGTGCCATATACATACTGTGTGGTGTTAATTGTAGACAATATTGATATTTTGGACTTGCATCCTCCTATAAGTAAATGAAGAATAAGTTAAACATGAAAAAGGATGAAACAAGTTGAATGTGAACTGTGCAAAAGTTAATGAAAGCCATTTTCATTATAATTCATTACTTGGATAGACTATTATGGTGTAGTCTTAACTACTTATAGTCAGATGTAAGTAGTACCTATGAACTGAACGTATAATCTGGTGATGCAATCATTGATGAACTGGAGAGTGTCAGACAAGTCCTGACTGGACATGGATATCTTACAAGATTCATCGAGAAAATCCTGAAGGAATCCAAAGGGTGCTGAAGACATGAATGTTGAACTGAAAGAGAATACTGCTGCTTTGAGTCTGAAAAACAACCTGTTCAGACCGTTGAGAAAAGCTTTCTTTTCGTCACAGTCAGTAAATGATCTGTGGGTGTGTGTGAAGTACAAACTGCCTCTTTGGATCACTTCAGTGTGTGTTTATAAGTTCAATTACCTTTGTAGACCGAGTTAAACTAGCCTCATATTTTCTAAACTCACCTATGTTGATTATTCTACATGGTTATCAAGAAGACAACTACTAGAAGACAATTACTAGCTCATCTCTCGAGGATCTGGTGACCACATACTATGCAGTTCCACTATAATTATCTTTTGAAACTGTCTACATGGTAAGGCCGATTGATCCAAGGGGTTTGGTATTCTAGCATTTGTGTATGACGAGGGCAATGGCGATTTGTCCCTACAACTCCAAACTGAATTTACTAAAGTTTTATTTCACCTTCGCACTTTTCGCATGGATACTCAATCACCTTGCTTCTCATCTAACAGCAGTTCTCATCTTGTCAAATTTTACACTCTGAATTCCATTGTGTCGTTGACAATTACGTAATTTTATCTTTTGAGGAGTCACGCCAATTATGTCATACACCCTCAGTCAAACGGCCAAGCGGAACATTTTGTCAACACTTTGAAGAAAGCTTTACTCAAAGCAGACGGAGATGGGACACCATTTGACATCATCCCAAAATTCTTGATGGTGTACCGTACAACGGAGAATGAGTCAACACAGAACAAGAAATCGCCGGCAGAAATTCTTTACAGACGCAAACTTAGAACGATTCACAACTCAATGTTACCACCGACACCCAAACGTGCCGACGCATCATTTCGGAATGAAAAAAAAAATTTGATGTTGGTGACCCTATCTATGTCCGCGACTATCGAGCAGGACATAAACCTTGGAATAAAGGTTCCATCGCAGCACGACGTGGTCGAGTTATGTACGACGTGAAAGTTGGTAATGATTTATGGACCCGTCACTACAATCAGTTGCCTCCAAGAAACTCAAATATCCCTACCAGTACACAGTCATCCTTACCTCTGGATATTCTCTTGGATACTTTTAACTTACCTACGACTGACAAAACAGAAAAGCAAAAGTGCGCATCTCAGACAACACCAGACAAAGCAGAAGCCGCAAACTCAACAAGCAGACGAAGCAACAGACGTCGACAACAAACTGAACGGTTTCAGATAAACCCCAAGAAAGCACGCTATTAATCATCAATCTTCTCAAAAGGGGAGGTGATATGTATCCACATAATATGTGTGTTTGTTTTTGACAGTCTGTTATATTTTGATGTATATATGGATCGATATTCCATTATAATTGACAATATGTTTTTGTCCGTCCACTAACTAACAAACATGTCTGACCTTGTTGTCATATGACATTACAACCAATCATGTTAAGACTGTCTATTGATTGGTTCATTTTTGAACATTCGCTCATACACTTGTGTGACATTGATTTTCCTTGTTTGAAAAATACAAGTATCATCGTAAACCTGGTGGTTTTCTGATTTCCACCTTCTTGCGTCAGGACTATTAATTACTCGACCAGCACATAACACTAATCCACAATCATATTTCGGCTCTAACTATTTTTTCGTTTTGTCTATTCACTATGTATACTCTTCTTCTATTACATCAACTGTTTCTATTATTATTATTGTCACTTTGAATTGTCCCTGGTATTACTTCACGTGTCCCACTTGTCATTCTAAATCAATTTTCTTTAGCGATGTTAAATTGTACTTACTTACTTACTTTACTTCGGCTATCTCCTACGGGAGGATGAGCCGGCTTCATGAACGTCTCGAATCATCGCTGCCCAGGCGCGGCAATTTGTAAGAGAGTTCATGAAGTTTCATGGGAATTTGGTACGAGTGATGTCCCCAGCATCGCTCGGCCTTTTGTTTGAGAGTGCAGCTCTAGCCTTTACACAGCCAAGTGTGACCTACAAGGCAGTAGGAGTGGAGTAAGGAGTCCACTATCCATTGGCAGCCGGTGACCGGAGTTCGGTTCATACGCCTTTTTGAATGGGGCCAGACATCCAGGACATCCAATAAGCCCTTTGTCCATACGTCTGCCGGTGAGCTCCAGTGAGCTTCATACGCCAGTCGTTGGAGGTTTGGAATCAGGGTTTAGCCATCTCCCCTAGACCGTCATCCAATGGACAATCAACCCGGTGGAGAGCGCCGGGCATCCGCTTTCGCCCTCTCACTTTGGTGAGAAACACCTCCGCCACGTGAAGGCAGTGAGTAGGACTTCCTCAGGAGAGGCTATGTAAGACGCCCGGTCATATGGGAGCATTTCAAGAGGTGTGCGGAGGGTTGGCCAACCCGCAGCGCAAGGCACCCACCCCCGACCATCCTGAGGCTTTGTACACCCTTTTTCAAGTTCTATCCGTCCTATGAATTATTCTATGTATATGACATTAATTGTTTTGCCATTTGACACTTAACAATGATTATAATCACAAACATTTTAGTTTTAGTTGCATTTCATACTACTATTATTATTATTATTTCGTGTATTCACTCACACCCATGATTCAATTCCCTCATTGGATATAATTTCTTAAATAATAAACCCACGTATATACGATTGTACAGTTTGATAATATATTAGTTGTTGAAAACAGTCACTTCTCTGTATCACTTGTTTTGACTTTCTATATGTTACAATGAGAATTTTTCATGAATTAGGAAATAATAAATAATGGAGAAATATTCCTTTTTATAACAAATACACACACACACTCAGACACTTACAATGACTCGAATCTCTCCAAGCTGTCGTGAGTCCGTGAATTGTGTATCACCGAATTGACTGACAGTACTAATTGCATATTCAGCAAGATATAGTTCACCTGATTGACTCGGTTTACCATTTGTAAAACCAATTCGGCCAGCAAATGGTGTCAGTGAAAATCCAAGTCTAGGAGGATACGCGGAGAGGAAACAAACGACAAGAATATAAAAGTGAGAATTATCAGAATGTATGTTTCAAGTATTCTTTCTGATATATATGTCCAAATCAAGTTCGCTTTTAAGAGTTTGAAAAAATTTCAGCGTTGGGTATATGATATTCATTATAATAAAGGCTGTTTTTGTACTTTCCAATGAATGAAAAACAAAACGATATTGCTGCTTTTACTGACACTTCGCTATTTAATGCTGCTGCTAATAGTTGTATCAAAGTGGTATTATTAAACCGGAATTTACAAAATCCACTCAGCATATTTATAACAAAGAGTTAAGGGGTGAGAAAATAGACAAGTTACGTCAAGTTAAAAGGACATATTGAAAGTCAAAATAACAGTGAAGATCACTAAACCAAATATCAAAGGTAATACTACATTTGTTATGATATCAAAACAAAGTTTACTAACTTGATCATCGTTCGTTAGTATGGGGTCATTTTTCGCTGTCAAGTTGGTCAACTGGTACAGTTAGCAAAACCAAGTGTAGATTGCTGGATGTGATCAGTGTGTAAAATTATAAAAGTAGTGTATGTTTGTTTGCTTATCATATTCGTGTTGATTTTGTCACTTCATGGGGGAGGGAGGTGTTTTAACCAGGTCAAATTCTGTTTTAGTCCATCATCATTCCTATTCAGTTCAGACAATTTGAATTCCACTTGACATGAAGTGCTTCTGACGAAATGAGACGTCTTTTGTGATTTCTGAAATTCTGTTTATGGATTATTTCAATATTGTCAAAATCAATACTGTGGCCTGATTTTATAGCGCTTAGACCTCTGGCTGATGATTTTTCCGACTTTTCTAGTTCAACTGGATTTCTCGGTGGTCGAACAGATGTTCTACGGTGTTCATTTCTTCTGATTTTGAATTCGCGAGATGTTTGTCCGATGTATATCGCATCACATTCCAAGTATTTTAATTTGTGGACACAATCAGATTGAGAATCCTTAGGGATTTGGTCTTTTATATGGACAAGGTTGCTTTGAAGTGTATCTGATGTTTTGAAGAAAACTCTAATGTCGAGTTGATTGAGTACTATTCTGATATTGTCTGAAGTCTGTGATCTATATGGAATAACAACTGTTGAGGTCTATGTTTTCGGAATACGTTTTAGACCGTACCTAATGTCCGTGTTGATTTTGTTGATGAAGTTCGTTGTATGTTGTTATATATATGTTGAAATTTTGTAAATTCTGGTTTAATAATACTACTGCTTTGATAAAGCTATTAGCAGCAGCATTAAATAGCGAAACGTCAGTAAAAGCAGCAATATCGTTTTGTATTTCATTCATTGGGAAATACAAGAAAACATTTATTATTCTTTCTGAGAAGCAGTAACTTTTTATCATATTCAAGTAATTGAAATGTAATCAACTAAGTTTATGCTTTCCGACAAATTCTTCATCAGGTTCCACATTAATATAGTAATAATAATAAAGGAAATACTCTTATTAACAGTATTAATCTTGATTAAGACATTTAGAGGACAAATTTCGCGAGATGATTGCATCATTTCGTAGTTTTCTTTTTTACAATTAAATCGCTTTACAACTAACATGGTTAACAGATATGGAGTGGACAATATCTTCATATGACCAGTTTTGCTACTATCCACTATGAACGTTTCCTAGTGAAATGTTTGTTCTCAAGGTCCGGCGAAATATGTACGACTGACAGACACATTAATTGATGAGCTTCGATATACACAGTCAGTTTTATTAGTTTATAGTTATCCAGAAAACTTTATCAATTGTCATAGTAAGGATAGACCACATCTAGAAAAGACAGCTTCTGTACCAAAGAAAGCTATATTTATTCACCTACCATTCAAGGGTGACCAGATTATGCAGTTGACAGCTCAAAGACTTTGGTTAGCCATCAAACGCACATTCTACGCCGCATCTCTTTTTCTCACTTGCCGAACATTTTCGATCCCTGTACTTACGATTAAGGGACGAAATTCTATGGACTCTACTTCAAATTGTATCTATAGCCTAAACTGTGTGTACAAAAACAGCAGACTTCAGTCCTCACCTGCCATGTACTTTTATTTAGTATAAAACTGAGTAATTGTCATGCATTTTATTTTATTATTATTGTGAACCATGTTATTTGTAAAGCGGTTGTAAAGAAACTACGAAATAAAGATATCATCTCACGGAATTTGTCTTCTAAATGCCCTTAATCAAATTATTATCAAACCGACTAACTGTTTTAACATTAATTTTGTTTTTTTCATCACATTGAATCAAACGACAGTATCGATAGTCTGCTAACATTTCAAAAGCACCAGCAAGCGATTGTATGAACATTAATATAGCTGAAATTATTCAGACCACAGTTTGTTTTCCGGTTGATAGCATAAATATCAGTCAAGAAGGCAAACAAATTTGCATATAACTATATACTACTGATAACCAGGGATGAGTAGATGTCAACCAATCATATGAACGAGTTGATTTCCTTAGTTTCTTGCCAACTTCTCAGTGTGCAGCCCTTTGAATGAATAAATTATTGATCTTAGTGGAAGATATCGATATGAATTAACACTTGATAAGCAAGTTCTAGTTTAAAACTCTTCAGTAGTTCAAATTTCGCGGCTAGTGAAGGATCAATTTCCGGCAGTTATGATATCATTCACCAACTAGTTTAGAAAACAAAGACATAGATAAATCCCAAATTTCGTCTGTTGGTAATCCATTATCACTTTTATCATCTCTAATATATAGTCGGTGAGTATTTGTCGTCACTTTAAGTATAATTGACTTCACTGAGAGCTTGCAAAAGCATCGGTAGTTTAGTGACAAATTCCTAGCCTACGGACTCACTCTTAAGTCTCTCTCAGGTGGTAGTAAGCGGAAACAAGACGGAAAGTTGGGCATCAGTCTGGTAACGCCACACAGTAAAATGCATTGCAGAATGCCTTCAGATATCCATATTTCATTGACCGATTTGTCAGCTATACTCACCTGAAATGGGTGTACTTACGTCATCATGGTGTTTTGTAATACTTGCCCCAATGTATTGGTTTGGACTTAAATTAGGAATTCATCAAGAATCGATATCAGTCTGTAAACCGCTGAAAACAGGGGGGGGAACTAGACAGCTGTTTCGTCTCTGTTTCACCGTAAGATGATAGAAGTTAAAACTGATGGGTGACTGAGTTCCATATGGCTGAATAGTGCTGTGGTCGCGTGGTAACTGACAGATTCACAGTTAGAACTCTAGTGGGGTTATGTCTATACATTGTTGGAGAGCCCCAAACTGGTGTGGAACAGCCATTCAGTACGGTTTGTGACGAAAACAATGATCCGTAATTTATTTTAGTTAATTAATTAATTTAGTAATCAGTCATTGGGTTAATAACACTTACTTTTGCATTCTTTTACGCATTTGATAATGACCCGGTGGTACAGCGCCAAAGAATAGCACCATATCGTCATTACAGTCAGGTTTCATAAAATTATCCAGCCTTAATATTCTTGTGATTGGATCTATAAGATTCAGGTTTAACCGTCGTCTGTCTTCATCTAAACCATGAAGTGATTGACGTCGCCAACGTGCCTTATAATTGAATAATTTAAATCGACGTCGTCTAGTTATCTCAACACTTTCTCTTTGCATACTCTCCTCAAGGCGATACAGTTCACGGCCTTGCCAATAAATGGCTTCTGGACGACCATTGACTAGTTCAATTGTTATTCCATAATCCTGTGAAAATTATCAAAACAAATTGAACAATGATGATTAAGTTAAGCATAGGACGATACGTATTTGTTGATAGATGCGATTTAATGGCCAGCGGAGAAATTAAAGAAAGTGCATGTCGTTCTATTTGCACCTCATCAATCGGATATACTTGTTCTCCATTGACTGACCGTATTCCGACTTGAACTGGAACTCTGTGTCTACGTCTTCAAACACTGAAGCACTATCTACCAGATTACTGTGCCACTAACGCTATCCTATTAGCTGCGGGCATAGTTTTTATGTGATATCCCGTTGATATATCACTACTGTATTGTTCCGTCTCATTTTTAGTAATATAGACCAACTGAACGGATAACTCAGTGTTCCGAGGACTCATAATTCGAAATTACTTGCTTAGAGGGGCCTAATAATAAGATCCAGTACGTATGTCTTGTCAGACAGATGTATGTGCTCCCTGGTGAGTGATGCTGTTAACTTAGATAGTCATAAACAGTCAGTCAGCAATCACTTACAAACACACGAATAAACATCAACTGAGAGACAAACAACTTCTCACGGGCATATCACTTGGATTATGCTAACGTTGTGTGTCGGTGGTTCAGTGGTTAGGACTCTCGCCGACCATGCACATGGTCCGGGGTACGATCCCGCGCCGACGCACGTCTGATACCATTGGTCGGCCTTCAAAATTTGGGTTACCAATATCACATACTGGAAATTTCAAACTTGTACCAAAAATACGGCGTGGAATGAAGCCATAATCAGAATTAAAAAATAAATATTTGAAGTAGTCATTTGCAGTGTACATCAGTCGATCGTCTGTTAGAGTGGCGGTATTGATCGCTCTACTGAAAATTAGGATTATGTACAAGTGGAAGTGATGTAAGTCATGGACTAGTGTACACTGATGTCTGTAGACTGATTGACTGAGTGTGTGTGTTTGGGCTTTCCTCTGTCAAGATGATGTGTCAAGTGTGCACCTAAATGTATACCAGCGTGTGTCTGGTTGATTGTGTGGTGTGAAATGCCAAGAGTAATTATTATTATTATTATATCCTTTAGTTCCTAGAGCAACATAGGGCTCAAGCTGCGCATCTCCATTGCCTTCGGTTTTCTGCCAACTTTTTCACTCCGCTCCAAGTCTGCCCACATGCTTTCATCTCCTCCTCGCATGACCTCCTCCAAGTCACCCTTGCACTGACGACCAACTAGCCGATTCCTATTCTGTCGGGTTCCACTCGAGCAATGGCTTGTCTAGTGATGTCGCTTGATGGTTTCCTCGGGGTGTGGCCAATCCATCTCCATTTCTTCTTACTTATTTGTTTCACAATCGGTTCCTGGTTGGTTTGCTCCCAGAGATCCCTGTCGCTGATCTTTTCTGGACATCTGATCTTGAGTATTGAGCGAAGATAACTGTTGATGAAGGTCTGAAGTTTGTTTGATATGCTCCTTATGACTCGCCAAGTCTCTGATCCGTATAGAAGCACAGATTTTACATTGAAGTTGAAAATCCGGACCTTATTTTTGATGCTGAGTGCTGTTGACTTCCATACAGACTTAAGAGTAATGAAAGCCTGCCTTGCTTTTCCGATTCTGGCTTTGATATCCTCGTCAGTTCCGTCCGCCTGTAGTTGAAACGATGCTTCCCAGGTAGGTGGGTTGGTAAAGGAGGTTGTTTCTTTCAGGTTCCTCTCATTTACGCTGGCTGATTGTTGTCTGTTGTTGTTGCTGTTGGTGTTGGCCAGGAAACTTCATCACCTGTGTTTTATCTATGTTCACCTGAAGTCCTATCTTCTCTGGATGCTTCTTCTGCCAACTTGTTGCTTTTCACTTGGATATCTTCCAGTTTATGAGAAATCAGACATATATATCATCGGCGAAGTCCAGATCCTCCACGTTTCTTGTGTGAGTCCATTTTATGCCTGTTTCCTCATTGCCCGCTGTTTGTCGCATTATCCAATCTACTGCAATGAGGAAAATCATTGATGATAGTAGACAGCGTTGTCAAGAATAATGACTGACGTTAATTTGATTTTGAGTTTGTTGTAATTACTGTTGTATTTATATTACTGATATTAGTGACAGTTGGTGTGTGTGTGTGTGTGTGTGTGTGTGTGTGTGCGTGTTTAAAAGCTGTGTGTTGAAGTAATATTTTCAGGAGAGTTTGTTAATCAGTGATCATACAACGTTGAAAACACTGGTTCTAGTATAGCTACCAGAGTCATATAAATTTGGGTCACTTTAGTACCTTCACCAGTTCCCAGGTTGAGAATACTGGGTGTAATCGGTTTTCGATACCACATATAGTGACTCACTACCGTCCACGCACTAATTGACAAAATCACACGCATCCTCAGCCCCACTGGTGGGTGCTCCTACTAACCCACATACAAGAATAAACAAACAACAGAAAAAATTTAGCCAATCAGTATTAAAGTTGTATGAAACGTTGAATACGTCCTTTACAATCCCAAGAGAGGTGATATTTACGATGTTGAAGGTCTAAAGATGTTTGGTGTGTTCTACTGCAGTGGCCTCCATGTTAACGGATGTAAGATGGGTGAAGCTTAATGATATTTAATAATGAGACGAATCAAAAATCAACATAATATGAAACATATTTATGCAATGTTATCTTTTCTGCGATTAAACTAAACCAGATATTCAGGCTTCATTGGTGTTAAATTCAGATGCTCGCCAGTAACATCAAAAATGGTCCTGGTTCAATTCTCGACCAACAGACACCTAAATATCACTTAACTGGTAGTAATCTTATGAAACAGAGAATGCTGGCCATGAGACCAGAAACCTCACTCCCGAAAAGGAACATCCCAAATACTGAAACTTCAAGTCTTAAGCTTAAAGCTCTGTGTTCCACTCGGAAGGCAAAGGAATGAGTGAATAAATGCAAACGTTCACATTTCATCATTATTACAATAAGAAAAATATAACCCATGTGAAAATAAAAGATCACTGAACAGATGTTATGTCCTGTTACATAATTGATAGACATCACGTGATCTTAACTTCTTACACGAACCGTTTATGCATTCAATACACAACTACCGACACTGTATCAACACACTTAGTTCCCAGTATTCTTTAATGTCTTCCAAATAATAAACCTTAACTTTATCGTTATAGAAATAGGGTAATTTTGCTTATAAGGTTTTGTACAGCTTAACTGCTTTACTATCGAGATATAATCCGCAACAGTTAGCAAGTAATTTGGATGTACTCACAAAAGCACAAATACCTAAAAGCTTTTGCCTACGTCGGTTGAAAGTAACCACTCACAGGAGAAGTTTTAATTCACTAGTTTAACGTTCATAACATCTAAGAAGTAAAGCCACTTTGAAAAATATATTTAGATAAGTTAGTTTGACCTTGTTCTAGGTGAGAAATCGTCGCCACTGGGATCCGCCAAGTCTGGTATGAAGGAAAAATATTTGCTGATAACGTTGGCTGCCGATAATGCCATGTATGACGAAGTGGCAGTGGTTGGAAGTCATAGGACACTGGATTCTGTTCCAGTAGATGGAATGGTCAGTGGGGCCGCCTCATAATCTGAGGGTTTTTGATCCAATCCTTAATGGAGGGGTGATAGATGAGTACTAAAGAAGATACGGTGAAAATTTTCGTACAGGCTTTACTCTAACTGACATAGATTTATACTTAAAAGAATTAAACTACTGATGCTCTGTTTGTGGATCAAATAATTGTAATAATACTAACTGGTAAATGTTTTGAACGTCATTAATAACGACGATTATAGTGATAACAAAGTAATGATAATAAGGTTTATGCAGGTGGCGATAAGAATAACGAAGATTTTAATATGTTTATACGCAGACAATTCAATCAATAAATAAATTAGGTCAAATCTTAAAAGTTAAGCAATACTACAGATGAGGTAGACAGATAATTGGAGTTTAAGTGAATATCATAAAAGTACGGAAGAAATGGAACATAAGAAAGGGTGGGATGGTTTCAAATAGACTTCACTAGCTTCAACCTCACCAGATACTAGCTTGCTAGGCTACTAGCTTACTAGTTTTCTCGCCGGTCCCAAGCCCGGGTAAAGAGGGAGGGTTGGGGCGTGGTGCTAGCAACTCCACCCCTGTAAAACAACCAAATCGCTACAGAAACTTCAACGAATAAATATATTAAAAATTCTAAAAACATAAGCAATAGCCTTACTTTTCGCTGGAATCGGGGAAGTGAAATGACGCAGGCTGGTGAAAGCCTTCGGGAAGCCAGTCAGCCGATGTGCCTTCTTTCGATGAAAGCAAAAGTAAGGATGGGTACCTGGAATGTTCGTACAATGTACGAAACTGGAAAGGCTGCCCAGATAGCCGCTGAAATGAGAAGGTACAGAATAGAAGTGTTGGGAATCTGCGAAAGCAGATGGAACGGAACTGGAAGGTGCCAACTACCTACTGGAGAGACAGTAATCTTTTCCGGCCACCCAGAGGACAACCACGAGCACACCGAGGGAGTGGCCATCATGATGTCACCAACAGCAGCCAAAGCTCTCATGCAGTGGGAACCAATCTCCTCCAGGATAATGACAGCCAGGTTCAACTCAAAAGGAAGGAAAGTTACAGTCATTCAATGCTATGCGCCTACAAACGTCTCAGAACAAGAGAAGAAGGAGGCGTTCTACAGACAACTACAAGCAATAATGGACAACGTCCCAAATGGCGATATCAAAATCCTGATGGGCGACATGAATGCGAAGCTGGGACGAGACAACACAGGAAGAGAACTCACCATGGGTCGTGAGGCCCTCGGTGAAATGAACGACAATGGTGAACTCTTCTCAGACTTCTGCGCCTTCAATGATTTGGTGATTGGCGGTAGTGTGTTCAAACACAAGGATATACACAAGACGACATGGATTTCACCAGATGGAAACACCAAGAATCAAATAGACTTCATCTCAATTTCAAGAAAGTGGAGACGGAGCCTACTGGACACAAGGTCAAGGAGAGGAGCAGATGTGGGTTCAGACCACTATCTAGTAGAAGGGACTTTCAAGGTGAAACTAAAAGCCTCGAGGATAGCTGGGATAGGCCACAATGCAAGTTCAACACTCAATTACTGAAGGACACAACCACAAAAGACACTTTCACTGCAACTGTCAGAGCAAAGCAGGAAACACTACGCGACATCACTGAAGAATCATGCGTGGAAGAACATTGGAAGTCTCTGAAGGCGATTCTCAACGAAACGTGTTCAACGGTTCTAGGAAGAAAGAAGAGACAAGACAAGGAATGGCTCTCAACGGACACTTGGAAATTAATAGAAGAGAGGAGAATGGTGAAAGAGAAAATGATTCAATGCAAGGACGGACAGGAGAAGGAGACGCTGAGCTCAACTTACAAAGCACTGGACAAAGAAGTGAAGAAGAGTGCTAGGAAGGACAAAAGACGATTCTACGACAACCTGGCCACTGAAGCTGAGAAGGCAGCAGGCAAAAGGGACCTGAGGACACTATATCAGATAACCAAATCTCTATCCGGGAAGAGATCAACACAAGCGAAACCTATAAAAGACAGCCAAGGGAACCCAATTACCAAGGAAGAAAAACAGATTAAACAATGGGCGGATCACTTCAAAGGACTCTTGAACCGACCATCACCTGCAACCCGTCCAGAAATACCAACAACAGCGCGCACACAACTGCAAGTTGACACCAATCCTCCAACGAGAGCTGAAGTCTTGAACACAATCAAGCTTCTGAAAGCTGGAAAAGCAGCCGGACCAGATGGAATACCCCCTGAAGCACTGAAAGCGGACCCAGAGACGACAGCAGACATGCTGACTCCATTATTGCAAAAGGTCTGGAAGGAGGGAAAGGTGCCTACTGACTGGAGGAAAGGTTACCTCGTGAAACTACCAAAGAAGGGCGACTTACGCCCCACTCTGCAAGAACTGGCGAGGAATCATGCTCCTATCGACGCCAAGTAAAATCCTGAGTCGCATCATCCTGGAGAGATTAAAGGACGCACTGGAGACAGAACTCCGACCAGAACAAGCTGGATTCAGGAAAAGGCAAATCATGTACTGACCAAATTGCAACTCTACGCATCATCATCACAGAACAAAGCATGGAATGGCAATCAAACCTCTACCTCAACTTTATAGACTTTGAGAAGGCCTTCGACAGCGTTGACCGTGAAGTAATTTGGAAATTACTCGAGTACTATGGCGTACCCCAAATATTCATCAACCTTATTCAACAGCTGTACGACAACGGCACATGTCAAGTGATCCACAACGGAAAACTCAGCAAGGCGTTTGGAGTAAACACAGGAGTCAGACAAGTGGCTGCCTATTATCACCAATGATATTCCTAATTGTGGTGGACTGGATTATGCGTCAGACAGTGGGAAACGAGAAGACAGGGATATCCTGGACCGACGTGAAGAACCTAGAAGACCTGGATTTCGCGCGTGGATGATTTATGTTTGATGTCACCACAAAATCGAAGACTTACAAGCGAAAACGACCGACAAACTGGTCGAAGAAGCAGGAGTGAAGACAGGACTCCAGGTGAACATAGACAAGACGGAGGTTATGAAAATAACCAACCAACAACAACAGCAACATCCACAGCCAATCACCATCAACGGGAGGGATTTGAAAGAGATTAGTTAGTTCATTCACTTATCTAGGGAGCATTGTCTCAACTACAGCAGTTGGAACGGACGAGGATGTCAAATCGAGCGAGAATCGGGAAGGCGAGAAACACATTCATCAACCTGAAACCAATCTGGAAATCTTCGTCACTCAGCATCAACAACAAAATTCGTCGGATTTTCAATACAAACGTTAAGTCAGTCAGTTCTTCTATACGGATCAGAAACTTGGCGGGCGGGTCACAAAGAATATTTCCAAAGGCTGCAGACCTTTATTAACAACTGTCTTCGCTGCTCTATACTGAAGATCAGATGGCCGGAAAGAATCACCAACAAGGAATTATGGGAACAAACAAAGCAAGAACCAATCGCCCAACAAATATGCAGGAGAAAGTGGAGATGGATCGGACACTCGCTGAGGAGACCGCTGGGTGACATCGCGCGTCAAGCCCTCGAGTGGAACCCGAAAGGGAAGCGGCGTGTGGGACGTCCAAGGGTGACATGGAGGAGATCGTGTGAAGAGGAGTTGAAAGAATATGGACTAACATGGATGCAGGCGAAAAGTACAGGAGAAGACAGAAGCAAATGGAGATGTGCAGCTGAAGCCTTTGTTCCACTAGGAACCCAAGGGAGCAATAATAATAATAATCACTAGCTTCCGTTACATATGAAGGGTGGATTTGAATTGCGTTCGAAAGGCTCTATTGAATGCGATGGATAACTTTGAAGGAGTTTCTTCTCTCCACTTGATGACCTCTATCATCGATCGAATGAGACAAAATAGAACTTCTTATAGATTTTATTCGGCTTTTATCAGACCATGAATGAAGATGCTCATTAATATGTTTGTTGAGCCGTCTAGTTGTTCGCCATATACAGATTTTCAAGTTTTGGTTTTGTAAGGATTTAGTTTGATTGCATAGATTTCTCTACAGAAGCACAGAATGCACATGGAAGTGGCATAGCTAGGCAGCTTGTCTTTCACTTGAATAATTATAACTGGTCGGCAGCTGGAAAATGACAGACAAGGGGTGGTGGCGGGAGTATAAATTCGTTTTATTGCTCTGGATAATCTTAGAAGTAGTGTGGTGAGAGCTGGCTGCTAGCCGAATTGGTAGACAGTAATTTACGTCAATTTAACTTGTGGATGATGACCAGTAGTGGAATCCAGGATGCACATTTCGTCCTATTTGGGACTCGTCAGCTGGATGTACCTGCATTTCCCAGTGAGTGATGGTTTTCCCACCGATGCTCGAACCCAGTGCCCATAGTTTCAAACGCCAAAGCGCATCCTGGATTCCACTGCTAGTCATCATTCACAAATTAAATTCCAATTAAATGCCCAGGCATTGTCGAAGCATCTGCACAAGAAGCCGACATGTCAACCCGAGACCGAGCACTTCGGTCCAATCAATTGACGGGAGAATTTAAAATTCAATTAAATTTACGTCACTGTTTACGTCCCAAATATTGGTCGTGAGAATAATAAGAACAAAGACAGATTCAACAACCAATCACAGCAGACTTTGCGATGGCGGATACAATTTGCAGATAGATAATCTTAACTTCGATAAGCAGCCACAAGAAGATGAAAGATTAACGTTCAGCGAGAAACCACCAGTCAGAAGACTGTGTTTGTTTGCTTACATTAATCTATAATAATGTACATGAAAATCTACAAATATCTGTTGATTTCCTAAATAAACGATCTGTTACCTGGCCTTTGTCTTCTGTTGTTACAGTAGGACTTCACTAGCTACGTCTCCATTTGGACCAGCGTATTTTGGATGTATCTTAATTCATTTTCTTGGAAGTCATCTGTACAGATCCTTCTTGTTCTCTTTGTAAGTCATCTGACCAAATTGATTTTTTATCGAAGATAGAAACCTCTCACTTCTTATTTCCCATTTCCTTCCCACCTTTATGATATTTATTTAAGCTCCGATTATCTGTTAATTGGTGGGTGGTGGCTAGCAGCGGAACCGAGTATACGCATTTCGTTCTTGATGGGACTTGTCAACTGGATGTGCCTGATTATCTGTCCACTTCTCATTTAGTATTACGTAACTTTTAAGAGTGAATCTAATTTATTTATTTACTGAATTGTCTACACATACACGTATTACTAGCTTCGTTATTCTTATTGTCACCGGCAGGAACCTTATTATCATTATAATCATTGTTCTTACTGATGTTCAAAACATTTACTACATTATTATCATTTGATCCACAAACTCATCATCATCAACATATTTCCTATATATAAGTCTATGTAAATTAGAGTTAACGAGTTGATCACGGATTGATATCAGTTAGAGAAACATTGAAAACCAGGGAGTACTGGACAGCTGCTGTTTCATCCTAGTTCATGAGCCATTGAATCGGGTCCCAGTGGCTGAATGGTATACGAGCTTGCATTGTAACCGGAAGGTCCTGGTTTCGAATCCCAGCTGGTGCGTACTGCCGATGATTCCCAAACTAGGATGATAACAGCAGCTGTCCAGTACTCCCTGGTTTTCAATGGTCCTCTAACTGATACCAATCCGTGACCAACTCGTAAAAACATAACAAACCCTTACAAACCAAACTATAGAAAATTAGAGTTAAGCCTGAAGAAAATCTAGCTACAAACAATTGTGTTTGTTCATATTCCTGGTTCTATTCTTTAGTTCTCAAGACTTCTCTAAATGATATCAATCACCAATCAAACCTGAAGTCAATCCAATCGTCATGTAAACCAAAACATTTGCCAATACCTTAGAAATGAAGTCACTTTCAAACATAAAAGTAACACTTCAAAAACATTAAAATTGAACTAACCTTATCATAATTATAAAATGTCATCACTGTCATATTTGAGCGTTGATATTCAGCCAATGGTGTTAATTGGAAGTCTAGCTGATCCTTACAAAAATCTAAATGTCCAAAAGATTTCAATCGAGCATAACCACCGACTCCATTGAAATCATAGAAGAACATTCGTGTTAACGACAGCGATGGATCAAGTGATTGTGGTGGACGTGGTTGATTGGTTAACTTATCTAGTTCACCTTGTTTCTCCCATATATAACCATCTCGAACATAACGACGATTTTTACCACTAAGAATATTAAAGATAAAAAAGCACGTTAATTACTCCTATTATTATTGCAACGTTATTAATGGTTGTGTTTATTGTGTAACTGTGCTTCCTTCAAAGATATCTAGCGTTGAATACTTAAAGAAGATTAGCCTGTACAACCATCTGATTTCAAAAAACTGTGTTGATCATAATTTGTTGATCAACTGGATAAGACAAATGCACGATGGAGTGGGAGGATGATGATTTTGTGAACTACTGAATGAAGAAGTTTTTAACTCTGGCACTTAGAGAAAAAATGAGTTCCTCTAGGGTCGCAGATACATACCGAAACATACTGAAAGTGGGTTTGCAGATTCTTTGAGACTAAGCATTTACAACATCATACAATAATGAGTTTAGCGGAGTTATGTTGTATTGCCTAACTTACTGATCAAATTTCACATCTGAACGATCGATTTCGATCGTCACCTCGATTAATCTACCTAAAAATAATCTCAAAGCAGCTCATATACTGTTGCGTTGAAAAAAAATAGATAGCAGTGAGATCAGAACATGATGTCAATCCATGAAGTCAGTAACTGAACCACAGAAGAGAATCCTGGAGACGTTAAAAGTCAAAAGTTGGAGGCTTGATTAACATCATTTCCAGTGGTCGATGTGTATCATCATTATTCCTCTTCATGGAGGTATTCTTCCTGCTTCCCTTTACGTTTCAATGTATTTTCAATACATTATGCTATCAACCACCGATTCCTTGACATAAGCAAATGAATCCCGCTCATATCAACCACTAGGGCATGCTGGCTAGATGAAAGTGATCTAAACTTCGGACGATTGTTTCACTCCTTTGCAGCTGGGCCCATCAGAGGTGTGACCAGTTGGATTCAGCCCAGACAGCTGATTCACTTCAAACCACCCGATTCAGTGGCAAATTTAAAATCTACTAGCTTTATTATTTCAGTAGATGGGAACTGCTCACCATTCTTTAAATGTATTATCACGTTTCTAATGTTAGATATGAAAGGTAAGAACAATTTAAGGAATCCATAGTAAGTGCCAAATCGGATACGGATAATTCAACAGTATCACGTTAGTTAGGTGGATGGTGACTAACAGTGTAACCAAGGATGAACGTTACATCCCATTCAGGACTACTCATCTGGATTTAACTCCAACTTAACGTTCCCAGTGAAACATAGGGCTTCAGGCTAGAGGCTTGAAGTTTCGGGAACAGTGGTATTTATTTTTACGGGATGGGGTTGCTAGCCTCATATACAAACTTCCATCTTTACCAGCTTCTATTACCGGCTTATAGAGGCAAAAGAGTGCGTCCAGTGGCCGGAGATCGAACTCAAAATCACATGCGTGGCCGACGAGCGTCCTAACCGCTGTGCCACCGACGCACAGCGGTTATGACGGATATGAGTTATTATTTATGGCAAGGGGATTAAAGATACATCCACTTGAAAAGTCACAAATATGAAGAAGAAACACACACCACCTAGATTCCACTGCTGGTCACCATAAAAGAAGAAGAGTAACATCACCTTGACCTTCAAGCATCGTCGAAGCGTCATTTCTGGGAATGAACTGACACGTCAACGCAGAATGAACATTCCAGTTCAATATAATCAATCGCACTGTTTTCATTAAAACACGTCACACCTAGTCGCTTATCTGATTAGAAGTTGTAGTGACTGTCTTGTCTGCGTTTATCATAATTAAAAAATAATAATAATAATAAAATGGAACTAGAACAAAGAAAGCGTCGGTGGTACAGCGGTAGCATGCTCACCAACCACGCCTCATGTAGTCTGGGGTTCCATTCCCGGTCACTGAACGCATTCCTTTATCTCACTAAACATCACTGCTACCGAAAATCCAAGCCTCTCTTGCTTGAAGCCCTATGTTCCACTGGGAACGTAATGGAATAAAAAAAGAATAAAGAAAGAAAAAACGGCAATCACAAAAACAGAGATTCATGAAAGGAGAACTCACGGTCTATATCATAGTGCCATCCATTTGAACCAGTGAATATATGGCGACAGAGAGAGGGAGAGAGAGAGAAGAGGATGGAAAATAAAATAAACATACAATTAGCCAGCAAAATCATAAAAGGGAAAATGAATTAAAACAGAAAAAAGTTAGAATCTACATGACACTGAAGACCAGTTCAGTAGCTGACTGACAGATGGATACATAATGTAAGAGGAAAGTCTCTGGATAGATAGATCGATAGGTAGATCCCTGTGAGTAAATTTCACTCATGCGTGTACTTTTCTGAAAAGCGCCAAGGTAGAATAAAACACTAGTCTAGTACACTTTAGTTTTCTACCTTTAATTGATTGACGAAATCATCTTCAGATACTGTACAGAATGGTATTGATTTTTACCACAAATGCAAAGTAGTCAATTACTGAGTATATAATTGATATAATTACTCAGAAGTGGCTTAGGAAGTAAAATTATAACGATAGTTTTCATGTGTATCAAAGATACATGGATGACACTTGCATCATATGTGTTAAGAATGATAACATCAAAATGAAAAGAAAGGAGTTCAACAACTGCCATCATTCCATCCAGTTCACAGGAGAATCAGGGATGAACTTGGAATGCCATCTTTTGGATATTTTGCTAAAGAGGAGATCTGATGGTTCTCTCTTCAGAGGTCAATCTACTGTAAATCAGCAGAGAATAGTAACTTCACGGATTTTAATAGTTGGTTGCCTTTGAGAAGAAAGAGAAATCCGATCCACGCCTTATCTTCAAGAATGAGAAAGATATACACCAGGGATACAATCGATGGGGAACTGGAGAGAATCAGGCAGGTCCTCATGGAGAGTGGATATTCTTCACAATTTATCGAGGAAAACATAAAATTAAATCCAAAAATTGAAGGAACTGCTATCTACGTGCATTGAATTTAAAGGTGAAATTGCAGCTGCGATTCTACAGAACCTCTTGTCTGGATTACTAAGAAAAGCCTTTTTCTCGGTTGAGCTACGGATCAGTTTAGACAGCCAACAAATGATCAATGGATGTGTGAAGGATAAAGTGCCACTTTGGACCACTTCACCTGCCACACAACTTGGCGCACACTTTCGAAATGTATCTCTGATCATTATCCAGCATGGTTATGAAGAGGACAGTGCAAGACAATTATTAGCTCAATTCTTGAGTACTTGGTGAACTCAGGTCACAGAGCTCCTCCAAAGCCGTCTTTTGTGATTAACTGCAAGTTGAGACTGAATAGTACAAATGGTGTGTTAAGTTTTGGCATTCGTACATGTCTGAGGCCTTGGCGATTCGTCAATACAGCCTCGAATTCTACACGGAAAAAGTTTGTCGAGTCTCTTATCACAATATGATCTTCAACTCTTCATTGATCTCGACCACCAGGCAATGTCAACAGCGAGTATTTATTCTCACTTCTGACCGATTCGACCCTACTGGTCACAACTTCTCATTCACTAGAACTCCAGGCAACCTCATCTTGTAGCCAGAAGTCAATGGAGAGCATTAGATTACTTCTAATGAGTTTAATTGTAGGGATTCGATTTGATGTTTCGAAAATTAGACCTAATGTCGTCCACCTATTTAATATTTGTCAATATTTCCACCTTTTAAATGTTGGATTAATTTTCTTGGCATGTTAACAAACTTATCACAACTAGGTTAGTAAATTTCTGCATTGTATTAAAATTGTTGTGTACACATTAGGGTAAATTCATACACGAAGAAGTATCCAACTGAATTGTTCAATTCCTTGATCTTCATAATGTCTATTCACTACTAAAGCTTTCCTTCTATGAAAGATATACGTCACATTTCCGATAGAGTATCCATACTTTTCAACAATTTTCAGAAGGTAGTAGTATGTATGTGGAAACAACTTCAACACTCTGTCATGCTCCACATCGTTATCAATCTCATTCAACAGCTATCTGATAACGGTACGTGTCAGGTGATCCACAACGGAAAACTCGGCTAAGCCTTTGATTTGAAGACAGGAGTACGACAAGACTGACTACCTATTGTCACCGATGATATTCTTTATTGTTGGGGGAGAGCAAGAAGACAGGGATAGGTTCGACCGATCAGAGGACTCTAGAAGATCTGGATTTCGCAGATGATATATGTCTAATTTTACACAAACTCGTAGACTTGTAGGTGAAAATGGCACGAGAAGCAGCTATTAAAAGACAGGACTTCAACTGGACTTACAGAAGATGGAGGTGATGAAGATAGCCCACTAACATCAACTACAAGCATCAGTCAAAATTAGCGGGAGAAGTTTGAAAGTGGTTGCTTTCCTCACTCATCTAGGAAGCATCGTTTAGATTAAAGGTAGATGGAACCAATGGGGATGTAGAAACCAGGCAGAATCGGAAAGACAGGGTACACATTCACTACTCTAAAGCTAGTTCGGAAATCTTCAGTCAAATGTAGTCGGTCACTTCTGTCATAAGAGTCAGAAACTTGGCGAGCATGTCACGAAAAGCATTTCCAAAAGCTAAATGCAGACTTTTATCAATAGCTGACTTAGATGGCTCCACACTGAAGATCAGCTGGCCAGCTGGATACAAGGAGTAAGCACCAGGAAACTCTTGGAACAAGCCAATAGGTGAGAACCTATTACTCAACAAATATCCCCAAAACAGAGATGAATTGGGCACACGTTGATGAGACTGTTGAATAACATCGCTCGTCAGGCCCTTGAGCAGTATCTGAATGAGAAGCAACGAGTGGGGAGTCCGATGGTGACATCGAGGAGATGATGTGGGAATCTGGAGATCAGAAACTATAGACAATTGCTTGGCCAGTTGAGGAGGACTGCAAAGAAGAGGACGAAGTGGAGAAGTGCTGCTGAAGCCCTATACTGCACTCGGAACTCAAGACAACGATAAGAATAATAATAATACCGGTATATATATACCTTGTTAATGGTCTTTCAAAATACAGGCCAGCGGAACGGACTAAGATGTCAAAGTCTGAATCGTAAGATACGTCTTCATCAACCTGAAACCTCTCTCAGCTAGCATAAGGAACAATACTCGCATTTCCAACACCAATGTGAAGTCGGTTCTTCTATATGTGTCAGAAACTTGACAAGCGTGTCACGAAAAAGATTTTCAACAGGCTGCCGCAGACTTTCATCAGCAGCTACCCACTTTCCTGGCCAGAAAGAATAAGCAACAAGAAACTCTGAAGAGGAACAAACCAATCAAGAGCCAACCACTCAAACAATATATGTAGAAGAAATTGGAGATAAATCGAGCATACATTGAGAAGACCGTCGAATGACATAGCGCGCAATACAGGCCATCACTCTAATGGAATCCAAATGGGAAGCGATGAGTGGGTAGTCAGTGCGAGGGTGATATGGTGGAGATCGTGTGGGGAGGGGAGGAGATGAGAGATTATGGACAATTGCAGACTCAGCTGAAGAGAGCAACAGAAAACAGAACAAAGTCGAGATCTGTCGTTGAAGCCCTATGTTCCATTTGCCAGGCGAGGGAATAATAATAATGATAATTTGTTTTTCAAAGTAATGCAGATTCAACTCCACCACAATCAGACATTCCAATATTATCCTGGACATTACTGTTATGAAATATCATGTAGCTCTTTATTAATAAGCTAAAACAGCCAACTCTAGGCGGTGGATCCTACTCTCAAACCCTGAGAAAACTGGGCAGTTTCACCAGCTCTCATGTACTAAGTGCAGTTTGTAATCTGCCCCATAAGAAATCTGTTCCAGGTGGTTAAATCGGGATAATCTATGTAGCCTGTAAGATAAAAGAACTTCTCTAGCATGCCATTTAAAAAAAGAGTGAAAATTGTTCAACTTACAATTGACACTGATATTCTTTTGGTTTAGAGCATTCAGGATTAGCATCAGCAAAATTGACAATACTTATCGGTAGACTTGACAGTCTCAAGTTAAATATGCAGAATTTCACTGATTCCATCGACATAATACGTGACCAGAATACCTCTGCACCATTATCACCCCATGCTTCAGGATTACTCAGCCGACTGCTAGACTGTATCACTCCACCGATACGTAATTCCATTTGTCTATCCATAATAAGATTTGCTTCTTGATCAAGTGTACCGTTTGTGGTGACGGTTTGTTTCACCTCCGGATTGATATCACCTTGATCTTGGAATGGTCTTTCCATTAGAATCATACGTGTTTCCCCACCGACTGATGTAACACGTGTATGATACCATGTATTCGTTACTATAGGACCTAATTCCAATTGACCATTTGGTGTATTCCATGAGAAGCGTAGTTTTGCATCCGGTGCTTCAATAGTGAAAGCAAACATTTGTGTATGCGCTTCAAAAGCTCTACGTCCAACCATCAGTACACTACTCATACTTGGCAAGGAGGGTAGATTATGCAGGTTGAACCAGAATTCAATATCGAATACACGAGATTTTGTTAAACTATACGGAACTAGTGTATAGACACAATCTTGACCTAATTGTAGGGGAACTGGATCATGAGATAGTGATCCATAGGTAACATCAAGCATTGAACGTGCTTCATCAGCTAATCGACGTAAATTCAACATTTTTGCATCCAGTTGTCTAGCAACATTTTCAGCTTCATCGAGGGATTTAGCCAAATGCGTTTGACTTATGTTCGCTCGATCAACTGTGGACAGGAAAAAAAAGATAGCCAGCGTAGTTCATTAAGGTAGAAATTACACTTGTGGAGTAGTAACTTAGAAATTCTTACGATGATATTTCAACTTTTCAGACAGGTAGAAGCCAAGAGCCTAGGTAGCGGAATATGTTTTAGATTTGATATCTCTATATAGAGGAATTATGTACACCTTATGTTCAAATCGTCATCTGCTCAGATCTTCCGTGTTGTGTGCTACTTCTACCGCCTTCCTGTTGTGTTTCTTAGTCTTTTGTTTGTGTCCCCCATGATTTTCCCAAATATTGGTCCATTTTGCTCCCTTTAACGTTCTATCTATCTCTCGGCTATTTGATATTTTTATGTTAATGAGCTTCTCTTTACACGCTACTGATAATTCTTGTCAATAGCATACGCTATACTATGAGTAATTATTTCCTACGTAATCTGTACACTAGACATTTGACTTCAACATGATTCAAAGACTTGGTGCATCGCCGTAAGCATTTCCAGCAAGTCACTGCAGATTTCACATCGATTGCTGATTTCTACAATCTATAGTGATGATTAGATGTCCAGGAAAAATTAGTACAGCTGGGATCTCTGACAGGCAACGAACCAACCAAGAACCAACATATGTGTTGACAGAAATGGAGATGGATTGGACACACGCTTAGATGACCGATGGTTGACATCACGTCCCAGGCGCTCAAGTGGAACTCGAATGGGGAACGGCTAATTTAGCCTGGGGGCCGAGGATGATATGGATGAAATCGTGTGAGGAGGAAATGAGAATTTATGGTAAATCGTGGAGCTACCTGAGCGGGACTGTAGGCAAGAGGATCTAATGCAGATATTCTGTTGAATCTCTGTGTTCTCCTTGAAACCCAATGGAATAATAATAGAACTTTACAAAAAAATTAATATGGGTCACGCCATTGGATTTTTCACTTGATGCATACAATCCAGTGATCTCTATCGTTGCGTGTTGAAAAAAAAGCAGTAAAACCTAACTAAAATCCGGTATTATCTGGGTCATGCCGTCAAGGACAGGATTTTATTGGGATTTGATTTGACCTCATTATAAACTCACACTAACAGTTCAGTATATTTCTGAAAGAAAAGAACTCAAACAACAGGATTTTTGGAGGTTTTTATGGGAATTAACACCTGTGTGTCACTCTCCAGAGTAGCACGACATTTCAAAACATTACTGTGAAGAATATGAGAAGCAATATAGAATAGCTATCCAGTTAGTTGTCTTTGGCGTTTAGTCATCCTGTTAGCCGTTAAAGACGTTCATCTTGGCTTTTAGATGACTCGCAAACTTTTCGTTCATTATTTCACTATATTTTTTTTATATGTCCTTGAGATTTAAGATTATATAAACCATCGGATTATGGTGAGTTGCTTCATCAAAGATACACACTGTGCGCACATACTATCGAACGTGTTCCTATGAAGTTGATCGCAGTAAATATTGTGGAAAAATTCCAAGGAATTGTGCCAGTGAACATTGCTTCAGCAGGTTATCAGGTACTGGTGTTAGTCCATCTAACTCTAAGTGATGTAATTCATCATATTTGAGTTCATCCACAGGACTGAACCTACGCTATTCGAACAACGTAGACTTTTTAAGTATTTGTTTTGTAGGGATTTTGTTTAATTGGATGGAGGATTTTATCACCAGCTGACCAGAAAGTCCTGGGTTTGCACTCCGGTGGGTGCATACCGATGAAGAGTCCCAAAATGGGATGAAAAGGCTGTCCAGTACTATCAGGTTTTCCAATGGTTCTCTAACTGATGTCAGCTCATGATAAAATCTACCATTCAATCAAAGTAGGCTTTCACATCAGCTCTTATTGAAATCCTTCAGTCAGGCATTGATTCTGACTTATTCTTCTATGCTTCAGCACTGAAAGTGTGTAAATCAGTGTTGTGCTGCTCATAAAATTTAACTATATTATAAGGTGTATTATCGTGCTTTCATCATTACATCAAGGGTGTGATAGCATTCTTCATTTGTGATCATTTCAAATTCTTCTGTCCACTACATCAACTTTTTCAGTAACTTGTTCTTACATAAACGGTCTGGTACGGCCAAGAGTGGAGAGACGTCTTCCTTCCTTTGCAAATGCCTTAATGTGAGTACACTTTCGCCATCTGGGTCCTCTTCACTGCCTTCACACAGCAAGGATATTCCCTACCAAGTTAAAGGATGAATGTAAACTTCGAGTGCTTAAAATAGGACTGGTGGACATGCTAGTCAACTTAAGGCGGCGGGAAAATCTTAATTCTAAACATGTACTCCAGAAACCGGAATGATCCAGTGGCGAATGAACCGGTTTCGGTCACCGTCAACCATAGGAACTTAGCTTCTTAGGCTGCTCTACTGCCGTGTGGGTTAAGGCTCGGAGGGCAGTCTCCTAAAACAACTATCCACTTCAGTCTGGGAGCCTGTGAAGTATCCCTGTCAAACTGTGAAATTTTGTGTGTCACATCTCTTGATAGCCATAATGTACAAAATTTGTGTTCTAATAATAATTATATCAGTCGCTTGTAGTGCTGTATTGATTCGTGTGTATTCAAGTGTTTGGCTTTCAAAAATTACGTCACAGGCAAACAACAGTTAATGATTCACTGGCAAGTAGGTATCACCGGACAGCCATTTCCCCTAAGCCTAATATTCTTCACCAGTATGCCTGCACAACTGCATGAAAGATGTATTTTCTCAATAAAAAGACAAGAAGTTCAATGAAAATTAGGTGTGTTAATTTGTCTCTTGATATGTGCACACACAATTATACCGAAATTTTTATGCTACTTAAAATAATAAAAGTAGTGTAGAACAAATAACAAAAAAGTATTAATCCTAATTTACTCACCTAGAGTTTTAGCTGTTCCTTGTATTTGAGAATATCTATTCTCCATTTCTTGTAAACGTTCATGTAGTCTATCATAACGTTCTCTTTGCATTTCCACTTTACTTGTAGCATTTTCTACTAATGGTTTTGTATCTTGTAAAAATTGTCTAATTGAATCAACTAGCATAAAATGAAATTCAGAGAGTGAAACGGTTAGCTTATAACAAATACCACTCATAGAATGACTGAGCACAACTCATTTACAGCTGAAGGCAGACACAAAAAAATTTAAATACTGTTCACCAATGATAAGACATTGTTCTTATTCGTAAAAAGTAAAAGGCAACGGTTTGTGCAGAATAAGGTGTGATCGGTCAAGTTAAAGTGAAACTATCGGGGAGTGTGAACGCACCAATGGGCTTTACCGCATACTAGTCTTTGGATAATGGGATCTACCGATACGATACCGCTAACATGAGGGCTATTCACGAATTAAGGAGCAAATTTCACCTCCATCACGTCTTTAAGTAATGTTTAAGCAATGTGTTGTTAACACGTAACCGTAAATGTCTTTGTGGAGATTCTTTGTACATTTGACGGTGTTCAGAAGCAGGGGATGGACATGTAATTAGGTGGACATGGTGTAGGAAAAAAATGAGTGTTCGTATTTGTTAGTTGCACACTCAGCTGATTGTTTTCCAGGAACTTTCTTTTCTAAACCGAAACTACCACTGGCAAAGATGCTCTTTTTCTGCCATTATTGGATATTAAAGAGTAGAGTGAGTTAAACGACTGTAGAGATGGAGAATGTCTCGGTATTTACTGCGCAGTGGTTCAGCCACTACGGAGCTGTAGCGTCTCCAGAGTAATAGCTTTTAAAAGGAGCTGCTATTATTGTTCATAACGATGTGGTCACCCTAGGGCAAACAAAATTTGAGTATTTGGAATTTATGATACGGAACTTCAGGAGGGAATTTTGTAGGTGGTTCCAATTCATAGTACCGACACTCCTACACCAGTTATATAGAGACTAGTCATTCTTGGAACTACACTTCATACTGACGAATGGGTGGGATACAACCACCTATCAGATTTGAGTTGTATAGACGTCATTGAGTGAATAATTCAGAGGATTTCGTAGACCTCCTTCCTGGAACCTACACCAGTTCAATCGTGGACTTCTGGAGTTGATGGAAAAATGGGATAAGGTTAATGAACGGGTGGCATAAGGAACTCCTTTTAGGTCATATTGACGAATACACGTGTCGAAACTGGTTCATTATAGCTGGGACATATTTTTTCAGTAATGTCAGAGAAAAATACGCTGTTTAGTATTTTTTCCACGTATTTCGCTTGTAAATAAACGTCGTTTTTGTGTAGGAAGCACTTGTCTGTTTGTTGGACCGTTTAAGGTCATTCGAGCGTTTGCATTCCACCGATAGTGATAGTTTAACTTTGTCGTGTTATATCACCGTTTATTTCATCAGCTTTCCACCAACTGCGCATAGTTTAAAAATTGGTTGAGCTTATGTACACAGCAGTTACATTGGGAGAAGATAAAGAATGGTATACCTTCGGTTTTTTGAACATGTACCATAAAGCTTAAGTCTCAAAGGAACAAACACTTTCAGCAGTACTATTGCCAATCATCTTATCGATACCGGTCACAAGGGGTGCACCGGACGATAAGAAATGCAGTTGACCTGCAATAAATCAGAGAAGAACAATTCAGGAAGAATAATGGGGATTTTCAGAACTTGGAAGTACCCAGCTTCCTCCAACTATTGGCTTCTAGTCCAATGAAGCCTTAAACCATACAGTGAAACCCCCCTCATGTAGCTTAGACCATTAGTCGAAATCTTCTTAGATTGGCGCCACGTTTTCGTCTGACCACCTATAATTCTTTTCCAACCTTATCGTTTGTGGAGGTAGGTGATGGTTCTAGCCATCTCAGCCGAAGCACATTTACAACCTCATGTCAGTGGACCACGCATGTGGTCCGGGGTTCAAACCCATCGTCGACTCACTCTCAAACATCGCCTAACCAACAGTAAGCTCGGTAAAGAAGTGATGTTGGATGTGAAGCTAACAACCACAGCCAGAAATGAAAAAGACAACTTCCACTGAAACTTTAAAGATCCAGCTTGAAACCGCATGTTCCACTTGGAACCTAAAGGAATAAAAGAGAAAGCACCCTACTGTTTGTCTAAGAAGCATATGCAAGAAGGAACCATGCCAGACAGAGAAACAGCCAACAATCAATTATCCAACAAGTATGGAGAAGAAAGTAGAGTTGACTCGACAGTCAACCAAAAATGATGTGAAGAGAAAAATAAAGCTTATGTGTAGTTGTGGAGCCGGTTTCAAGTGATGTCATGGAATGAAGGTGTGCTTCTTGCCTGCATTACTGGAAGACGTCTTCCAAAAGATTGGATATCCACGGAATTTCATCAAAAGATATATACTCCCAAGCCAACCTATCAAACCAAAGGCCCCCAAGGAAAGCACAAAGAAAATCCCCCTAACCATATATAAAGGATATCTCAGAAATCACTACAAGACTCTTCAAACCACTAGGAATTGACATCGTACACAAATCAACAAAGTCACTTCAGTCGGTGGCACAGTGGTTAGGACTCTCGCCGACCAAGCACATGGTCCGGGTTTCGAGCCCACGCCGACGCACACCTGATATCTATGGTCGGCCTGTGAAATTTGGGCTACCGATATCCACGCTGAAAATTCCACACTTGTACCAAAAATACTGTGTGGAATCGAGCTGTAATCAAAAATAAAATTAAAATAAAATAAATAAAATTCTATGTCAACCAAAAGACTTAACAACGAAAGAAGATAAAACCAACATCATCTACAAAATAAATTTTGACAATTGCGAAAAACACTACATTGACCAAAGTGGACGTACCCTTCGTCTCCGTATCCACGATCATAAGCTAGCGGTCAAAAGACATGATATTCACTCCCACGCTCATATCACTAAATACAGACAACCACGGACATCAATTCGACTGGGACAACGTTCAAATATTAGACAGAGGAAACAACAAGAATGCCAGCCAGAGAATTTTTAGAAGCTTGACATTCCAGTGAATCATCAGTCAATAGACACATCGAGATAGACAAAATTTATCAACCGATAAGAAAGAAACCTCACACACACAAAGGGACAAAGTTCAAGTCAAAGAAACAATCAGTTCCAATACAAGTAGCCTAGAAGGTGTGAAAACACACAGAAACAACCAATCACGTTCAAGGTCACCCACCAGGAGAGATGACTAATAAACTCGTGGAGAAATCTAAACGCTCATTTCAACTGATTGAAGTATGCTCTGAAGATGTCGCCTATTAGGGTGATGAAAGCTTCGCAAATTAACCATCCAGCTAGCTCAGAGAACACAATCAAAATATACAGAATTCGGCGCAAAGGCCTAACTGTCAGTGACAATATATCGAAGAAAGTCTTGCACATATTTACACTGAAGTGCAATTCATTTTACTCACCCTTATTAGCAATACTCTTTGTCATATCCAAATTATTTGTAGCAACTTGTTTTAATGTATCCAGAGTATTTTCAGTTTGTTGTAATTCTTTATCAATCATATTCAGCGTATCATTATGTGATCCATAGATAACTGAATGATTATTCAATATATCAGTTATATCATCCCGTTTCTTTATGACATCTTTAAGTCGATCTTGCCATGATATTTGTACACCTTCAACTGTTGTTGTACTTTGAATTAAGGCTTCTTCAGCTGCGTTGGTAGCATTCTCTGCTAATTTCATATTATCAATAATTATTTGATAAGCATTATAAGCCAGGTAGGTACGATTCAACCGTTCTGAAGGTGTAAGAATTGACAAGATCCTCTGAGCTTCATATTCAAGCGGTTCAATAGAATCGCGAATTAGCTCTGATGGGATATAAATTTGTTCAGAACTAGGCAATTGGATTTGATTTAATTGTCTTGTGATAGATTTAGCTTTGTCAAATAACTCAGCTTGTTCTTCATCAATACGTATTTGTTCAAGTTCGTCTAACTGTTGTTCTAGATTTCTTGATTCTTTGTCAAATGATTGAAGAGTGGTCAAACTTGTTGTTGTCTTGACGGTATCAGCTAAAGCATTGGCTTTTTTCTTAATGAAAAAAATGGGAGGTAAAAGGAAAGACAAAGAAAACAGGAGGTTATACTAACTACATTAGTAGAAAATCATCTGAATACATGCGAAAAATGGTCTAAAACCACCATACTCTCCAACCCCCAACACCCCCTCTATTCCTAACTCTCTCTCCTTGCATCTCATCAGGTAGAACGAGAAATCAGTACAAAATAATATATGCTCATACAACCAAGTATAAGAAGTCACCGACACCATATTTGGCCCGTGTTCCAAGCGACAGAGACAATGTTAAGCGCTAAACCTATGACTTGCTTTGTTGTGAATAACATAATTTTGGCTGTTTTATTTTTCTCTCTTCTTTGCAATCTATAGTGAACGCCTTCTTAAACACACTTAGCTACCTAAGTTACTAACATTGGCTTACTTTTTTGTACTTTACTCTATTCCCTCTTTTGTGTATCTACTGGTCCCGACTATATTAGCACTATGAGTACTACAAAATTCTCCTGTCGTTAACCATCATGTAATATTAGTTTTGCGGTTGTTCTTTTTTGTTTGTCCGGCAATATTAACTGACAATCTTGGTTGTGAACGCCATTATCGCCATCTTAAGCATTTTGTATTATGCAGGATTACTCACACTACCACTACAAACACCTCATTAGACCTGACAATAAAAAAGACACCCTAAAATGTTTATTTTATGATTGTTTAGTGTAGTTCAATCAAATTAACTGATCATCTTGGCGATAAATATTCTTAAGAACGTTTCATAACTTCTTGTATGATTATAGCTGTTACTGTTCACCACGCATAAACATATTATAGCTTCCACTACCCAATACTGAGATATTATTTATTATTGTTTATTTTCCTTTCTGCTTTTTAGCATTTTTTCGCTTTTTTACTATTTTGTGTTTTTCTTGATTTTGTTGACAAATACTCCTTTTGAATGTGTGATAAAATTAGATGCAATATTGTAGATATGTGCTGGGAATTCCGCACTGTACCGCTAATACTGTTTCTGCAATAAAGCAGAATTATTATTATTATTTTTAAGTCTAATATTTTTAAGTCCAATTCTTTGCTGTATCTCTACACCTCACTTTTTCCACAAATACTCTTGTTCAACAAAACATCCGAATCAACATCCTGTTGTTGGCAGCTTCAGTGTACGTTTATTTATTCATTTGCTGCTGTAAAGCTACGTACATAGGCCATATCAGCATGACATCGTCTAGATACGTCAGTGAACGCTCACCAACATGACTATCGAAAAGAGAGAATGGGGAACAGTCAACAGCTCATTATTATATAGTTCAAGTAACATAATATCAGCAGTGACAAGATCTTCAAGCGCCGGCATAAGATGAAACCACACAAAAAACTTAGAAAATCTGGACTTCGCCGTTGACATATATGTCTGATTTCCCACAAACTGGAAGATATGCAAGTGAAAAGCAACAAGTTGGCAGAAGAAGCATCCAGAGAAGATAGGACTTCAAGTGAACATAGATAAAACCCAGGTGATGAAGATTCCTGGCCACCAGCAACAGCAACAACAACAGACAACAATCAGCCAGCATAAATGAGAGGAACCTGAAAGAAACAACCTCCTTTACCAACCCACCTACCTGGGAAGCATCGTTTCAACTACAGGCGGACGGAACTGACGAGGATATCAAAGCGAGAATCGGAAAAGCAAGACAAGCTTTCATTACTCTCAAGTCTGTGTGGAGGTCAAAAACACTCATCAGCATCAAAAATAAGATCCAGATTTTCAACCCCAATGTGAAGCTAATGCTACTTACTATACGGATCAGAGACTTGGCACCGCGTCACGAAGGGCACCTCAAACTTACTACAGACCTTCATTAAGAGTTGTCTTTGCTCAATATTCAAGATCAGATGGCCGACCAGAAGAGATCAGCAACAAGGATCTCTGGGAGCAAACCAACCAAGCAGGAACCGACTGTGAAACAAATCTGTAGGAAGAAATGGAGATGGATTGGCCACACTCCGAGGAAAAAAACCATCAAGTGACATCACTAGACAAGCCATTGCTTGAGTGGAACCCGACAGAATAGGAATCGGCTAGTTGATCGTCAGTGCAAGGGTGACTTTGAGGAGGTCATGTGAAGAGGAGATGATAGCATGTGGGCAGACTTGGATCCAGGTGGAAACTCTTGCAGACAAGCGAGCGCAATGGAGGCGCGCAGCTGAAGCCATATGTTCCTCTAGGAATTAAAGGAAAATATAATAAATAATAATATTACATCTTCAAGCAGCCAAAGCTTTAGCGATCCGTAAGGTGAAAAGAGATCGCTTTACTGACATGTGTGTTGCTAATTGCAAATTTCGTTACGAAATCTACGAGAAAATCAGTAATAATCCTTGAAACCAAACTCTGGATAATTTAAAGTCCCTATAGGGTAATCAGAACAAGATGGTTTTGAGGGAACACGTGCTTTCGATAACTTCTTCATCAGGCTCTACAGTAATAAATCTATGATTGTTATTAGAATACAAATAGCCATTAAAGGCATGTGAAAATGACATCGAAAACTGTTTGTATTGGGATACATGTAGAACATGGAGTGATAGTTCGGCATTTAATATTGTCAAATGAACTTATATGAGAAATGCGCAGTCATTCAGAACATCAAAGAAAGTGTCAATAGACAAAAGGGTGATAGACTAATGTCCTTATTTTGATGTAGTTGTGATCTCTGAGTTGGATGGTTTATGTGACCTACTCAGTCTAGTTGGGTAATGAAAGCTTCGCATTTAAACCAGCCGGCTCAGAGATCACAACGACATCAAAATCATACACCTGAACCACAAATCTTATCTCTTATATACAGTGTATTTACAGTCAACAGAATATACGTTTCATTGGGGTGGGGAGTGGGGTAGTGAGTTAGGGGTGTGAGAGAAATATGATTTGGTCTAACTGGGTAAGTAGGGTCTTTTAACTTACAGGGCTTGTCCCTGAGTTATTTTGTAGGTTTAAATGCCAACCATATTTCTACTTTATTAAGAATCCTACTTAGGGTTTCAACTAGTTCACTTCACTTCATCAGTGCCCTTATTATGTATCAACCTTTGTAATTTACACTAAGCTTACTATCTGTCTAGTATTTTATTACAGTTTACAATTTAACCTCTTTATTTTATCACTAAACTTGATATCTGTATGGCCTTGCTTGAACTTATATTCAGTGTTCCTCTTTTCATCGAGGATTTCATCATGAGCTGACATCAGTTAGAGAACCACTGGAAATACAGCTGGGAGTACTGGACAGCTGTTTTGTTCTAGTTTGGGACTCTTCATCAGTAAGAACCCAGAACCTTCTGGCTACAAGCCAAGCTCGTAGACCATTGAGCCACTAGGACCCACCGATCCAATAGTCCTTGAAATCTAACTTCTGCAAATTCATGCATGACATAGCGCGACCATTTCGCAATGTCTTCTTCGACGAGTTACTGCCTCATCTTCAACCTGCTGTATCCTACTGGTCACGTCTTCCTACTAGAACCCAAGGCTAACTGCCTGAATAGGGCCAGTCGCTAGTGAGCATCAGATTAATTTTTAAGTATTGGTTTTGTAGGGATTTTGTTTGATTGCATGGATAATTTCATAATGAGCTGACATCAGTTCCTCTTTTGTTGGTATTCGTTTGTTTGTATTTCTCAGTAATCATGTTTCGTTTAAACCACCGAATATAACTCATTACTCCCCAAGCCCCAATGAAACTTATATTCTATTGGCTAGAGGAGCTTTTCCCATGAGCTGATATCAGTTAGAGAACAATTTTAGAAAACCTGGGAGTACTGGTAAGCGTAGTACAGCCTAGTTTTGGGCTCTTCATCAGTACGCACCCACTCCTAGGGTTCGAACCCAGGACCTTCTGGTTGCAAGGTTAGCGGCGATCTCGTAGACCACTGAACCACTGAGACCTGAACAAATGACTAGGACATGAATTCCAATTTCTAGCAATTCACGGCATAGCGCAACCACTTCGCAATGTCTTCTGTTGGCAACAAATACATTAGTTATGCAGAACACCTGTTCGCTCAAAACCATCATGTTCTGTCTTGAAAATTAATCGGTCTATCGGCGAAGCTTTTGAAGGGAAGACAAGAGTAAAGTATAGCTGCTTACTATCACCAGTAATATTTCTCAATGTAGCCAAGTGGATCAATCGGCAGACAGTGAGTGTATATCGGACCAACAAGAAGACTCTAGAAGATTCGAACTTCGCGTACGACCTAAGTCGAATGTTTTAATAATCAACATTGTGGCATTAAGAACACAGTATTCAGCGAAGAGACTCTTTTCAACGAATTTATTATCAAGCTGTACAATCGTATATATTTGTATATATATGTAAATAACCATATATATATATATACGATTGTACAGCTTGATAATAAATTCGTTGAAAAGAGTCTCTTCGCTGAATATTGTATTCTAGGTCAAATGTCTCACAAACCTAAAGATCAACAGGCTGGTAGAAGAGACACCGACGACAGGACTTCAGATGAATAGAGAGAAGACAGAAGTGATAGAGATACCCACTGACCAACAACAACACCGAAAAGTGGCAATCACCATCACAGTGACACATTTGGAGGAAGTTACTTCATTTATCTGGGTAGCGTCTTTTCAACTGCAGGCAACAACACAGATGAGGAAGTCAAAACTGACCAGGACTAGAAAGGCATGACAAACCTTCATTAGATCTGAAATCAGTTGGGTAGTCTGTTGAACTAAAAAGCATGAAGAACAGGATTCAGAGATTTAAGGCTAACGTCAAGCCAGTTAGTTCTTCAGTATGGAACATTGGACGCTGGCTGACTGATAACGTGAGTCTAATAGGTCATAGGTTTTCTCCCCATTGGACCCATCGGTGCACGCAGACGAAGAGTCCTGAACGAGGACGAAACACCTGTGTGCCGCCTCCTGGTTTCCATTGTCAGCTCAAAATGGATCTTAAATTAAAGTCAAAGGAAATGTATGATATGTGCATATATATATATATATATATATATATATATATATATATATAGCCATCAGTTAAGCACAATTGTAATCACAACTTACCAGAGCCATTTCTAATTCACTGGCAGCTAATTTTGTCCCATTTCCAATGCGATACGATTGATCAGTTTGATAATCAGTTAGTAGCTTTTGTAAATCTTGATAAACAATTAATTGTTCAATGTCTGTTTTAGCTTTATCTTGTTTTAATAAACTATTTAATTCAATGATATAATGAATTCTATTCTTAGTTTCTTTTTGAATTTCGCCTAACCAGCTTTCAGTTGAACTAAGATCAATATTGGCCAAATCATTTTTAATTTGACGTGCATGTTCTTGCCAATTCATCAGTTCTGTGCTGGTACTTGCTTGACCGAATTCTTGTCGTCTTAAACGATCTAACCAATTTCTTATTGTACTTTCCATTGATTCAGCTTGATTGTACAATTCTTCAGTCTGTTGACTAATATCACAATTTGATTCATTTACACTTTCATAATTGATTTTTATTCTTTCATAACTGTTATGTATTTCATCAGTTTGTCGCATCAACTGACGTGTACGTGAAATAATCTCTGATTCAAGATCTTCACGTTGTTTTGTAAAACGTTGTTTAGTTGTTTCAACTTGTTGTCTAAGTCGTGCTAGACCACGATGTGCTAAACTTGTAATGTTCAGCCCATCGATGTGCGCTTTTACACTATCAGCTTTGATAAGCAATTCACCGGTACATGGTCCACGACAGTCTACAATAGAAAAATGGTGATTATAGCATGGCATAACGATTTTAATAGTAATAATATCCTTATTCTGGGCAGTATTTATAAAATGTATAGAATTTTCAGAGGAGTTATACTGTATGATGATCAGTAACTCAGGACTGAAAGTCTAGACTAAATGTTTGGAGGCAGAGGGCTTAGGCCAATGAGAAATAACTTGACAACAAGAATTTCATGAAGATTATTTAGTATATAATGTTTAGTCTTGCATAATATATCGCAGTTGTCTTATAGTGGAGAAATATTTCTTAACCGAACGACTTCATTTTCAAGCCAACTATATACAGTCGTAATTATATGCCAGAAAAATGGCGTTCAGTGTCACTGGAAATTGCTCAGTCAATATTGCACATGTGATAAGAATAAAGATAGTTATAATGGTGTATTAAGGTGGTGGCAGCCTGGAATGCCAGTCACCTCACTATCTCAGCTTCATCGACTTTGAAAAGGCCTTCGACAGCGCAGTGTCGATCGAGAGGTGATTTGGCATCCGCCGAAAATGATACATCTCATCCAACAGTTGTACGACAATGCTGCATGCCAAGTAATCCACAACAGGAAACTTACGGAAGCCTTCCAAGTGAAGATGGAAGTAAGACAAGGCTGGCTGCCTGCTATCGCCAATGATTTTCCTGATTGCAGTAGATTGGATAATGTGACAGACAGCGGGCAATCAGGAGACAGGCATAAAATGGACTCACACAAGAAACGTGGAGGATCTGGACTTCGCCGATGACATATATGTCTGATTTCCCACAAACTGGAAGATATCCAAGTGAAAAGCAACAAGTTGGCAGAAGAAGCATCCAGAGAAGATAGGACTTCAAGTGAACATAGATAAAACCCAGGTGATGAAGATTCCTGGCCACCAGCAACAGCAACAACAACAGACAACAATCAGCCAGCATAAATGAGAGGAACCTGAAAGAAACAACCTCCTTTACCAACCCACCTACCTGGGAAGCATCGTTTCAACTACGGACGGAACTGCTGAGGATATCAAAGCGAGAATCGGAAAAGCAAGACAAGCTTTCATTACTCTCAAGTCTGTGTGGAGGTCAAAAACACTCATCAGCATCAAAAATAAGATCCGGATCTCCAACTCCAATGTGAAGTCAGTCAGTGTTACTATACGGATCAGAGACTTGGCACCGCATCACGAAGGGCACCTCAAACAAACTTCAGATCTTCATTAACAGTTGTCTTTGCTCAATATTCAAGATCAGATGGCCGACCAGAAGAGACCAGCAATAGGGATCTCTGGGAGCAAACCAACCAGGAGACGACTGTGAAACAAATCTGCAGGAAGAAATGGAGATGGATTGGCCACACTCCGAGAAAAAAACCATCAAGTGACATCACTAGACAAGCCATTGTTTGAGTGGAACCCGACAGAATAGGAATCGGCTAGTTGATCTTCAGTGCAAGGGTGACTTTGAGGAGGTCATGTGAAGAGGAGATGATAGCATGTGGGCAGACTTGGATCCAGGTGGAAACTCTTGCAGACAAGCGAGCGCAATGGAGGCGCGCAGCTGAAGCCATATGTTCCTCTAGGAATTAAGGGAAATAATATTTAAGGCGGTAGGGTAGAGTTGAAGCGGATGAATTACAAAACTTTTGAAGATTATTGAACATAAGTCGACTGGTGCAAATATTTTAAAATTGTAGACCAAGCCTTGTCTAAACAAAATTAAGTGTGCTACTATGATAACAGTAAAGACGACGAAGATGAAGTGAAGTGGATTGCAATCAAGTGGTAAAATAGAATCAAATAAATAGAGCATAACTATGACCAATGTAAAGAAAGGGGTTTAACGAAACGTTTCTCAATATATAATTTAGGTTTCTGTCCATTTATGGCTAGAATTTCGGCTATGCATAAGTGGAGAAAACGTAAGCTTTTGAAGTGATTGAATTTGGTTCTGTAAATAACTTTGAAGGAAAAGTCACCTGGGTCTGAATGATCTAACTACAGAATGTGTTTACAAATTGAAGAATTCATTATCCTGTCATCGTCTTCCATTAACCAAACCGGTTAGTGTTCACCTACGCATTTATGGAGAACACGATTACAAAGTCTAATGTAATCAGCTGCATTAGAGGATGTTAATGGGTATACGCATATAGTGGTGAAAATAAGCGGTAGTTCATCCTTGATGCATTGTCGAATCATATTTAAGCTGGTGAGTACGCAATGAAAGTCAGGGATATAAGAAGAGCGCTTAATATATTTAGATAAACGACTTTTAATCAATATTTAAGTGTTGGTTTGTAGGGATTTGATTGGTTACAGGATTTCATCATGAGCTGAGAACCATTGGAAAACCTGGGAGTACTGGACAGGTGTCTCGTCCTAGTTTGGGACCCTTCAACAGTACGCACCCACCGGAGTTCGAATTCAGGACCTTCTGGTTACATGGATAGAGGTCGCGCTATGTGGTGAATTCGCAGAAGTTAGAATTCATGGGCCATTGGATTGAGTCCCGGTGGCTGAATGGTGTACGAGCCAGCTTGCCTTGTAACCAAAAGGTCCTGGGTTCGAATGCCGGCGGTGGGTTCGTACTGATGAAGAGTCCCAAACTAGCACGAAACAGCTGTCCAGTACTCCCAGGTTTTCCAATGGTTCTCTGACCATGATGAAATCCTGTAGACTTTTATTCACTTCAGCAAGAGTGCAACCTTTGTACACCAAACTCATAAACAGTGTGTTCCTTGACAGTGTGGTTTGGCTGCAGACGACTTCTTTCTCGATGTTTCTTTCAGTAAACCTCCTAGGATATCCATTATTTAAGAGAGTTGGGCGGAGATTTTCGAGTTCCATGTCGACCATATACCTATGGAGAAGATTTTCCGAATTCTAGAGCATAAAGAACGGGTGAGATTTCTCTTCCTAACTAGAGGTACCCAACTGTTGAAGTTAGTGTGCTGACATATAAATGTCGGCCTTCAGTAAGTCAATTTTTTCAACATTCCATCCTCACTTCTATCCTGCGTAACATCTTAGAATTGAAATGCCAGATTGAAAACCGTCTGTAACGGGGATAGTTCTCACTGATAAGTTTCATGACTGTGTTACCAAGATCTAGGTCTTGACTTGGATATTTATTATGCAGTAGCAGATTAGACACCATATTTAGATTGGTCCGTGTGACTTTTAAATTAATTTTTGCATCAACCCCACACTCTGGTAATAAAAATGAAGTCTACAAAAAAAATTGTTCCACATACCGCGACAAGTTCCACGATCAACAACATGATCTTCTTCGCATTGACCACATCGACGTCCTTTTATACCAGGCCAACAATCACACTGGCCAGTTTCCTGGCTACATGTCTCTGATCTTGAACCATCCATATCACAGTCACACGGTTGACAGGCAATCATACTTGTCGGATCACCATAATAACCTCGAGCGCATTGTTCACAGCGTAAACCAGTATAACCTGGCTTACAAATACATTTATGTGGTAGATAGGTAGGATCTGTTGACGGCGTACAAGTGATTGCATAGCTTTAAAGTAATTGAAAATACAGAAATATGTATGCATATATAATCTAATCAAATTCACAGTTTACAAAGTGCACAGTTACAGGTAAGAATTCATTGAAATTTCATTTAGAAACTAAGGTTATTCCGATCACAAAATTTGATCTACTTGACACGACATAAGGTAACTATATACTAGACCAGTAAGAAGACTCTAGAAGATCTGGATTTCGTGAACGACTTATGTGTAGAATTGAATTTTTGGTTTTCCCGTCGATTGATTGGACCGAAGTGCTCGGTCTCAGGTTGACATGTCGGCTTCTTGTGGCTCTCGTGACCCAAGTGGTCTAGTGGATAACGCTTTGACGTTTGAAACTATGGGTACTGGGTGCCAGCCCCGGTGGGAACATCATCACTCACTGAGAAATGCAGGTACATCCAGCTGAAGAGTCCCAAATAGGACGAAATGCGCATCCTGGATTTCACTGCTAACCACCATCCACCAATTGTAGACTTATGTGTAGTTTAACGAAACTCAAAGACTTACAGGCGAAAACTAACAAACTGGTTGAAGTTGATATAAGTATAAAACTTGGGCACTGTGGTAAAGCATAACTCCATTATGCATAAGATTTTATTTGGATAAATCACACAGTGTTGTACAGTAATATTAACTGATGACGTTTCATATGAGATGAAAAGTAAACTAAATGACATTCAACTAGAGAATGATGAAACAATGGTTAGTTTTGATGTAACTAGTCTTTATACTAACATACCAATCAATATGGCCTTAGAAGCAGTTAAAAAAGAACTAACTGCAGATCCTGAACTCAATCATGGGACAAAGCTGCCCATTGGAGAAATTATTTTAGGAATTCAGTTATGCCTCATATCTACCATCTTTAAATTCCAAGGCAGAATATATAGAAAAACAGAAGGTGTAGCAATGCGATGGATCACCAATATCCCCTATCGTAGCAGACATATTTATGGACAGCTGGGAAAATAGTGCTCTTAATACATTTAATTCTGCTCCAAAAATATAGTGGAGATATGTGGATGACACTTTCACAGTGTTAAAAACAGAACATATCTCTAGCTTCTTGACACATATAAACTCACTAGTAAAGGGAATAAAATTCACTTTTGAATCGGAAAATGAACAAGAGAACAGAGTATTGGGCGTGGGTCAGACGGCAACTTAGAGAAAGTCGTATGGGATGGAGATGAGAGATTATGGTCTATCATGCAACAATGTTCGTCAAATACCTAAGTGATTTAAAGCTGATTCTACGGTCAGTGAAAGACAGATCTCTATGTCATACGTCAGCAACTCTTATGTACCATGATTGATATGTGGCACATGATGATTATACCAAGAGTCACCTTGAAAGGATCTATTATTTCCACAAAAGAACTGATTATTAATCCATTTCATATAGTTTAGACTTACTCAGTTTGTTCAGTTGGACATTGACATTTAACACATGGCTGACCGATTCTTGGATCACCCATATAACCGATAGAGCATTTACCACAATCTGGACCTTCTGTATTCCCAGTACAATTCACACATACTCCTGTTACAGGATCACAATTCGATGACATACCATAACAATGACATTTTTTCGATCCACCTTCCCATATAATATGTCCAGGAGGTAATGAAGGGTCAGTAATAGCCTCTGGTGGTTGAATATCACGTCCTGGTTTAGGTTCAATTGGTGGGAAGTAGAATCCAGGCGATGCAATCTAGAAGAGGAGTGAAAAGAATATCATTTCAGTGGAATTCAACACTTGTAAATAAGGTGTGCTTCAATAAATTATTGAGATTCAGCTTCCAAGTGTTAGATTGAGCCAAAAGGCTCAATTATAACTCAGTTAGATATGACTTTTGTATCTAGTTCAATGTGGGGAATATTTTCAAATGAACAGCTGGTCAGAGTGTTGTATCCGCTGGCACACTGTCGTCATGCCAGACAGCAACCAACGAAAATGCTGACACTCCATTATAACAACACCATCAGTTCAGATTTTAACAACAGAAGACAAGGGCCAGGCAACAGGTCGTTTATTAAGGAAAATCAACACATATTTATAGATTTTCATGTACATATTATAGATTATTGTTATCATTATTGGTTGCTTCTCACAAAAAGTTAACCTTCCATCTCTTTGTGACTGTTTCTTGAATGTCAGATCATCTATATGTTACCTGTATCCGCCTACGCAAAGCCTTTGTTCTCATTTTTCTCACAAAATCAACATTGACGTAAATTACTTTCCACCAGTTTTGACTAACAGCCAGCTTTCACCACACTTATACCCCCGTCAAAGACTTGTGACTGAAGTTGGTTCGGTCTTCTTGGTTCTAGGAGCTTTTCTCGTTTGTTTTGCTGTCTCAAATGTCGGCACTTGTTGATGTTCACCTGTTTCTCTTTGTTCACCATTGCCATTATGTCTGCGTAACGCCATCTCAACGTGACCATATGTAGTCCTTCCAACCGTGGAAACTGTTTTCCTGACCCTGTCGCACATTCGTCAGTATTGCACCTTACACTTTCATATGCTTCTTTCTCCCGACCACCCAGCAGCATCCCAAGTAGCAGGCCCTTCGCTGACAGATCTTGAACACCACTTAACTGCACAGAAACCTCGAAGTCCTGCCCGAAGATGCATATGTCTCCATAAAAAGTTGCAGTGCATAGGCTTTCCATTTGTCGGTAGGCAGCGACACCAACAACAGAAGACAAGGGCCAGGCAATAGATCGTTTATTGAGGAAATCAACACATATGTAGAGATTTTCATGTACATGTTATAGATTGTTGTTAGCAGAAAAACATAGTCCTCTGATAGGTTGTTTTTCACAGGAAGTTAACCTTGCATCTCTTTGTGACTGTTTCTTGAATTTCAGATCATTCATATTTTACCTGTATCCGCCTACGCAAAGTCTGCTGTCATTCTTTGATCTTGTTTTCACATGACTAATATTTGGGGACATAAAAAATTGACGTAAATTACTTTCCACCAATTTTGACTAACAGCCAGCTCTCACCACAAGATAACTTCAGGTTATTCTTAGACATCGTTAAAGCTTCCGGCATATCAGCAGACACCGAAAATTTAGTCGAAACGCAATCAATTAGTCAAAGAGGGAGGTAAAATTAACTTGACAATAAAGAATAAGAGGCATTTTCGAATAAAACACGGATACACAGGCGCGCGCACACACACACTTACCTCACAATGATCCCCAGTGGCTGTTGGTGGACATTCACACTTTTCAATTGTTTTAATTTCAGTACCAGATAAAGTTGTAATTTCTGTACGTGCTTGATAAATTTTGTACTTTACACTGTAAAAATTAACCAAAATGTGAAAACAGAATATCTTTAGTCAAAACTTAAACAGATATTTTAATAGATTATCTAGTGTGACGATGGAACGTTGGCCACTTGAAGAGGCATATTTAGTTAGAATAATCTTAAGTTATTATTACGCGTCCCTGATTCAGTTGTAGGACTGTAGGCAGCCACACACGAGGTCAGGGATTTGATTTTTGGCCGGCGCATTATTAAACATCGCCTAGGTGTTAGTAAACCTGGTAGAAGATGAGGGATGGGCGTTAAGCTTAGAAACCCATGGAAACCACCAGTGCTACGGTGAAGCTTCACAAGATTAACGCTCGAAGGCCTTTAGTCAAAGGGGAACGCAAGGGATTGAAGAAAATATATATGAGCACTGTGCTAGAATGTAATTCAATTTTAAATACTCCTCAAGAGTTCGTTCGCACTCCATGGAGGTTTTCAACAGCTCTCTAACTTATATCAATCAGTGTTCAGATTTGAAACAGTGCGTCGGTGGCACAGTGGTTAGGACTCTCGCCAACCATGCACATGGTCCCGGGTTCGAGCCCTCGCCGACGCACACCTGATATCTATGGTCGGCCTGCGAATTTTGGGCTACCGATATCCACGCTAAAAATTCCATACTTGTACCAAAAATACAGTGTGGAATCAAGCTGTAATCAAAAATAAAAATTAAAAAAATAAATAAAAAACAGTTCAAATCTCTACAATCAAACTCGTGAAAGTTGATCTGGTGCTCAGCAGGGACTGGCCACAGGACGAGGTTGCCCGGAATGGGTTCTTTTGAGAAGTCATGACCTTCAAGTTGGGTCCACCTGTTTGGCACTGTGGACAGATACTCACCGATGAGATTCGTTTGTGGTCTTGATAAAATCACGAGTCGGTAGAAGTTAGAATTCTTTGGCCACTGAGTCTAGTCCTAGTGTCTGAGGGGTCAGTGAGCTTGACTTATAAATTGGATGTCGTGGGTTCGAAACTTCGGTGGGTGAGTACTGCTGATGAGTTACAAACTACACACTCGGATTTTTAACACCAATGTTAACCTACTCAGTCAATCAGTGAGTTCTTCTGTATCGGTCAGAAACTTGGCCGGGGTATCATGAAAAGCATTTCCACCAAGTTACAGAATTTCATCACCAGCTACCAACTTCGTTGGCTGGTTCCATACTGGAGATAAAAATGGCCGGCTGGCTGGCCAGAAACAATTAGCCACAAGAAACTCTGCAGTGGAACAAACCAACAGGTCAGAGTCGATTGCTCAACAAATATACAGGAGAAAAATGGAGATGCTTGGGTCGGGCATAAGATGAGGAAGCTGTCGGATGACGCCGCACTCAATGCAGGTCATCGCTGGAGTGTAATCCACATGGGGAGCGACAAGTGGGTCGCTGGTGTGAGATTGACATGTAGGGGATGTGGAGATGAGAGATTATGGTAAATCGTGGGCCCTGTTGTAGAGGACAGCACAGAATTGAACAAAGTGGATATGTATTGTTGAAGGCGTATGTTCCACTAGGAACCCAAGGGAGTGGAAATAGCAATAATACAGAAATGATGATAAGCAATAGATTGTTCTGGAACAGTTGTCCAGTTGTTAACACTGTATCACGTTCTGTGTGATACAGGGATTAAATCTTATAGGGAATCACTTGCGACATAAGTCTAAATGGGTATATTCCTTGCTTTTAAATCTCTATGTGGCGACTGTTAACAGGCACAGAAGCCAGTCAAGGTAATATTCATTGACTTCTTGCGCCACTGAGTTTAATCAGTTGAAGGTTTGTTCTGAATAAACGTCTGAATAAACGTGCTACTGATAGTTATGTCACAAATGGGACATAAGAACATTGTACAAGAAATTAGTGCTTCAATGTAGAAGCATTGAGGCTAATACTGTGACACAGAATCACCATCTCAAGTGGCTGGTTTCACAGACAACAACTGTAAAAAAATTAAATTCGTCATTTTTGTAGATTATACGCTTCGTTGTAGAGATTAACACCACAGTTTCCTTCGAAGACCAGAAGAATTTCAGATGATGAAACCTAATTACATGTATTATCGATTCTCCCAAATAGTCAGCCTGGTGGAAAGCCGCTAAAATTCGTTCGACTCCATTGACAACATGAAATAGGATATACAGTTGATGAGATTATAACAACCTGTTGGTGTTTGGATCACTTCGATGTGATTAGTATTCACTATTGATTAGTTTGAATGCTTTCAAACTAATCGTATAAGCTAGTTGTACATACCAGCTTGCTGTATTCACTGTGAAAAGTGTTCATTTGATTTCAGTTTTCATTTCAATTAAATATTATATAAGCAGGAGAAGGATGACATCTTCTCTGAGAAGAACATTCTTAGCAACAACGCTAAGAATAGTGTTCTCCAGTTGCCTATTGATCTGCAGACCCCTTGAGGATAATATCCTGCATCTGACCACTTCTATTCGCATATATCGGTTCACCTGCTTCTGTAGAACCACGTACATTGGTTGTTCGACGCGTATCCTGTCCAAGAGGATTCAAGAACACTATCCAGCCAACATGGTTGCGAAAAGGCAATAGTGGTGCAATAAGGAGTACGATAATTGAACACCTGGTTAACACTTATCATTCCATTTCAACAAACACCTCCTGCTTCAAAGTATTCTACAGAGTCAAGAATAACCTACCAAAGGCAATACGGTTTCGTTTTCTTTTTATCGCTGAAGCTCTGGCCATTCACACAGAAAAACCGGAGCTGTGGATACAAAAGAGAATTACTCAACCAATTCTATTATCATGGTAACAACTTTGTTGATTTTTGATGACTTAGTTTTGCTTGTTTGCCTGTTTCTTTAATTGCTTATAATTCTTGTATTCATTTAGAGCTCTTGCGTAATTTCATATTCTCTACTTGGTTTCGATGTGTCTCCTGAGTACACTCAATCTTCAAACTATTTATATTAACTACATAACTCCTTTTTAACATATGTTTGTGAAAATTCATCAACTACCTTTGTTACTACACTAGTTTGATGAACACCCAATTTTCTTGCTAATTTCCACCATTATATTTAAAATGAGCATAACCAATTGTATTTTGTTTGACAAATTTTATGTACACATACATCCTTTACGTTCCCAGTGGAATATAGGACTTCAAGCCAGAGCTTTGAAATTTCGATGACAGTGTTGTTTATTTTTACGAGATGGATTTGACAGCCTCATGCACAACCTTCCCTCTTTACCAGTCCTATTACTAGTTTAGCGAGGAAAATGATTACATCCACTGACCGGGGATTGAACCCCAAACCATATTCATGGTCGGCGAACATACTACCTCTGTGCCACCGATGCACACACATCCAAAATAACTTATATATATATATATATATTTGCGATTGTACAGACAAGAAAATGAATTCGCCAGCGAAAACAGACTCTTCCCTGAACTACGTGTTCTAAATATACGTGTAAAACTTGGGCATTGCGGTAGAAAATAATTCCATATCAGTTTGTTTATTAAATGTGCCACGCAGTGAAACAGTAATATTCACTGGATGACGTTTCGAACAAAATTTATTGTTCATAATCATTTCATCAATTGTAATCACACGACTTTGAAACTTGAATTTTATAGTTTTCTTTGTTCTCTCCTATCTGCCGTCGTAGGGGTAGTAGAATTTTCCAGATGTCTGGGACAGGTGCTGAATCATTCCTATTACATGTATTTGTAGTTGATTCGATAAACAAAGCCTCTGTTATCAATCTCTCCCTCCACCCTGTGACATTAGATTTTAAAACTGTTATCTTATCCCATCCATCCTATTGTATGCTTGTGTGTAACTGCATGTGGTGAGTGCTATCTACGGCTGAACAATTCTCTAGATTTCTTATCTTATTCGGGCCAACCAATCTAGATTTTGCTAGGTTTTTATGTTCAGCTAGTCTGACTGTCCCTGTTCTACTAGTTTCACCAATGTATTTGACCTGACAATCATTGCGGCAGAAGGGTATTAGATAAACTAAATTGTTTTGTTTTAAAGTCTTCACAGGATCCTTTAATCGACAAAGCTTGTTTCTAATTGAGCTTGTGAGTTTGAATGCCACTTTTATTAAGAGCCTCGAAAAACTTACGCAGGATTCTTAACAAGGCAGGAATAAAAGTGGCTCGCATTCAAACTTACAAGCTCAATTAGAAACAAGCTTTGTCGATTAAAGGATCCTGTGAAGACTTTAAAACAAAACAATTTAGTTTATCTAATACCCTTCTGCCGCAATGATTGTCAGGTCAAATACATTGGTGAAACTAGTAGAACAGGGACAGTCAGACTAGCTGAACATAAAAACCTAGCAAAATCTAGATTGGTTGGCCCGAATAAGATAAGAAATCTAGAGAATTGTTCAGCCGTAGATAGCACTCACCACATGCAGTTACACACAAGCATACAATAGGATGGATGGGATAAGATAACAGTTTTAAAATCTAATGTCACAGGGTGGAGGGAGAGATTGATAACAGAGGCTTTGTTTATCGAATTAACTACAAATACATGTAATAGGAATGATTCAGCACCTGTCCCAGACATCTGGAAAATTCTACTACCCCTACGACGGCAGATAGGAGAGAACAAAGAAAACTGTAAAACTCAAGTTTCAAAGTCGTGTGATTACAATTGATGAAATGATTATGAACAATAAATTTTGTTCGAAACGTCATCCAGTGAATATTACTGTTTCACTGCGTGGCACATTTAATAAACAAACTGATATGGAATTACGTGTTCTGTTTTCATTATATAGTAAAAATTGTACCCGTGTCAGATAATTTTCAAATTAAACATACCTTACAAGTTTTGGTCTTGCTTCAGGCATAAATAAACGTACACTGAATGATGTAACGTTGAGTAGGGCTAACATTAATTCCCTACGTTTTGGTCGAACACGTGTATCAACACCTGCTACACGCGTTAATACCCAGTCTTGTTCACGAAGCCATATTTGACGAAAACCATCGATAATTGATGTATGCGAACCTTCCTGTAAATTATGAAAAGAAGGAGAATAACATTTACACACTTATTCATCTAACAGATAAGCATTGCATCAGGACCACGCGGCACGGGGTTCAATCCCTGGCCAGCGCACTCCTTAACCTCATAAAGCCTCTAGTAAGTTCACTTAAGACGTTGGATATGAAAATAACAACCCCGTACTGTGAAAATAGATACCAAACTTACTGAAAATTCAAAGCTCAACCTTCAAGCCTTACGTTGCACACGTAACTCAGAGGATTAAATCGAATTATGATAAATAATTATGGCATCAAGGATCAATAATCCAACCTTCTAAACTATTAAAAATTTGAATTATTAGGTTTGACTGCTGATAATCTCCGATCAAAAAGGGTTAATTATTCTCAGTACTTAAGTGTCATTAGATTGGTGCTGTCTAACAGAAGAATCTATCAAGTGTGTTTCATCCCTTATGGGACCTCGTCAACCGGATATACTTGGATTCTAAGTGAGTGATGAACGATATCTCCAGTGAAATTTGAGGGAAGCACTCGTTGTTTTAAACACTAGTATGGTTGCTTCAACGGTGCCATCGAGATAAACAACGTCTTCACTGATGAAAGTTGAGGGTTATGTATATATATATATATATATGTTTCTACATGGCAGGACTGCCTCACACTCAACTTTCTATCTTACTCGCAATTACTACTGGCTCGTAGTAAGCTTGCTGAGGTGTTTAGGAGTATTTTGGCCTGAGTTCGATCCTGGACCAAGCGCGCGATTGGAAGACATTCCGACAATTTACTATTCATATCATTCTGGGGCTGAACATTTTCTCTTGTGAAACAACATACTGTGATAGCCCTTCACTATTTGAAAGTATTCGGAAACCCTGTCTAAAATCTCTCGTTTACATTTAAAATTTTTAAATTTATTCTTTACCAACCGACTTAATTTCCTATCCCCCAAAATCATTTATTACGAAGGAAACAACTGACTAACTTATGAGAGATTACATTTTGCATCTATAAGTTCACCACGACTATTTTATGTGGAATTCAAGGGATAATGCAACTCTGAGAATCAAAAGATGAGTAGAAAAGGGATGAACATCAATGTGAGAAGGTTTTTTCTTATAACCCTGTCTCATTAATACATCCTCAGAAAGTTGTCGCTTTTTATGTCCACTTGGTACTGAGTCATGTTTAATATAATATGCAGACGTGATGACATACATTTCATATTTCAAAAAAACATCAGTAACAGACAATATGCATCAGTATAACACTAAACTGAGGGAAATAACACAGAATTAATGAGTTCATAGGCTACACAGAAGGCCAGAATAGCAATAGTGGATGTTTGAACCTGCTTATTTTCTACAATGACCTCCAGTTGTTCTAGGCAAGTTGCAATGGCCTCTACTGTTTGCAGTGTTCGGTATTTAGAGGTCTTTGACGGTTTATTTGATACTCAGTAGGTGGTAGAGAAAGATTCTTGAATGCTAGTTCGTTAGGGGTTTGTTTGCACGAGATGGTCCAATTTGGAACTGTTAAGCGTTTTGACAACACCTTTATTTAACGACACTGTTCTCGAGTACGAAAAATTAGGTTTCTATAACAACGGCAAATGTAACTGGCACACAGGAGAGCAGCTGGATTATCAGATACAATTAGAGGCGTCTAGACCAAGTACTTCGTCTTTCATTTGAGAAGTCACAACCGTTTGTATGGAAAATACAAGCTCCAGCTTCCTGGCATTAAATATTCTTTCGATCAATTTTTTCAACTTGTTGGTTATTATTTCACTTGGTATATCTCCTTTGAACTGTAGTCTTGTATATATAGGCACTTTTAAGAGATGATCTGATACTTTACAGATCTGAACTAAATAGTTAAAAAAATATTCCCATACACTTCAGATATTGTATTTATAGTTTCTTGACTAGAGTGGAAAATGCAGCGATAACAGACCTTATATCAGTGAAACAGATGCTCACTAACGACTGGCTCTATAGAGCAAGTTATGCGGAGTTCGAATGAGAATTTGTGAGCCATGGGGTCCACCAGGTCAGACAAAAGAACAGTTACTCGCTTGTGACACTGGCTGGCGGCTGAGCTAGATACACCGTAAATTGGGAGGAGTCGGAATTCATGAGTCATTGGTTCAGGTCCAAGTGTAACCCCATTGGGCGCCTATAGCAGAAGAGACCTGAACTAGGGTAAAACATCTCTCCAGCATTCCCTAGTTTCGCGATGGTTTTCTAAATGATGTCAGGTAATGACCAGAACAGCCTTTGTATGATTGAAGCAGTCAGTGATATCGTTAAGATTTAAGAATGTCATCAATTCACGAATATCTACAAAAAGAAAAAACACTGTGATTCAAACAAATTGAGAAATTCAAACTGAGTGTCAGCACATTTTGCGAGTATGTTCGGTCTATAATCTAGAGATGGCAAAAGAGACTTCGTTTTAAATGATTTCATTGGTCGATTGCTCGATATCGATCCATAATGAGAACTTCTCACCGATCAGCTAGTTCCCTACAAAGTACCTAACAATATAATGGCTTAATATCCACAAGTGATCAACTAAAAGATGAATTCCGTAGAGTTATAACTAGAATTAGTGACCAGTTGGAGGCCATTAGGTTAGGGGAGAAGACAGTTAATCGCCAAGATAGGTCGATGACATCCACGTAAATTTGCCAATGCATACTAATGCATACAGATAGTTACAAACAACCTGAAAATGTACAAATCTTAAACAAAAGAAACACTAAGAATGCCAGGGAATTTGTGGAAGTCTGGTATTCAGATTCATCAAGCAATCAGACAGAATTCACACACAGATAAAGGGTTAACTATCAGCTTAGTAAAATAATTAGCAGGAATACAAGTGAACATGAGGGTAAGAAAACCTGATGAAAGAATCACTTGCGTGCAAGGTCTTCGGAAGAGATGGCAAGGAGATACCTAAAAGCTCATTTCATATTAGAGTTTTCACTGAATATATTACACATAAAGAAAGATAATGTATAGCTCGCAATTTAACCATCCAACTCAAAGAGGATGCCTGTAGTAAGTTGCGAATACTTAGAATTATCGATATTATTCCACTGGGTTGCGAGTGGAACGTAAGGCTTCAACAAGACCGCCCCACTTTGTTCTATTCTCTACTGTCCTCTTGAGCTGGGTCCATGACTGTCCATATTCTCTTATCCCCTCATTGCGCATTTGTATATCAAATGTTAAATTGTTCCTTATTGTTTTGCCTCTGTCCCTGTTTAACCTCAAATTTTAATGCCTTTCTTTGTGGTTTTGTGGCTACTTTTATAATGTCTGGTTGTTTTACGGTGTGATTTTGTTTGAGTGAGTTAAAGTTCTTCTGACCATGAACTGTCCAATGGAAGTACTGATACCTAATTCTTGTGGACAGAGTTTTTGATCCCACTTTGTTAGGAATATTCTGCTGCATGCTAAGATACTTCTTATGGTTCTAGTGGTACTTGGTTTGTTCTTAGAAAATGACCTTATGTGTATAGCTGCCTAAAGCCACTGTCTAGGTAATTTTATGTTGTTGAATGGGATCACGGATATGTCGTTTTAGTGTCTTTGGAGCGTCTTTGTGACTGTGTATTTCGCAAGGAAGTGTCTGATAGCTATACAGTATAACGCAAAGATGAATTCCCTACGTTCAGAAGACAACAAGCCAGTTTTTTGGTCGTTTTGCTTGCATCATGCCAATTGATTCCCTGGTTCCCAGTGAAAAATACAGTATGAGAAGCATTTGAAAGAGTACGACTTTGTCGTCAGTATGTAATTAAAGACAAATTTAACATTTTTATGATCGACTTACAGATGGTTGATATTCTAATTCTAGTAGACCATTTAACGCTGTCATACGAGCATCAATGAATTCAGTTCTACGCATAACTAAACCTCCAATTACATCTGGTCTACTTAAAGCACTTGATTTTTCTTCAATCCCAAGTTTACAATCACCAGTTGGTAAACATTCTGTCGACACAGCGATAAGTACACTGCCGTAGTTACGCATCTACAAACAATGGGGAAAAATAAAAATTATAAGAGAAGTAAGTCATATTTAAAATGAGATGATAGTGCTCACCAGTCACCCATGTGGTTGTGGTTGAGTTTCCAGCCGACACACGATTAGAACCCCACCCGTTCGATAATAAGCCCGGGAAAAGGGTTTGAAGCGACAAACCTTACCAAGTAGAAAAACAACGCTTGTGAAACGTCAGGGCTAAAGTCTTGGAGCCCAAGATTCCACTCGGAATAGAGAGGAACGTTAACGGCATTAACTGACACAGTCGTCTTTACATGATTTTATCAAAATCAAATCAACTAATCTGAAGACAACAGAATGGTTTATATGTGTAACCTAACGGATATCAACACCAGATATTTTAAATTTAGAATATCAACGGGCTAATGGCAATCTAAACAGTATAATTCTGTCGATAATTTGACTATCCCAAGTCAGTAAGTCCCGTGATAAATCATCCAGTTGAAGAAAGATTCAGAAGTCACTGAAATATACTATCTAACTTCAAGATGAACATGTGACATGTGAAGTCAACTGTAAACAGTAAGAAATGTTTACCCAAGTGTAGAACATGTTGATTCCTAATAAGAAATATTCTATTGACTGAGTACTGTTTTCCAATACAACCAATAGCATGAATTCATATAATCTGACTTTAGTTAGAGAACCATTGAAAACCATCGAGTACTGGACATCTGTTTCGTCCTAGTTCGGGACTCTTCACAAAAACGTATTCATTACCTCATCACAGAACGAACCTGGAATTTTCAAGTCACAAAGAGAGCTAGCTGAGCATTCAATAGTTGGAATAGAACCCACTTGCTAGCGACTTTTGGCGTCACCGGCAGCCAAAGCCATCGCCTAGTATTGGTCGTTACACTCGACCTTGTTGACTCTACTGTTCATTACTTCTCAAGTGAACCCCAGGTTGCATCGTCCTGTGGCCAGCAAGCATTACATTAATTTCCAAGATTCAGGGGTTGACTCGTTACCACAGTGGAATAATATCGTTGACCTGGAATATGAGGATGATATAGTCCTTCTGGGCGAAGACGTTGAAAAATGCAGAGTCATCTGAACACTTTGAGGAGCAGCAATCTTCGAATGTTTGGCATGCGGTTCACTCCTGCTAAATTTAAGAAGATGCTGCTGGACTGGACTACATTAATTTCTAGTTTAGAAAAAGGAACCACTTGTTATTTGGGGAGTTGCATCAATCAGTGTCAACGGGTTGATCACTGACGAAATCTCAGCCCGGATACAGAAGACTCATTTTGCATATGCCAGTTTATGCTGTCTCTAGCTTAGTAGACGTGATAAATGGCTGTTTGTTAACCAAAGGACGTGTGTAATTCTCAGCAGTCCGCTCCCTCCAGCTCTATGGCTGCGAGACCTGGTCATTGAGAATGGAAGGCATGAAAAGGCCGAGTGGCTACCTTTGGTCATAGGTGTATGCGTTTTATCTCCCATGTTAGGTGGTGGTAAAAAAAGGTGAGCAATATTGATGTTGGGTATCGGTCGAGTGTTAGGTAGGGTCAGATTGGAAAAGAGCCAATGGTGGTCCAACCAAAACAAGGCTTCATCAGTCAATAAAATCAACAACTGTTAGTTTAATTCTCACAGAAACGTGTAGACTTCTTACATGGGGTCCTCGGGATGGTAAAAACCAATGAAGGTTGGAGACAACTGGTGATATACCTCAAAGGCATTCTCAGTAATGGCTGGCGCAGATGCATCCACTCCTTGTGATTTATGATATTCACTAAAATTCTATTGTTCTTTCAAATTACTACTCATTTTGCCTCATATCTTTGTTTATTATCTCTCTATGTCTTTTGTATCTCTCTTAACTCTCTTCTCCTGCTTTGTGTGCTACATGGAGGGAGTGTGGCAACTCGAACTGCTGCACATCGGTGTAAAGTCCTACGTTTAAACCAAGCGGTCAGTCAGTCAGTAGGTATATAGTTTGTTTTAAGTTTGGTCACGGGATTATATCAGTTGTAGGATCATTGAAAAGCAGGAAGCACTGGACAGCTGTTTGTCCTACTTTGGGCCTCCTCAACAGGAGAATACATCCATGATCACATCCAACGAGGACCAACCACAGAAGTTTCAGGTTATGAGTCGAATCTGTTGACTGTTCAGTCAATGTCATGCAATTAAGTGACCGCATGAATTTTAATAAACGCTAAAAAAAATAACTGAAAACCTTTAAATAAATAAACAAACAAACAAACACAACACTTACCAGTGAACCTTTTAGCTCTGGTATTTCTAAATGTGTTGGTCGATGAACAGAGAAACGCCAGTTGAATTGACTTAAACCGATGCTTAAATCACTCATATCCATATCAGTAAGTCCAAGTTTCAGATCAATCAATGGACCGCCTGGATATCGTGGATCATCAGTAGAAATGATCTTTTTTAAAGAGAGAGAAAAGAGAGGAGTACAAAGTGAATTTAGGAAATAAATGTTTAGAAACGTTGCCATTATTATCATTATTATTATTTCAATGCGTTAAGTCATAGGCAATTTTCTCTAAGATATCTCAACACTTTTTAGCGAAACTGAATGTCAAGAAGGGAACTGGCCAAGAATGTATTAACCAAACAAATACAGAGAAATAAAAACGAGAATGGATAGAATATACCCTGAATAGAAAGACACCTCTAGACAGTATAACACTCCAGCCTGTGGACTAGAACCTGCATGTCAAGAGACAGGTTAGATGTCTAAGAATGAGAGGAAAGAGGTCGTGTGAAGAGGATATGAAAGCTTAAAGACAAGTGTAGAGCTGGTTGAAAGCAGTTGCAGGGAATTTAGTGTAATGAAGAGGTTCCTCCAAGGCTTTGTGTTCCACTTAGACCACGAAAAAGGGATGAAAATAATAGTAATGCCAATATGTGACATAAATATTACTGTGTTTACTGAAAAAACGTGAATATCCCAGAACATCCATAAGTAGTGGCGGTCAGTTGTTAAGCGTTGAACAGCAGTGTTCGCCAAGTAGTAAACTCATCAGCAGTGACTGACCAACGACTGAAGCTCTGACATAATGGAAGGGCTTCATCATCATCAAGCATAAAATATAGTTTGAATGATGCGAAAACGAAAAACAACTATCTGGATAGTATGGGTGATGGTGTTGTATTTGAGGGAGAAATAGTACTCCTAGGCGGATAGATATGCGGTCATAATAATGTCCTTTCCTCTTGTAATAATCAGTATTTCACATGTGTAGCCTAACAGTTCTGAGAAGAAATTATTATTATTACTCCCTTGGGTTCCAAGTGAAATATATGGCTTCAAAAACACATCTGTACTTCATTCTATTTTCTACTGTTCTCTTCATCTGCGTCCACGACTGCCCATAGTCTCTCATCTCCTCCAAATCGCACGGTCTCCTCCATGTTCAATCCGCACTGACTATCCATTTGCCGTTTCCCATTGGGATTCAACTCAAGTGATGGCCTGCATTGCACATGATGTTATTCAACGGTCTTCTCATCGGGTGCCCAACCAATCCATCTCCATTGTCTGACTCCAACATCTTCATCCCTTCCGCCTGTAGTCAAAACGATGCTTTTCTAGATAAGTGAAGGAAGCAACCTCCGTTAAATGTCTCCCGTTGATGGTGACTGGTGTTAATTATTGGTGTTGTTGGTTGGTTGGTTGGTTATCTTCACCACTTCCGTCTTCTCTATGTTCACCTGGAGTCCTGTCTTCCGTGCCAGTCAGCCTTTTCAGCCAGTTTGTTGTTTTTCGGCTGCACGTCTTCGAGTTTGGTTGACTTTAAACATTTATCATCTGCGAAATCCAGATCTTCTAGAGTCTTCTGATCGATGGTTCGACATATCCCTGTCTTCTCACTCCCACACACAGTCTAGTGCATAATCCAGTCCACCACAATTATGAATGCCATCGGTGATAATAGGCAGCCAGCCTTGTTTTACTCCTTTATTCACTTCGAACGCCTCTGTGAGGTTTTCGTCGTGGATCACCAGACACATGGCATTTTCATATAGCCAGTTGTTGAATGATAAAGACTTGGACACTACACGCCGTAGTGTTGAGGTAGTTTCCAAATTACATCTCTGTCCAAGCTATCGAAGGCTTTCCTCAAGTTGATGAAATTAAGGTACACAGAAGAAATAATAGTCCTATAATCATGGATTTCGCCTAATGTTACAGATGTCCATAGCCTATGAGATGAAGATTTTGTAGTGATGAATAAAGCTTTTATGTGTTCAGCAACCGTAAAAACTGATCATGTTCAACCACAGATACTTATGTAAATTCTATAGTCTAGGCAGTTTATAATCACCGGCTGCCTCCCGTGGCTTTCAGTAGTATGCGTAAAGCAACCATATCATATACTGTTCAACTTTACCAGCGAATTTAATTAATAATAATAATAAAAGGAATGCGTTCAACTTACTTCAACACCTTTCAGTTTTCCTGGTACAGAACGATATCCTGTTAGAAGGCTACACCGTGGTGGTGTACCAGTTGGAAAACAGAAACATGAATAACATCCAAGTGGATAATCAATGCTCAAACCAAAAGTTCCTGGTTTGCATTGATCACATCTATCACCCTGAAAATAAAAGAAAGCGTTACAGTGATAAAAACAAGATAAAGCAATTTGGAATTAAAATTTAAGCGAATTCTAGGGAATAGGTGAGTTGATTTTATACGATATAATGAAGTTGATTTGACATATTTGACTAATTTACCCCCAGCAGTTCTCTGAGCCGAGTACATCACTTATGTTCTTGGCCCCTAGTCAGTAGTGTGTAGATTACATCGATGTGGTTAGAGAACACTAGTGGTAGTTACAAGAGTAGTTCTATTCATGACTGCCAAATAGATGGTATCAAGACGATTATTATTATTATTTTTTTTGGTTACAGCTTGATTCCACACTGTATTTTTGGTACAAGTATGGAATTTTCAGCGTGGATATCGGTAGCCCAAATTTCGCAGGCCAACCATAGATATCAGGTGTGCGTCGGCTTGTGCTCGAATCCCGGACCATGTGCATGGTTGGCGAGAGTCCTAACCACTGCGCCACCGACGCACATTACATGTAGTGATCAGTTTCACAATGAATCCCTTAATGTAAATATATCGGCTATTTTTATTTATATTCTTCACTGTAGAACTGGCGTGAATTCAATGAAATTAGGAGTTTTACTGTACGTGATCTGCACTATTAACTGCTGTATTCATGACCTTCTAGTGATCGACTTGCATACAAAATCCATTTCCACAGGTATTAAGTGCTTACACAGATAGCTAACTAGGCAACTGTCACACTTAACTTTGAGTAACTCAATATCTAACTAGCCGATAGTAAAACCGGGAAAGGGGGAAGTTTAGATTTGAAACTAGTTAAGAAGACAGCACTGCTATTGAGACTTCGAAGTCTGAAACTGTGGGTTCCACCCAGAATACAAGGAAGTAACAAGACGAAAATCGCCTCATACTTGCAGAATAGTCTTCCTGAGTCATAACAAATAAGAGAACAAGATTAGGTAAGATTTTCTGCCAACTCACTGAAGACATCTTATACCAAAAACATTGTGTAGTATAGTGCCTAGTATTATTGTTTTTGACTATGTGGAAGACTGGATAATTAGACCAGGCTGAAGACTGGAGATATAAACTGGTCAATTCTTCATGCCTTCACTGATACATTTTTGCAAATAACTGACTATGTAACTCACGTTGTAGGTGGACATCTCAGAGCATTAATGTTTTCAGTCGACAACTTTCATCTCTTCTTAATTAATCACTATAGTGTTTTATTCAAAGTTATGTGTGCAATTCAGCATTATTAGCAGTTGTCCTCCCTCTATACTGCTTATCAGATGGCCTGCTGGTAAGGATAGGTAACAAGGAACTCGGTCACTACAGCTAATCAGCCAACAACCTAATGCCCAACAAATATGCAGGAGGAAATGAAGATAAATTGGATATACCCTAAGGAAAACTTCAAGCAACTTCACAAAAGTCCAACGATTCGAACTCAAGAGTAGTGGACACGTGCTTCAGAAGCACCATGTTTCATTCAAAAAGCAAGGATCAAATAACAATAATAGCTGATCTGCAGAAGCCTCAAGGACAAGATCCCACATCTGACCATTTCTGTGCGCATATATCAGTTCAGCTGCTGCTGTGGAGCCAGGTATATCGGTCGTTCAACGCGCACCCTGTCCAAGAGGATTCAAGAACACTATCCAGCCAACATGGTTGCGAAAAGGCAATAGTGGTGCAATAAGGAGTACGATAATTGAACACCTGGTTAACACTTATCATTCCATTTCAACAAACACCTTCTGCTTCAAAGTATTCTACAGAGTCAAGAATAACCTACCAAAGGCAATACGGTTTTGTTTTCTTTGTATCGCTGAAGCTCTGGCCATTCACACAGAAAAACTGGAGCTGTGCTTACAAAAGAAGATTAATCAACCACTTCTACTATCATGGTAACAACTTTTTTTGTTTTGATTTGATTCGAGTTTTTTATTTTGATGACTTAATTTTGTTACTTTGCCTGCTCTTTAATTGCTTAGAATTCTTGTATTTATTCAGAACTCTTACCTAATCTACTTTGTTTCTATGTACATCCTGAGTGAAACTCACTCATCAAACTATTCATATCATTATTACATAACTTCTTTTAACAACTGTTTGTTACAACTCACCTCCTTTGTTACTACCCTAATTGCATTAGCACCTAATTTTCTTGACTCGTGCTACCAATTTTCACCTGTTTGGTGAAAATAACCATAACCAATTGTAGTTTTGTTTGACAAACTTAATGTACGCACACATACAAAATAACACATATATGCATTTGCGATTGTACAGCTAAGAAAATGAATTCACCGCTGGCGAAAAGAGTCTCTTCGCTGATCTACGTGTTTTTTGTTTTCAAAATAATAATGATGATAATAATAATTAGTTGTGAAGTAAATTTCATGTTAAATTCAGCTTGCATTCAACTCTTTATAAACTTTCTGCTTCAGTCTTGGGGAGACTTCCTCCTCAACACGCATACTCTAAGCTCCCTATACTGTCTACCATTTATGTTTTCCCACAAGTGTCTGAACATCAAAAGCAACAGATGCAAGTCTTCTATGTCAGATTCTCAACTTCTACATAAAGTTACAGTACACTTAAACCAATGCGAAAGATACATGGTTGATATTATCTACAATACAATTTTATCTACTCATAAGTAGTATAACTAGTCATAAAAGAAATGTGAAACATTACTTGAACATTCTCTTTACAATGACATTGTCCGTCAACTGGATTACAAGTGACTACAGTATCTTCTTCTAGAGTTAAATTACCCCATACTGTTCCACGCATATCACAATCACACTGTCGACATTCAGGATAACCGTAGAATCCTAAAGCGCATTGATCACACGCCCGACCAGTATATCCATGCCTACATTTACATTGACCAGTTGTTAAATCGCATTGATCTTCAGTGCCAACAAGTGAACCATCTATAGAACAGTTGCAGTCCTGTAGAACAAAAAGTAGTAGAGAAGAAAGGTTGAAGCCAGGAATATTTTAGAAAGCATAAACATAAGGATAAAGATTGGCTTAGCCTTAGAAGGGATTATACTGTATTAGCAGTCTGCCCAAGCAGTCAGTTATATTCAGCTTCCTCAAATGATTTGCATCGGTTATACCACTGATAATCTCGGCCTAAAACGAACGAAACAGCCCCTACCCCGGTGTTAATATTACTCCGTTCCGCCTTACCTGTGTGGTTTCAGTCTACTTGTGATAATCATCCTGATGTTGGATCAGAGGCATTTCTATCATGCACAACCTCTTCCAGAACAAAAAATTATTTAAAAAACTTACTTACGTCAGTAATAACGACGCTTCTGTACAGCCTGTTTATACTTATTACAATGGTGGCGATAATAATAATAATTTTCTTTATTCCAAAACAGTACTTGTGATACAGAATGGAATTCGCAGCATTTTACTACATTATTGCATCCAGTTTGTACATTAACCATAAACAAAGTCCTGCATAGATTATGGATAACCTCAGTTAGTTTTGACAACAGCATATTAGCATATCGGTAGCGAAGCCAAAAGTGAACAGAATGTTTGGAGATGTTAGAAAAGTAGATACGAGCATATTTAGTGGCGTAAGCGGTAACAAAAAGGTTGAGATATACAGAGTGTGAAAGAAGGAAGAAGAATGTTTTAAATAGAGTTTGTAAGGAAGAAAGAAACAAAGCAGCACATAACAACAAAAAAAGATAAAAGGAAAAGAAAGAAATAAAACGTTGTACCTATAAATGATATGAGTTGGAAAGACGAGATCCAATTGTGATACTGACTATTTAATAAGTTAGCTATAGGTATCACGCCTAATGATTTCTTTATCGCACAGAACACGAGCCAAGTAGGGTATGGATGAGTTTTTGTACTTGCTCGATGAGATACAAGGGGAGAGTTGTGAATGAAGAGGGTGGTGTGAGTTAGATAGATAGAATGGATTTAGCTCATTTTTCATATGAGTCCAAGTGCCTGTCGACCAGAATATTAACAAGCCGGCATATTACTTACCCTGCTGACAACCTTTAACATCCTACGTAATCAGGTATAGTCCTTCTTCAGTAGCCCTGGAAAAACTAAGGGGCACAATATAGAATAATGGGCAAGATGCAAGAATTAACGAATCGTAAGAGTAAGGGTTGGGTTATTCCAGAATGTCTTAACTTCTTGATGTAGAAGGTAAGACGGAATATTTTCTTAGAAATCATCAAGATATGAGATGACCATGAAAGATCAGCAGACTTGATCTCTATTTCAGTGTCATCTATGTTGCACACCTCGTGAGTGCTAACCGGTTTGTTTAGGTCAGATTTATGCCCAAAGGTGAAATTGACTGTTTGACATTTAAATTCACAGTCATATTTATCAATTCACTTCAGGGATAATACTAAAAACCACTTTGGAATTCATCTAACAAATGAAATTAGCTTATGACAGCAATAAAGAACAGAAGGTTATGTTAAATACTCAAATTTATATAGTAGGAGAGACCTATGAAGTAGCCGAGGTGATTTATAGCTTGGATGGATGTATTTCAGTGTTGATGTGTTCTCTGAGCAGCAAAGTTTCTATGGCAACTTTCTAGATAGCATCTCCAAAGTTAACTTCAAAATGAAGTGAGATATGGAAATTATTTATTGATGAAATACTTGTCCGCCAGCGTCCAGCATTATCAACTATATAGTACTCCATGGTAGGTCAACACCAAACCTCAAAATGAAGTGGAAGTTTGAAGGGAACCGTGTGTGTTGAAACGTAACAAGGAATTCCACCTAGGTAATCTACCCTTTTTAAAGATGGTGAGTATATTCCATCAGTGTGGAATCAAACCATCATTGAGCTATCTTTAAAAAGGGCGGACGGAATACACGCGAAAACCATATGGATATTAGTCTGCTACCAGTCGCGTTTAAAATATCGGCTGCTGTCTCGCAGGCTATTCAAAATATCTGAGGGAGTGATTCACGGAAAGCAGGCCATGGAATCACTGATATGTTCATTCTTCGTCAGTTGCTGGAACACAGTTACACGTACTGCAAGCCAATAATTGTTGTATTTCTTGATATTAGAGCTGCTGTCGATTCGTTGGACAGAAATGTTCTCTGGAGATGTCTGTTAGGAAGAGATGTACCTAAAAGAACTTTTACCATCCTGAAAGCCCTATACAAAAATACGTAAGGTGTAGAGAGAGGACATGCAACCAACTTTCTTCACTATTCCCAACCAACACTGAAGTTAGACACTTCTTCTGAACTCTAAGTTAGCATCACTTGGTACATCAAAACTTCCCAGGTTAAAGTCCAGAAGATATTTCGGATCAGTGACTTAAAACATTACTAGATATGGCTAGGAATCGCAGTCACTGGCGAATATACTGCAAATACCTTCTTTCTTCTCCTTCTGCAAGTACCATGAAGTAACGGATTGTTGAAAGATCTTGGCAAATGTGTTTGCTTGCTTTCTGGACGTATGTCACTATAATAAGCATAAACAGGTTGCACATAAACAGAAGACACATAATCATATAATTTCACTGCATATTGAAGTATGGCTGAAGATGTTACCTAGTGGGGTAATGAAAGCTTCGTAAATAAAGTATCCAGCTCAGAGAGCACAACTACATCAAAAGCAGGAAGCCCTGTTTGATCTAGGTTTCATGCTAGTTAGTACTCACCAGTCAGCAAGACGTATTTACAACCCTGAAGGAGATCATGTCCCTTCTGAGATTCGAATCCGCGTCAACCAGTGGTACAGTCAGAGTCGTTACCACTGAAACGTTACCATAGTGCACGTGATGGCGAGCCATCTAGCTTGTTGGAGGCCACATTGTGAACTTGACTGATAGAGTTTAGTCAGCACCAAAGATAGGACTGGACAGACAGACACACTACACCAGTTACTGACTAGCATCCAATCAATAATATGTAATACAGTCCCACTGGAGGTAAATCGCGATCCTGAACAGCTCAGTGGTAACGTCTCTAACTGCATCACTCACTGTGTGATGCGGGTTAGAATCCAAAATTATAAAGTTCTGCTTAATTATATCTATAATAACTTTGTGTAAAACTGCAATCTATCGTAATAGGCGTTTATATTGATTTGATATGCGCATCATGTGAATCATATGCTTAAGTCGGAACTGTAGATTATTTAGCCCAAAGGGGGGGGGCAACTCAACGATTGAAAAGACATCATGATACAGTGTAAAGTTTTTAATCTGAATATGTTCTCGACTGAATCTTGTGGATATCCCTCTCATCTAAGTCTGATTTATAGAAATGAAAGAAAATGAAGGAAAAGAAAAGAAAAGGATAACTCACTTTACACCCTGTTACTGGATTATAATCCCATGATCCAGCTGTACATTGATCGCATCGATCACCTTCAGTATTTGGTGGACATATACACTTTCCAGTCACTTGGTGGCATACTTGACCATTAGGACACGGCAGACAAGCTATTTATTCATTAGTCCGCGTGCATTGTAAAGCAGGAGAAAGACAAACCAGTGAAATGTAATTAGAAATGAGATCAAAAAAGTATAAGTTATCTGCAAACTTTCAAATGTTACTCTGCAGGGATTTGATTGGCTACAAGTTTAATCGCCAGCTGACATCAGTTTGAGAACTATTGGGAAAAAACAGCTACAAGCAATAGAAATCTATTTTGTCCTAGTTCGAGATTCCGATGGCCCATGAATTGCAAATTTTGACGACCCTTAGCAAGATGTTCTACGAGCTCGCCTTGTAACCGGAAGGTCCTGAATTCGAACCATTGTGTATGAGTAATGCTAAAGTGTCCCAAACTAGGAGGAAACAACTATCCAGTATTCAAGAGCTTTCAGCAGTTCTTTAACTGGTGTCAACTGGTGATTGGAGCTGTAACCAGTCAAATTCCTGCAAGCCAACACTTGATGTTCCCTAGAGTCTGCCTGTATGGAGGAAGTTACCTGGAATTCTAGTGGGGTTCAACAATTCAAACAATGTTATATACACTGAGCTTTGACTTATTTTGCCTAAGACCTTAAAATCACCATTTTAAGGAATTATCGCGCACTGGCGTGAGGCCTTTGTTTTTCCCCTGTTTGGATTGCTGGACTCTTATTGGCCGTTAATACTTTTGATGCATCACTGAATTAAGGCATTTTCAAGGTCATTCTGATTGTATATATACAAAGTTTCTGTCTAGCATTGTGACTGTAGTTTGAGGCTGTAAACGCTCTCTTATCGACGTCCATTCTTTTCTGTTGTCTTTGCATGCGAGTGGTGTTATTGATGTTGCTGTGGTTGACGTACGGTTAAGACGGAATGGCTAGTGCACTAAGTTAGTATTCGCTCTTAGTCTAACAGGTCGTAGTTCCGGGTTTGCTCAAGATGGACCCACTGCTTTTAGAGAAACTAATGGAACAGTTGCTAAAACTGATGGAAATGCATGCTGGTCTGCATATATCACGAGCTGCCAATTCATCTACGGCAAACGGTAACACTAGCAGTAGCATCTCAGAATTTGTTTACGACCCATATGCGAACGTCACATTTCATACTTGGTTTCGCAAATACAAAGAGCTATTTCGAGTAGACGATGTCGGGAAAGTAAGGCTCCTACTTCGTAAACTGAGAGCAGATGAATATGGCAACTTTATTCTCCCACGGAAACTCAGTGATCGATCACTCGATGAAACTGTCCAGACCCTTCGTAATCAGTTTGGTGACCACAGATCTTTGTTCAACATTGAGTGTCATTGCATGAAATCGGTTCTGGACGAAAATGATGGTATTCATACTCATTTGGGCATAGTGAATCGCACGTGTGAACCTTTCCAATTGAAATCGTTGACAGAAGGCCAGCTCAAAGTGTTGATCTTCATTTGTAGTTTGCAGTCCCCGAAATCCGTCGGCATACGCACATGCCAATTACATGATCTGGAACAAGATCCATGAATGACTTTGAAAGTTGTCAGTGGAAAATACCAGCGCTTAATCAACATTCATGTATATGAGGTGCATTCAGAACCGTCGACGTCAACCGCTTGGCTTTATCCTCAGCATAAACTACCAACAAACTGCTGGCACTTCGGCTCCCGGCACTTTGCAAAATTGTACTGGGTGAAACTCAAATGACAAACGATGAAGTGAGCGTCAGAGGGTGAGATGGACAAGACTGTGAGTAGCCGTAGAGTTCGGTGACTTCTATTATAAGTAATGGTAGTTTTAATAATAGGATCAATAACTGTGATAAACAGTAATTAAGATCAGGATTATATAGGCTGATACGTAAGTTAATATTCATTCATACATCTATAAAACACAAAATAATTGAGCAAAGAATATCCTTTTCGAGAATTTCCTCTTCTGGCTCTACAATTAGATATATGCATGTATATATATACATAGAATATTCCAGAACAGTAGTCAAGCACAATATTGATGTATTTTAAATAAAATCGATTTGAAAAGTAAGATCACAATGGAATTACAATTCATTATTAATGCATTACTTATAATAAGAAGCATAAAAATATAATAGCAAATAGAATATTGACTAAAATAAGGAAATTTCTACAAAAATTGAGGATCATTCGAACCGAGATGGCCAAGATAAGGACAGTGTCTGAACTAGCTTCTTTTGGACGCATAAATTAGGCCTCAGTAATAGTTAGTAATCGGAATCTAAAGGCGAAGTTAATATTTGTTGATATACGGTAAATGACTTTGAAAGCTGCCTCATTAACATCAGTCTTGTGTTCTGTATCCACAAGATGAGATAGAATAGCGCTATGTGAATAGATTTTGTTTGTCCTTTACTTAACCAACCACACAGGGTGATGTTCGGAAATCTGACGAGAAACACTCCTAATTGTAAGGCCTATGCAACACTAACTGGCTGCGCAGGAGAAGTTAAATTGGAAGATACACATTGACGAGGCTAAATTAGACAGTTTATCCTCTACTCCCGAATGCAGAAGAGCGGTGGTTTTGAAGACACAGTGTAATTTAGCAGCACGAAATGCCCTTTTTACCGCCTCATTTCTAAGTCGTTGTGTTAGTACCACGCTGATGTTGTCCCCCGAGGAACTGAATTTGTAAGAAGAAGGTCTTCCTTTTTCCAAACTGTTGGTACTCTGGCCTGCCTTGATTTTTGATTCATATTCTTATCAATGAATTTTTCTGGATAATCGTTTTCACTAAGCAACTCCCTGATACTATTAAGTTCTTCATTAAGACATTCACTACAGCAGATTTCTCTTGCTCCATGGACCAAGCACTTTATCAGATTACGTTTGTACATAAGTGGTCAATGAAGTGCAATGATATTTTCATAAAACTTTATTATTGTTGGTGAAAATGACATATTTACGTTCAGTAATATTTGAACCACTACGCTGAACAATATGAATTGGTAGAACACATCTAACTAAATACCTATAGTTAGCCATCACTTTGGAAGAGACTTACGTTTACATCCAGTTTCTGAGACACCAAAATATCCTGGTTCACATTCAGTACAATCTCTTCCGACAACATGCGGCGCACATTTACACTGACCAGTATTCATATCACATTCAACTAATTGGGTTAACGTTCGTGTTAATTCTGTCCCGATTCCACAATCGCAAGGTAGACAATTTGGTCCTGTGATATTCCAATAAAATCCAGGCTAAATAAAGAAGGTAGCATAAAAATTAATAAGGTTTGAATGAAGGAATACACTATCGCTTCATAAATATCAGTTTGATGAATGAAGGCTATGGGAAGGAAGCCTTCGATTCAGGTTTCGTGCTAGTTGGCACACATCAGTCGACTAGGAGTATCTACAGTCTTGAAGGAACTCATGGCTCCTGTGAGATTTACACAGGTGTCATCCAGTGAGTTCTACAGTCAGAGATATTACCACAGAACTATCCTGGCTAGCAGTTGACTTCCTGTAGAACTGTATTGTGTATTTTGACGGAATTCTCTCAGTCAAGTTTGCAATACGGCCACCAACAAGCTAGATGGCTCACCATCACGGTGAACTGATAATTGCTGTTATTAGATAGTAACTCCATTATGGATAAGATTTTATTTTGATAAATCACACAGTGTTGTACAGCAATATTAAGTGTTAATATTACTGTACAACACTGTGTGATTTATCAAAATAAAATCTTATTCATAATGGAATTAGACAGTAACGTTTGTAACTACAACAACTACGAATCTCAGAATGGAGATGAGCTCCTTCAAGACTGTAGGTACGCCTTGCTGACTATTGCCAATTAGCACCAAACCTATAAGTCAAGCGGGGCTTCCTACCAACTGTCTACAATTATTAAACAACCTTATTCAACTGCTGTACGATAACGGCAGTACATGTCAAGTGATAAACAACGGAAAACTCAGTGAGGCGTTTGGAGTAAACACAGGAGTCAGACAATGCTGCCTGCCTATTATCACCAATGATATTCCTAATTGTGGTGGACTGGATCATGAGTCAGACAGTGGGAAACGAGAAGACAGGAATACCCTGGACCGACGCGAAGAACCTAGAAGACCTGGATTTCGCGCGTGGATGATTTATGTTTGATGTCACTGTCACAAAATCGAAGACTTACAAGCGAAAACCGACAAACTGGTCGAAGAAGCAGCCGGCGAAGACAGGACTCCAGGTGAACATAGACAACATGGAGGTAATGAAAATAACCAGCCAACTAACAACAGCAGCAACATCCAGAGCCAATCACCATCAATGGGAGTGATCTGAAAGAGGTTACTTCATTCACTCACTTATCTAGGAAGCATTGTCCCAACTACAGGAGGAGGAGCGGACGAGGATGTCAAATCGAGAATCGGGAAGGCGAGAAACACACACATTCATCAACCTGAAACCAATCTGAAAATCTTCGTCACTCAGCCAGCATCAACAACAAAATTCAGTCGGATTTTCAATACAAACGTAAAGTCAGTTCTTCTATACGGATCAGAAACTTGACGGGTGGGTCACAAAGAATATTTCCAACAGCCTGTTGCAGACGTTACCTTTATCAACAACAACTGTCTTAGCGGGCTCTATACTGAAGATCAGATGGCCGGGAGGGGCCGGAAAGAATCACCAGCAAGAAACTATGGGAACAGACAGACAAAACAAGAACCAATCGCCAACCAACAAAAATGAGGAAGAAAGTGGAGATGGATTGGACACTCACTCGCTGAGGAGGCCGCTGGTTGACATCGCGCATGCATCAGGTCATTGCTCGAGTGGAACAAGGCCGAAAGGGAAGCGGCGAGTGGGACGTCCAAGGGTGACATGGAAGAGACCGTGTGAAGAGGAGTTGAAACAGTATGGACTGACTAACATGGATGCAGGTGAAAAGTACAGCAGAAGCAAGACAGAAGCAAGTGGAGACGTGCAGTTGAAGCTCTATGTTCCACTAGGAACCCAAGGGAACAATAATAATAATAATTGTGGTGGCCAGCCATCTTTCCATTGTAGCCACATTACAAACGTGACTGAGAGAATTCAATCTGCAGCAAATAAAGGACTAGACACACACACACATTACAGTAGCTATTGACTAGTGTCCAATCATAACAACATGACTCCTGAAATTTCAAAACCTGAAGCCCTACTCTCCATGGAATTGAAACAGAATTAGTTGAAACAGTATAAGAGATACACAATAAACAAAACTTACTAAACACCTGTCACAGGTATCCCCAATAACATTTTCACCACATTTACATTGACCAGTGATTGCATCACAGGATCGATCAATAGCTCTTGCGGTACATTTACATTCTGAAATTAAATTTTCAAGATACAGAGCATTATTCACTATCATATGTATCTCAGGAAGGAAAAATATATCTGAAATCAACAATTATTTTATTTATATCCAGTCATGAATCACGCCCTTATTTTACTGCAATCATTTTGAGTAATGCTCAGCTTTATAATGAAAATGAAAGATGTATAACTGTCCATTTAGACATTTGTAAAAAAATTATATTTGTGAGATCTCTTTCGGCAATCTGGTCCGAACTTCTTCAGGGAAATTGATCGAAATTAACATGACAGAGGTTTATGCATAGGAAAAGGACATCTCTTGTTTTTTAAAAACTTTGTCCAGTCATGATTCATAAAACAAGTTTTAACAAGTATAATAAACAAAGTTGTATGAGCTACGATCAAAATTTGACCTCAGACTTTGAAAATTAGTCTACTTTTGTTAAAACAGAGTGTACTTTTCATCAGATTACGTTCGACTAAAAGTTCATGGTCGTAGATAACTGAATATGAAACTATATGTATTTATGAAGTATAAAATGGTATGTGTGTGTGTATAGTTTGGGATTCAACGGTAGTAGGCATCTACCGCCAGGGGTCGAACCTAGGACCTCTCGGTTACAAGGCAAGCTCATGTAACACTCAGCCACTGGGACCCGATTCAACGTCCAGCCAATGAATTCTAACTTCTACCATTTCCTAATTTAGCGCGACCACCAACCAATGTCATCGGTGGGACACCCATCCTGACACTTGACTGGATGGATCTCAATGGTCACGACTTCTCACTAGAACTCCAGGAGACTCCGTTCTGTAGGAAGTCACTGGTGAGCGTCAGATTAATTGTCTATAGGATTAGTTTTGGTATACGAGCTCGCTGGCCTTGTGACCAGTAGGTCCTGGGTTCGAACCCTGGCGGTGGATACGTACTGCCGATGATTTCCAAACTAGGATAAAACAGCTGACTAATATATATATATATATATATATATATATATATATATATATATATATATATATATATATATATAGTCAAAAAAAGTAAACGTTTCGAGGGTGAGTGTAATCGGTGGTGTGTGAGACAATATAAATACCACAGAAAAACCAACGAATGGGATGGACTAAACGTAAGTTAAAGGGTGACGAATACCGACAGTAATAATCATTGTGAAATAATAACGACGATGTGATATAACCTTAAAAGTAGTATTGGTGAATGATTATGAAATAATAATAATAATAATAATCATAATCAACTTAGTGAAGTGAAATGGAGAACAGGATTTTGTAAATATGATAACAAGTTAGAAAAGCATTACTTAAACCTAAGGTAATAGAAATCATATGAAGGCTCGTGAAATCGTAAAAGGTCAAAAATGAACGTTTGTCAATGAAATAGAGAGGAAAAGAAGATATAAAGAAAAAAAATTGCGATGGGAATTAAAAGTGATTATGTTTATGAAGGATTTGTAGGCCAAGGTAAACACAGTGGTTGAATATAATTTTTCTGTAAACAGAGAGCCCGTCTTCTGGTATTGATTAAAACCGCTTCAACTACTGATATTAGACGCAGTCGAGCTCCTCTAGACAGATTACTAGGAACGTGGTAAATAACTGAGAACACCTGCCCAAGTTTCATCAACTGTCTAGTATCTATCAAGTGGGCTAAGATTGCACTATTTACGCATTTGGTTATCCTCTTTACTCAACCATACAGGTACAAGTTCACTTGCGCGCATGGACAAAGCTGTCTGAGTACTTCCAATATAACTAGCTCCACATAAGCAGTTGAATTCATAGATACACATTGATGAGGCCATCTTTGCTAATTGATCCTTGACTCTTTGTATGACTACCAGTTAAGCTGCAGGAAATGTTCTCTCTACTGCTCTACTGAGTTTACATTTTAGAATGTCAGTTGCAATTTCCCCTTTGTAACTTAACATAAGAGACAAAGGCTTCTTATCTACAGTACCCATCATTAAGCTATCTCTACGTATCAATAAATCCTTTTTTAGGAAGTTCTCTGGATATCCTTTTTCTTGTGTAAGAGTAAGTTTCAGTTTACACATTTCTTCCTTAAATGCATTCCTCTGAACATATGCGTTTTATTCCATAGCTAAGATACTTGACCAAGTTTCTTTTGTATTGAATTGGTTTGAAGCTATGAAAATAGGTATACTGACCCATCCAAATCTTTTTTTCTAAATAGGTTCCTTTGTCGATGTCCATCTGACTTCTCCTTGGCAAGAAGGATGTCTAGAAGAGGTATACTGTTATTTTCTTTTTCCTCACATGTCAACTGTATAGCGATGGGTGTAATATTATTAACAGCATTGAGAAGCTCTTGTTTAGTAAGATTCCTGTATATATCATATTAATTCACCTTTACAAGTCACTATAACAATGCACGATTGTTGAGAATAAAGACGATTTCATTGAAAATATAATTGTTCACACCAATTATTCTCGGTCTAAATTCATTCAGAATTTTGAAAACCTCTATAAATGAGCATAAAAGTGTTTAAACCACAACACCATACCATAAAAATAGTTACATACCTGTACATCCATTTGGACCAAGATTATAATAGCCAACTTGACAAGTAGAACAATCCAGTGTACCACCAACACCAGGTTTACATGAACACTGTCCAGATACTGGATCACACAGAGTTAAATATTCTGGTCTTGTTCCGATAGGATCACATTGACATGGTGGACAACCTGCGTCAACATTTCCACGACCAGTGATACAACGATCACATCTTACACCTTCATAGGTTGGTAAACATGTACACTGACCATCTTCAAGTCGACAAGATGGTGAAACACTACCTCTTGGATGACAATTACAAGCTGAAATGACAAGGAGAAGATTAAGATAGCTAAATTGTGGTAATGTCTCACTTTAGTATGCAAGAATAATGTCTGCTTAATACTACCTACTTATCAAATGATTTATTTATTAGGAGAATAAATAAGGTACTGTTTTTAGCTTGAAAATGTGTGTGATACTGAGTTGCCTTGTAATCAAACTTTAACTTGTACTATTCCTACCGTAAGTACCATAATCCTGGTCCTTCGTACAACCAACCCCTCTAAGTAAAAGATATCCTCGAAGGTTTCATGAGAGAAATTGTTCCTAATCAAGTCATAGTACCAAAGAAGACACTTTGTATTATTGAAATGAATTTTTGATTTTCCCGTCGATTGATTGAACCGAAGTGCTCGGTCTCAGGTTGACATGTCGGCTTCTTGTGCAGATGCTTCGATGATGTCTGGGGATGTGATTTGTATACAATTGGTGGATGGTGGCTAGCAGTGGAATCTAGGATGCGCATTTCGTCCTATTTGGGACTCGTCAGCTGGATGTACCTGACGAGTCCTAATTAGGACGAAATGCGCATCCTGGATTCCACTGCTAGCCACCATCCACCAACTGTACACTTTGTATTACTCTAGCATTCGAAGGTGATATTATTGCTGAAATTATTAAAAGTTGTTTATCCGAGTGCGTTAAGCGCAATTTCTATGCGGCTGATTTAGTGTTCAGTTAAGCGTTTACGGAGAAAACGCTTACAACGTCTAGTGTAATCAGCTCCATATGAGTATGGAGATGAGTATACTCATATAGAGGTAGACGTTAGCAGCAGAAGTGCGTCAAGAATAAACTGTAGCTTATATCTACGTCTAAATGCATATAATCATTCACATACTCATATGGAACTGATTACAGTAGACGTTGTAATAGTACTGTCCGTAAATGTCTAGCTGAACACTACCCGGTTTGGTTTATGAAGGGTGAACATAAGGAGACGAGGTGTTCAATTTTGTGAACACCTTTTAAAGTCAGGTCATTCGGCCCCATGTGATTTACCCTTTTAAGTCATCTACAGGACCAAATCCAATCACTCCAAAAGTTTACATTTTCTCCACTTATGTATAGCCGAAGCTCTAGCTATATGTGGAGAGCGAAGTTTTGCAATTCATCCACTTCAACTCTACCCCACCCCTTTAATACATCATTTTAATTATCTTTATTCTTACCGTATGTGCAATATTGACTGAGAAATTTCTAGCGCCACTTAACGCCATTTTTCTCTCTTATAAATATGACTGTACAGTTTGAAAATGAAGTCATTGAAAAAGACATATTTCTTCGCTGAACAGAACTGTGTCTTTCCATGTGAATAAGATCTTTTCTTAAAGGCCTTTACTGGAATATACGTTTAGTTAATCTCCCGCTCCATTCAATAGGTAAAAGAAATTACGTATTAAAATTTACAAAATAGTGACAATTTACTACAGTTTAAAACATATCACACATTGTTGTTGTCTCCTTTAGTTCCTAGAAGAACATAGGGCTTCAGCCAAATGTCTACATTGCATTCGGTTCTCTCCTAACGTTTTCATCTGTCTCCTTGTCTACTCACATGCTTTCATCTCCTCTTCGCATCAGCTCCTCCTCCATGTCACCCCTGCACTGACGACCAACTCGCCGCTTCCCATGCGGGTTCCACTTGAGAGCCTGTCGTGTGATGTCACTTGATGGTTTGTTTTCTCAGAGTATGGCCAATCCACCTCGATTTCTTCCTTCAGATCTGTTGCACAATTGGTTCCTGGTTGGTTCGTTCCCAGAGATCTTTGTCCATGATCTTTTCTGGCCATCTGATCTTGAGCGAAGTATTGAGCGACGACAGATGTTGATGAGGGTCTATAGTTTGTTCAAAGTGCCCTTCATGACGAGAGGCGGCGCCAAGTCTCTGATCCATATAGTAGCATTGACTTCACATTACAGATGAAAATTCGGATCTTATTTTTCATGCTGAGTGCTGCTGACCTCCAAAAAGACTTGAGAGTAATAAAAGCTTATCCTGCTTTCCCTATCCTCACGCTTTGATATCCTCATCAATTCCACCTGTAGTTGAAAGTAGGTTACTTCTTTCAGATTTATCCCATTTGTGCTGATGCCTCTTTTGCCAACTTATTGCTTTTCACTTGCAATCTTCCAGTTTGTGGGAAGTCAGACATATATCATCGGCTAAGTCCTGATCCTCCAAGTTTTTTGTGGGGTTTCATTTTATGTCTGTCCCCTCGTTGCCCGCTGTCTGTCTCATTATCCAGTCGATCAGCCGCAATCGAGAAAGTCGTTGGAGATAGTAGGCAGCCAGCTTGTCTTAATCCCATTTTCACTTCAAAGGATTCTCTTTGTATATTATTTGACATGTGGCATTATCGGATGCAAATATGTCAAGTTTATAACATTATCTCTGGTGATATTTTTTAACCATGCCTAAGTTTTGAGTGTAGAATGAAATCATCGCATTGAAATTATATACTTCTGACTACATAGTGTGCATCGTACCTCAGATATATGACTACTTAAATTGGTATAATGAATAAATACATTTAAAAGCTTACGTCGGCATGGTTGTCCTCTTGTTGGATCACCGTGTGTTCCTTCATCACATGCATCACATCGTGGTCCGGCTGTATTAAATCCACATATACATGCACCATTTGTAGCATTACACCCGATAGCTGTTGGACCACAATTACACGGACGACAAGGTATACCATTCATCGGGTCACCAAAATGCATTTCAGCGCAAACTTCACAATATCGACCTCGAGTACTTAAATATTCAAAAATAAAAATAAAACAGTTAGAAAAAGAAAGATTAGTCGCCAGTAGGCGTATAGATAAGTTGTGATGAAAAGATTCTAAGAGTCTTTCTTAGCATGCTAGTTTATTCTGCGCAACCTCCAGTTTTTATTTAATGGACGTGAACTCTTAGAGAGTAGTGATATCACCTTCTCCTTACTTCTTTGAATATCGAAAGTATGCTAATTTTATAGGAGACCTAGCTCGTCTATTGCGAAACATATTATACAGACAGGACATAAAATTGACGTTAACACGTCTTTTAAACCTAAGTATAAAACGCGTTTACGGGAGGGTGTATTCTAAAGTTTATGGAAGCCCTGGCTGGCAATTAGAAAGTTTAAGCCACCTCTATGCCTTCAAAAACAACTCGTCATCACACTAAACCTTCCTTGGTAAACTTTATTTTGATACCATAGAAGATGTACTATTACCTCTGTTATTTGGTTTAGTGATCTTCATTGTTATTTTGACCTTTGATATGTCCTTTTAACTTGACATAGGTTTATTTCCTTACCTTCTTACTCTTTATTAATTTCATTATTATTGAATTGAATTTTTGATTTTCCCGTCGATTGATTGAACCGAAGTGCTCGGTCTCAGGTTGACATGTCGGCTTCTTGTGCAGATGCTTCGATGATGTCTGGGGATGTGATTTGTATACAATTGGTGGATGGTGGCTAGCAGTGGAATCCAGGATTCCCATTTCGTCCTATTTGGGACTCGTCAGCTGGATGTACCTGCATTTCTCAGTGAGTGATGATGTTCCCACCGAGGCTCAAACCCAGTGCCCATAGAAAATCAAAAATTAAATTCAATAATTAATATGACCCGTTGCACAAGAGGTGGCTCTCGTGGCCCAAGTGGTCTAGTGGATAACGCTTTGGCGTTTGAAACTATGGGTACTGGGTTCGAGCCTCGGTGGGAACATCATCACTCACTGAGAAATGCAAGTACATCCAGCTGACGAGTCCCAAATAGGACGAAATGCGCATCCTAGATTCCACTGCTAACCACCATCCACCAATTGTATATAATTTCATTATTACCTTTATTATTTGTCAGCCTTTTGTAACTTATATATGTCCAAACCAAGTTCACTTTTAACGGTTTGAAAAAATTTGGGCATTCGATATATGATATTCGTTATAATAAAGGCTGTTTTTGTATTTCCCAATGAATGAAAAACAAAACGATATTGCTGCTTTTACTGACACTTCGCTATTTAATGCTGCTGATGATAGCTTTATCAAAGCAGTAGTATTATTAAACCGGAATTTACAAAATCTCAGCATATTTATAACAAAGAGTTAAGGGGTGAGAAAATAGACTACTTAGGTCAAGTTAAAAAGACATATTGAAAGTCAAAGTAACAATAAAGATCACTAAACCAAATATCAAAGGTAATAATACATCTGTTATGATATCAAAACAAAGTTTACTAATGAATTGAATCGTCCCAAACAGGACGAAATGCGCATCCTGGATTCCACTGCTAGTCACCATCCACCAATTAAATACAAAGTTTACTAACTTGATCATCGTTCGCCTGTCTGGGATCATTTTTGGTTGTCAAGTTGGTCAATTGGTAAAGATAACAAAACTAAGTGTAGATTTTTGGATTTGATCAGTGTGTAAAATCATAAAATTAGTGTGTTTATTTAGTGAACTTGCTTATCATATTCGTGTTGATTTTGTCACTTCGTTTGGGAGGGGAGGGAGGTGTTGTAATCATGTCAGATTCTGTTTTAGTCCATCATTCGTATTCATTTCAGACAATTTGGATTCCACTTGATATGAAGTGCTTCTAATATCGTTTTGTTTTTCATTCATTGGGAAATACAAAAACCTTTATTACAATACGTCTGAGGAAGAATTTCCCGAAACCAAAATTGTTCGCTTCAAATCATCTTGTTTAGATTATACCACTATGTAGATATTTAATTAACACTTGAGAACTGTTACTAGTGTCTGACTGTAGGATGAAGTTGCCTTCAGTTCTGATGAAAAGTTATGACCAGTGGGTCCATTAAGTCATCTAGGAGAGTAAATACTTGCCAGTGACATCACTGGCTGGTAGTGCTGCTATGTGTTGGAAATATTGAGCTTAACGAGATCTGAATGTTGTGTGTTGGACCCCTGTCATTGAGGTCCTGATTGGAAACGCTATCCAGTACTGCCTAGTTTTTAAAGCTTTTATCACTGATATCATTCCCTGTAATACTTAAAAATTAAACCGTTAAGATGTTAAGTACACACTTCAAATGTTATTTTAAACACTCACTTTTCTGTACAATCTAAGCATACATAAGGCTTTTCTTCAGTGTGTAGCCTATCTTCATATGCTAAGCACGCTGTAGTTAATTGATATTCAATATACGGACATTGACATAATTTACAAGCTGTTGGACTACCAGATGTTGGATCACCATAATATCCTGGTGCACAGATATCACATTTATCACCGGCTGTATTATGTTCACAATTCTAAAAGTGTAAATCAATATGATAAAAAAGGAATAAAAAATGATGGAGGCCTACTTGTACATTTTCGTACATTATTTATAATAGTGACAAGAGGGTCATAGTTAATAGTCTGTAAATAGTTTCATAGTAGTGAAGATATCGGTGCATCGTCTCTAACCTTATCTACAAGCTCCTACAGACGCTCATCAAAACCAGCTCGATATTGAGGATAATAGTAATAATCTACTTATAATAAAGAATGGAATTCTCGGCATTTGTCACAATGTTGCATCTGATTTACTCAAAATATTAATAAAATTAACTACAGGAATTTGTCCACATTTATGGTATAAAGACAAAAATATTCGAAGTATAAAATGAGAATAATAAATATGGTAATAATAATAATAACAGTGAGTCTGTTTCAAACAGTATGGTCGATTCAATTTGGAAATTTTAGCATGTTATAGATTATTGGATAGAATGTTCTGTTGATATAGCAGGGGAAATACAAAATTAACAGTTATAACACAGCTTAAATTATGTTCACACTTATGGAGAAAAAAATAAAAACAAAAAATTGAGAGGATTACAAATATAAGAGGAACAATAATAATAAAGTTTGATGTTATAAGGGTGGAGGAAATGGTTTATTCAATAGTGCAAAGAAGGTTAGTTAGTTCATGCCTGACACCATTTTCATCACAAAAAATACGCGCCAAATATGGAAACGTGGAGATTTTATACTTAGACGTGTAGGGATAAAGCTTTTTGAAATGACTTCTTGTTTTATCTGAGGAGACACACGATTGGAGCTGCGGGTGGAGTGGGTGCTCAGAGTCTGACAAAATTGCTTTAACAAACTTGTTGCATGACATCAAGTGCCTATCAGTGACAATGTCAACGATATGGCCCAATGGGATACCACTTATCCTACTGAAAGTCTTCAGAGTTCTACGAAGTATGACATAGTCTTTTTTAAGCAATCCAGGAAAGAATAAGGGTGAACAGTAAAGAAGAATAGGTAAAATACTCGAGTTGACAAACTCTGGGAGGAGTGTTTGGGTTCTGCCTGAGTGCCTTAACGTCTTAATGTGAAAGTCAGACGAAATATTCTTCTAGAAGAAATCGCTAAGACACGGTAAGATGGCGTTTGAAACTATGGGTGCTGGGTTCGAGCCTTGGTGGGAACATCATCTCTCACTGAGAAATGCAGGTACATCCAGATGATGAGTCCCAAATAGAACGAAATGGGAATCCTGGATTCTACTGCTAGCCACCATCCACCATTTAAATACTAACTAAATATATATATACATATAACACACTGTAAGTGCATGACGACCACAGGTGGCACTGACGAGGATGTCAAATCCAGAATCGGAAAGGCAAGACCTGCTTTCATCAATATTTGAAAACAGCTTTTAAATCCTCTCTACTAAGTAATAAAGAATTAGATGGGGATTCTCAACACTAATGTCGAAGAATTCAGTGTTGAAATACTTGACGTATTATCAAAATCAATTCCTACAGGCTACTTAAGACAGTCTGCATCCCATACTAAAGGTCAGATTGTCTGTCAGAAATGACAATCAGCAGAAATATCAACCAAGAACCCAGGGCCTACCAAATCTTTTGAAGATCGCCCGAACACACACGCTGAATAGGGAGACCGCTGAGTAACATTACACATCAGGCACATCCATCGTGTGAACGGTGATTTGTAAACGATGGGTTGAGAGTCACTTCGAAGATAACATAGGTAGGGGAGATCATGTGAGGAGGAGATGAGAGCCTATGGACAGTCGTGGAGAACAGGATGAAATGCAGATATGTTGTTGAATCCCTAGGTTTCACGTAGGGTTATGCGTTTACCTGTGAACTGTACTTATTACATGTATATATATATATATATATATATATATATATGTGAGCAGGCGCTGGTTATACTTTCCTATCAGTCAAATTAAAACAGCCGGGACAATTAAGAGATACAATTTAATAAATAAAATAGGTTTATAATGCTGAAGTATATGCGTATATAAACTTACAATACATGCTCCAGTCTTTTCATCACAAGTGTCTGAATGTCCATGACATTGACATGGTACACAAACAGGCAACTGACCCATCATTGTTGAACGCCAAATAGACATAAGTGCAGATGATGACGATGACGTCTGGTTACTATGCACAGTTGGTTTTCTTTCATATTCACGATAAAAGCCAACAGCACATGATTCACAAGAGGTACCTGAATGTCCAGCTGGACAAATACACTCTTCGATGTTTGGTATCCCGCCAGATTCATCACGTATTGCACGACCAAGTGTAACTGACATTAACCTGTAATATTTTTACGAAAAATGCAATAACCAGGAGAATCGTTAGCTAGTCAATGATTATATATATATATATATGTACATACTGTAGCTTAATATCTAAAATTGTAAATTAATTGAAATAGTGTCACCTTAGAATTACAAATAGGTGGGGATAAAAGCGCCAATTATTTTGGTAGGTTTTGTAGGTTTCGCGCTTGTGCCTTTTTGTACTAGCACATAATCTTTTAAAATGACTTTTGGTCCTACCCGATGAGATGCAAGGCGGGAAGCGTTGGTGAATAACGAGGACGATGAGAATCAGACAATTAGCTGGGAACCACTGGAAGACCTGGGTGTACTGGACAGCTGTTTCATCCTAGCCCGGGACTCTCCAGCGGCAGGTTCGAACCCGGGACCTTCTGGTCAAAAGGCGATGTCGTAGACTATTGAGCCACCGGGACCCGATCCGATGATCCTTGAATTTTAACTCCTGCCAATTCACGACATATGGCGACCATTTCACAATGTCTTCTTCGATAAGTTACCGCCTCATCTTCAGCCTTCTGTACCCTACTGGTCACGGCTTTACACTAGAACCTCAGGTCACTGCCTGAATAGGGCCAGTTGCTAGTGAGCATTAGATTAATTTTCAAGTATTGATTTTGTAGGGATTTTTGTTTGACTGCGTGGAGGATTTCATCATGAGCTGACATCAGTTAGAGAACCACTAGAAAACCTCGAAGTACTGGACAGCTGTTTCGTCCCAGTTTGGGACTCTTCAGTAGTACGCAGTGCTAATATCAGCTCACTATGAAATCCTCCACGCAATCAAACACAAATCGCTAGAAAACCAATACTTGAAAATATGAAATCAGACTATTTCTCACATGAGTTTAGGTGTCTGTCGACTAGAGTAGTAACCAGCTGGCTGACTTAGTGGTACACCGTTTGCCCTACTGACAACCTTTAATGTATTCAAGAGGAGATAGTAAGACTGCAATGAAAGGTTCATCATGAAATAACCAATGTGTAAAATGAAGCAAGTGGAGGAATATATTGAGAAAAGAGATAATATCACTAATAATAAGTCCAGATAGTATAAATGGAAAATTCGATAGTATTGAGAGAATGTTTGAGTGAAGGGTATAAATTATGACGAATAATAATAGGGATAACAAGTACAGAAAGAAAAAAAAAGAAAAACACCAAAAGGGTTCAGAGGAAGAGGCACTCTCGGTGAGAAGAAGAATCGTCAATCCCAGTTTGGCCACGGTAAGAATAGCTTCTGGACACGTTCTTTTCGGGTACAAAGTTCTGGTTTAGTCGATCTTATTGCAACAGCTTCAACTATGTGTAGCAGACATAAGACAGTCACAGTTTAAATAAATATCATAAAATTACGAAGGAAAAGGAAAATAAGAAAGGGAAGCAAGAGAGAGACAGAGGTAGAACCAACCCCTTTCGTCCTAGGATCGTCCTCTCGAATTCCCATAGCTTTGGCTATGTGTAAAAGGCTGGCTCGAATTCCGTTCGAAATGTTCGATGGAATGTGATGGATAACTGTGAAGGTACTTCTTCTGTCCGTTTGGTGACAGCTATCATCAATCACATGAGACAAAATTTAACTCTTAATAGATTTTACCTAATCTTTTGCAAACGGTGAAGGCAGATGTTCGTGAATATGTTTGTTCATTTCTCTAGTTGTTCGGCCTATATAGCTTTCTCCACAGAAGCAACTAAATTTTTAGATTCACATAAAAGTGGCACAGTCAGGTAACTTGTCTTTGGCTGGAGCAATCATAATTGGTCGGCATTTGGAAAATGACAAACAAAGGATGATGGTTAACACACTGACATACTGACATCTTACCAGGCTGTAACCATTCACTTGTTTTTCGAATCAGTTAGTGTTGTATATCAGTCAGGAATATTCGCAGACTGTGTCTTATCTAACAAAATTCTGTAGGAATAAAATCAGTTTTCTTAAGTTAATGAATGGTTGAATATTCGCGAAACACGCAGGTGTCCCGTGTTCCATTTCTGGTAGACACACACTCTCCTGCACCTCACTTAGCTCAGGGCTTATGAGGCTAGAAACCTCTCACCTCATGAAAACCTCAGCCCCATGCGTACTGAAACTTCAAAGTTCATGCCTCAACCCCAACGTCCCACTCAGAAAGCAAAATAATTAAACCACATGCTACATTGTTTCTTTCAAAAATAGGTGTCCTTTTGTAAACAAAGATAAATGAAAACATACTTACTCGGTTGTCGTTTGATCTGTAATATACTTAGCCTTAATCATCAGTCTGTCAATATCAGACAGTACAGTCATTAAATCAGCTACTGTTGCTGGTCGACCAACTCTTTCTGAAGCCGACTCGTCTGGTCTCAACTGATCACCTTGTAACCAACTGATAGGGAATCTATCAAGTGGTATTGATGTTGGCGGTTCAACAATGACACGGAAGGATGATTCACTAATTGGAATATTTAAAATCATATGACTTTCTCGATAAGACGATGGAAGCATGTGAACTAATCGATAACCATTCCCCTTGATTATTGAAAAAAAGACAAAAGAAAAACAGTAAGAATTAATTGATACTTCATAGGTGATAAATATAATTACTGTGGAAGCTTAACAAGGAGAAGTACGTGGGTGATATAGTCATTCGAGAAAACTAACTCGAAAACCACCGGTTTGAGTACTATCATGACCCGGATTTGCATTTCTTCTCAAATGGCCACTGGTCAAATTATCAGTTAACAGATCCATGGTTACCGCAGACAGTCTCTTCAACACATCAGTTTGAAAACCGTCTTTCTAATATCCAAGGGATTTATCGATTTCATATCAATGACAATGTGATTTATCTGTCTATTGCTTCATATAAATTATGTTTGCAGCGTGTTTTGCGTTTGGTAATCCCTAGTATGTCCGTGAACGGAGCATTGGAATCCACCTTTAAAGTCACCTACAAGGCGAAAAGTAATCTGCCCAAATCACTACGTATCCAACTTATCTTTATTACTGAAGCCATCTCTGGCCATTGAAACAGAAAAAGTCCGTTCAACCCCTTCAATTTTCATGATAATAATCCTTCCTTTGTTAAAATATGGTAGTCCCTAATCATATATTGGCTCTACTTATTTTTCATTTTGTTTATTCGGTTTGTAAACTCTTCCTTTGTTACATCATTTGTTACTGTTAGTATTCTCAATTTGAATTGTCCCCCGATATTATTTAACTCATCCCACTTGTCATTTTAAATCAGTTCTGTTCTCGTAGCATTAAATTCTGTTATCAAATTTTACGCAATGTTACGTAACGCTTTTATTTTATTCAGTTTGCCCAGTAATCCTATAATTCCACACCCTTTCCAAGTTTTATTTTTTTCCTTCATGTTCCCAGTGGAACATAGGGCTTCAAGCTAGTGGCTTGAAGTTTCTGTAGCAGAGTTTATTTTTACAGGATGAGGTTGTTAGCCTCATGCCCAACCTTTCCTCTTTACCAGCATTATTTCTGACTTAGCGAAGTAAAGGAGTGCGTCGGCCGGTGATCGAACTTTGGACCATGTGCATGGTCGGCGAGCGTCCTAACCGCTATGCCACTGACGCACAAGTTCTATACACCCTATGAAGGGTTCTACATATGACATTAATTATTTTTCCACTTCACATTTAACTATGATTATAATCAAAAACATTTTAATTGCATTTCATATTATTATTATTAATTAATGTATTCACACCTATGATTCAATTCCTTCACCGGATATAATTTCTTAAAAATCGTATATATACGATTGCACAGCTTGATAATAAATTCCATTATGGATAAAATTTTATACTGACAAAGTTACACAATGTTATACAGTAATATCTACTGATGACTTTCCTGGGCAAAATTTAGTGCTCATATTCGTATCAGGTTACTCATACGACTTTCCAACTTCGTTTACATGGTTCCTCTATTTCCCATCTCTTGATTTAGTGATCGGTAGGAATATTTCCCACATTTCCGGTATGAGTGATAAGTCATTCCTATTCCACGTGTTGGTTGTAGATTCTACCTCTCTCTCCACCTACTTATATTACTTTATCGAGTTTTAACCCTCTCCCACCATGCTATGGTGTGGTTGTGTGTTAATGCATGCAGTGCGATCGCTGAGCTTTCTTCCAAATTGCTTATCCTCCCGGGGCCTACCATTCTTATCTTAACTAAATTCTTATGTTCTGACGGGCGATCTGACTACTCCCGACCTACTAGTTTGACCTGTGCAGTTCACCTAACTCACAGTCATTGCAAGGTATTTTGTAAATTATATTATTTTGTTTAATTGAATCAGTCCACAGGGTCCTTTAACCTACAGAGCTTGTCTCTGAGTAAATTTGTAGGTTTAAATACCACTCGAATTCCTGTTTAATTGAGAATCCTACATGCAGTCTCAGATATTCCCTCCTTATATGGCATATGGTATTATTCCATCTTCTGTTTAATTTGCCTTAACTGGGAATTGTATTCCAACATTTATGATTTATCACTGTGGAACAATACACATTAAGTCATCGGGAAAAACAAAAAGAAGGTTTCTGGGACGAAAATTTTCTTCTTCATGAAGTCTACCTATCTGTATGTCTTGTTATCAGATAGAATCAGTTACAAGGAATGAAAACAAACTTCCAAAACAGATGTTTCAAAAAAGATCACGTTGAAGAGACTATGCTACAACAGATAAAGAAAATGAAAGCCGAAAGCTGAACTTTTTATGAATGACTCCATTCATCTGGTTCCACAACGCTGCTAGTGTAAGGCTTATTGAGCATATACAGGTCGTTCCACTCTATCTTATACTATGTATGATAAATTCTTCACATCAATCAGTCACGAAGTGACTGATGGAGATTCTTGAACCGGTGAAGAAAAGACAGTCGCTATAAAACCTTTTGGAATGTAATTAATTTTGTCGATTCATTTGAGAATGTCAGTCTGCCAATTAAAACAATGGTCTCCACAGATATCATTTCCTTATCTTCAACAATATCCCACTGGTAGAAACCACCTGTTCTTTGGATAGCTTTATTCAATCCAATAACATTGACATCTGGATACCAATTCATTCCCTAAAGGAGTTGTTACTCCAAAGTACCCCCAACGTTTACTTCAGATTCAACTATGAAATCTGCAGCTGACAACTTTGGCCCGATATCTCGACGGTTCCAGACCAGATCCCAGGTGAGATAATGAGTGTGGACTTCTGAAAAGTCCCGGTCTAGGACGAAATTTAATGAATCTCTCAATGATGTCAATTCGTAAAGCAATCTACCCATGATATCAATCAGATCACACATGATATTATTTTTTGCTAAAGAAATCCACAGTGAAGGTTTCCTTCAGATTGAGTATTTCTCAAGCAATCCATTACTCCGTAAATTGTTGCCTTTAGAGCTTTTGAAGATGAAGAATTTCATTGAATTCCACCTGCATCTTATTGGTTGTGCAATTCGTAATAACTCGGCCAAGATAATAAATCTACAATAAAAATTTACACTTTTTTTGCTGGATAAACATCCAATCAGTCAGTGATGTTTCATCCTTCTTTGAGACTCTTCAGAGAAAATCACCTATAATAATTTGAAACCAGGACACTGATATCAACTTGTGACTAAACCTGTCCACAGTCAAATCCCTCCAAAATGACAATTCAAAGTCAATCTGATATGCGCTAGCAAATAGCTCTGTACACCAGGTTATCTGGAGTTCTAGCAAGAAATTGTAACTAGCTGACAGTCACTCCCATGTGACGCTGACTGAAGGTTGAGCTTTTATATACCGTGAATTGGTAAAAGTTGTAATTCAAGGGTCGTTGGGTCGGATCCCATTGGCTGAATGGTCTATGAGGTCATCTTGTGACTGGAAGGTGATGGGTTTGAATTCCCATGAGTGCATACTGCTAAAGATTCTCAAACTAGAATTAAACCACAGTCCATAACCCCTAGCTGATTTTCCGATGTTTTCTCTAAGTGATGTGACCTTGTGATCAAAGCTATAACCAGTGAAATCCTCACAAACCAATACTATAAAATTCACAAATTTCACCTATAAATTAAAACTACATACAATGTGTGAAAAGATCATATAACAACAATAACAGTATACACCATACATTAAAATTACCTCGATCACAATGTCTGGTTCATGTAACCACATATAATTTAAATGATCACTCATTGCCATTGATGTAGTGAATTGTCTCCCGCTGACTGAATCGCCTGTTATCATTGGTGTACGATATGTCATCATAGTTGGTGAATTAAAGCGTAGTATAACATTCAGTGTATCACGATACGCGGTGATTTGATTGCCTAAATAAGCCTCTGGTGCAGACCAATAATAACCACGAGTTACTGGTGTTTTACTGACTGAAGAGAACCAAGTTTCAACAGCACGTGTCTGAGCGAATAAAACCCTGTCGTATTGTAGTGATGTTTCTGTCATTGGTATGGTATATGCAGTGTCGACTGCAGGCAAACTTGGTACAATAATTCTCCAGTCTAATAATGTATTAACCTAAAAGAAATTACAAGAAAAAGATGAATAATACGAAGTTCAGATTTAATGAGATGCTTAAATTAGAAGGTTTTATAACGAGGATCTATGTATGTATGGCAACACAGTACAGGAAAAGACACCCTATCCAAAGGACCTTGAACCAGCCAATCAGAACACTGGGTATTACAAATGGATACTTTTGCCTAGCGCGTCAAGGAAAACCTTTTCAACAGTCTGTTGCAGACTTCTATCAACAACTGCCCACTTCGCTGGCAATATACACATTTACACATCTTCGTTCCTATCAAGTATCAAAAGAAATTTAGTGAAGACCCTCAGCCACAGAATTAGAGCTTTATGCGCAGAAGAAGTAATTGTAGATGAACTAAGCATCGCATATGATACTTTGGTGGAAAATAGCTAACCCGACAAATTTATCAAGAAATACATGACAAAGAAAGCGGAAAAGGATCACCCGCTATCTGTAAACAAGAAGCTTCTTTATATACGACTGCAATTAAGAAAATCAGTTCAAAGAACTTTTAATGCTGGCGAACTACACGTCTTATTCTCTACACGACCGATGATCCTACCTCAACTGAAAGAAGAAGTACCTAGACTAGCTGGCCGCTTCAAAATGTATCTATCAATTCAACTGCGTTTGTGGTGGAGCGAGTTATATTGGCCGTTGCTCTAGGAACTTGATTTTTCGTGTTCGCTCGAGAACATCTCCCCCCATATGGCTAAGTAAAGGTGTAGTTAAAATCATTAACAGTTCGATATTGGACCATCTGGTGCAAACCAGCCACAAAGCCAGCATGGAAGAATCCTTCCCCATCATCTACCAGGTGCCTAATAAATTACCAAAAACATCGAAGCACCGCAGGCTCCAAACGGCAGAGGCTATTGCAATTCGCCTCAAACAATCAGTGCTCTGTGCTCAGAAGAAGCAAGTCCATCCCCTACTACTGCCTTGGCCTTCAGTGGAGACAGTAAATTCATGAATTTGTACTAGTATCTTTCCTAATTTTTCTGACATTCAGCTTATTTTATGTTGATGCTATTGAGCTGTAATCTATCAGTATTATTGACTCGATGTTATTTGAACAGCAACATTAATGTTGTTCATAATACTAATTCATTCACTCACTATGATGGATATATAATTGTAGAGTCTGATGATGAAGTTGTCGAAAACAGTATTCTTTGTTCAGTACCTATTCTTTTAAATAATAAACTCTTTTAGACAGAACATGCATTCATGTGTCGGACAATTTAATTTGTTCTTGCAGACACCTAAGATTGTGTGTTCTGTGACTCTGACCTGTGGAGGTTCAAAGGTCCTCCCAATGTATTTGTGACCACATAAATCTGTAAATACAATGGACTATGATACCATTGTTCGGATATTGTTGTCCTGTAACTCCTCATAGTACATATTCGTAACGGATTCACAAGAAAAGATATAGTCACCTTACTTAACTGACCCGGAAATATGTAAATCTCAAACGTCCTAAAGCGAGATGACTCCAATAGTGCCTTTAAACCCATATATGAAAGCAGATTTGAGTCATATATTCACATATGTTGGAGCTTAAACAACTTTTTATAATATGATCTCTTACCCTCTAGTAAATTTCTACTTCTTATTACCTCTGTTGTTAACTTGACTGCCGTTCAGTTTTAGTTGAATTGTACTCAGTCTCGCCAATTATATTACCCGCCCCCCAGTTTACTTATTTAATCTTATTTCAGTTTCTACCCAATTGAAATTTGCAATCGCAATGACACATCTTTGAAAATATTCCTTCTGTTTCCCAGAGAATTGACTGTGTACACATGATCGTAAAGACTGAGAATGATATCGTCGAGACGAGTAACTCTTCGCTGGCCATCTTCTCTTTTATATAACTCAATGGGGATTTTTAACTTGCCATTTAGAAAAATGTTTGGTTATTATATTTAACCAGGCTTGACAATCCAATTTTGGAACCAAGATCTACTTTATTTGATAATATTTTCAACCCCCACGTCCACGTCCACGCCTTATTTTACTTACCACATTAGCTCGGCTCTTATCTGTGATCGTGATCTGTAGACATTTTGACCTATATCATCCATATGAATTCATGTACTGGTCGCTGAGTTGGATCTCAGTAAGTGAATGGTCTACAGGATCATCTTGCAATTGTAAGGTTCTGGGTTTGAATCCCTGTGTTGAGTGCGCACTGCCGGTGAGTTCTGAACCAAGCGAACGAAACAGCTGTCCAGGACTCCCAGCTGGTCTCCAACAGTTCTCTAGCTGATATCAATAAATGGGGGAACTTGAAAACAATTTATAATCATGTGTACTCTATTCCCTTCCACATAACCTCGCCTAGTTAACTAGCTTGCTAGTTTTCTAGCCACTCCCAAGCTCAGGTAAAGAGGGAGGGTTGGACGTAGGGCTAGCGACCCTACACCACTAAACCTATCAAACCGCTAGAGAAAAAACGTATTAAAAATACAAAAAATTCAAAGGACGATCTTATTTTTCGCTCGATTCGGAGAAGGGAAATGACACAGTGAACTGGTGAAAGCTTTCGGAAAGCCAGTCAACCAACCAATGTATCATCTCTCGATGGAAGCAAGAATAAGAATGGGGACGTGGAATGTCCGTACAATTTATGAGACTGGGAAGGCTGTCCAAATACCCAATGAAATTCAAATATGTGGCATACAAGTGCTGGGTATCTATCTGCAAGAGCAGATGGAATGGATATGGATTATCAAAATTGTCAACTGGAAAGACAACAACAACCATCAATGGCAGAGATTTAACAGAGGTTACTTTCTTGACTTATCTACGAAGCATCGTTTCAACTGCGGGTGGAATGGATGAAAATGTCAGAACCAGCCAACCAGATTCGGAAAGGCAAGATATGCCTTTATCAACCTGAAAGCATTTTGGAAATCTTCTGCACTCACTCAGCTGCACAAAGAATAAGATTCAGATTTTCAACATCAGCATCAAGTCGGTCCTTCTATATGGGCTAGAAGCTTGACAAGTGAGCTACTAAAAGGCTTTTCAACAGGTTGTAGGCTTTCATCAACAGCTGCCTGCCCTCCATACTGACGATCAGATGGCCGGTCGGCCGGCCAGAAAGAATTAACATGAATAAACTGTACAGTGGAACGAACCAACAGAGGAGAGCTGTTCGCTGAACAAATATGTAGGAGAAAATGGAAATGTATCGGTGGGGTATACATTGAGGAGACCGTCGAATGCCATCGCACGCAATGCTGGCTATCACTTGATTGGAATCCTAATGGGAAGCGGCGAGTGGGTCATCATATCGAGGGTGACATGGAGGAGGTCATGTGGGGGGAGGAAATGAGAGGTTGTGGGCAACCATGTTCCAAGCTGAAGGGGACGGCAGAAGACAAGACAAAGTGGAGAAATGTTGCTGAAGGCCTATGCTCCGCTAGTAACTCAAAGGAATAATAAATAACAATCATAAATCCCTTCCACGTAAATATGTATGACAAGTTTGATTGTGTGTGATCAAAATGTTCGCCATGTCTTGCACAAGTAAATATTATACATTTCAGATAAATTACCTCTTCTTATTGTTTTATCAAAATTCATAAAGAGGACATTAATCGCTTTAAACAAATCTCTTTGTTATCATTTGTAAAAAATTATATTCGTAAAATCTCAGCGAGATTGAAATGAGTAATTCCAACGTTTCCTGTGTTCGGCAATCTGGTCCGAACTTCTTCTTCAGGGAAATTAATCGAAATTAACATAACAGAAGTTTATCTATAAAAGGAACATCTCTTGTTTTTAAAAACTTTGTCCAATCATGAGTCATGAAACAGGCATCAACAAGTATAATAAACAAAATTGTATGAGCTGAGCTGTGATCAAAATTTGACCTCGAACTTACAAATATTGGTCTACCTTTGTTAAACACTTTAAACAGAGTGTGTATGTGTGTGTGTAGGTAAACAGTCTCTATAAGAAGATATAGACAGTCGGGAATTTTTGACCAAGTATTATTAATTCCTTATACATATTCATTCTTATTTATTAATCAGGATTTCCTATGCATCTGCTAACAAGATCACACCTTCATGTCTTTTCAAACTGTTAGTATCTAGAATTTTATGATTAGACGTATTCTTAAAATTATGGTGTTTAGGATTAGAGTTTAGTTGATGCACTCTGTCGAACTTATTGCTTTGCCTTCTTCCTGAAGATTGAGCTGATTTATTCGACCTGCTGGAGTTTTCAGGTGACTCGACAGCTACGGATTGAGGGTACGCATTCTGTTTCAGACAATGGAGAGTGAAAGAAAACACGATGATTGTGCCAATTACATAGCTTCTTTGTTAATTTAATTCGATTGCAAAATAATTCAACCTCTGTTATGCTAATTTCGTTTAATTTCCCTGAAGAAGTTTGGACTAGATTGCAAAACGAAACGTTGGAATTACTCATTTCAATATCGCTGAGATTTTACAAACATAATTTTTTACAAATGTCTACTTCTGACTCGGCGCCCGAATATTTGAGAACTGTTCTGTCAGATCTTGGCGACAGTTCATTTGAATCACTTTGTTATCAATTCATCACTCAGAAAAAAGGTTTGAATTAGAAAAAACAAAATCACAAAGCAATTTGATAATATTCTAACAACTTACTGGACCAAGTAATCCTTTACTTTCCAAGACCTTTATCAACAGAAAAATAAAAAGATAGAATTTACAAAAAACCACAGTCGTACGTTTTCAATCAATGTTAATTACGTGAAAAAACGTGTACTCTCAAAGACCAGAAATGTATGACAGGGATAATTCCTTAAGAGAGTTACTCTTTGCTTTCATTAGAGTCCCAGAAGGTTAGGGCAAATAAAAATAGCCGAAATAGATCAATAATTACGCTTCCAGCTGCAGTATTGATTGGTGTGAACCAAAGCCTCCTAGGGAAACAACACAAGTATATACCCAGCTGGTAAAAGTCGCCCGTATGTCATGAAATCTACATCTGGGGCTTCGACTAACTAATTCTAGCCATCCTATGCATATAGTTTTGATCTGACGCTCATTTTTGGCCTTGAAGAGTATACAACCTTGATTAGATCTGCTATAAGAAACAGGAACGAAAGGGAGAAATATGGTACCACATACTACTATTTGATTGATATAAGTAGTTAGATATCATTCACGTGAGATTGAAGCCATCTAAACACTGGGACAACAGTTTGACTATATAATGAACTATCTAGAACTGCTGTGACTGATTCAACAATACCGTCATGATAACGCAGTAGACAACTTGGTAAGAATAGTGTTTATGGGATATTTGAACATCCCCTTCAACTATTTAATTCAATTTTAGATTTTCCCGACGATTGATTGAACCGAAGTGTTCGGTCTCAGGTTGAAATGTCGGCTTCTTGTGCAGATGCTTCGACGATGTCTAGGCATGTAATTAGTTGCGCACTTTGTTCTATTTGGGACTGGTCATCTGGATGTACCTGCATTCCGCAGGTACCTCGGCCTAATCAATCGATGGGAAACTCTTAAATTTAGTTAAATAATTTATATGACCCGTCGCACAAGAGGTGGCTGTCGTGCCCCAAGTGGTCTTGTGGATAACGCCTTAGCGTTTGAAACCATGAGCACTGGGTTCGAGCCTTGGTTGGAAAATCATCACTCACTGGGGAATTCAAGTACATCCAGGTAGCTGACGAGTCCCAAATAAGACGAAGTGCGCGTTATCCTCGATTCCACTGCTAGTCACCATCCACTAATTAAATCCCCTTCAACTTTTTAGGTCTAAATAACTTAAGCAATAGTAAATGGCTTTGGTCTGTTTTTATTATTTTTTTATTGGTTAAACTTTCTTACTAACGCTCAGGTTTTATGCATTTGTGTAATGAGTAGCAGTTGAAAATAAGACGAAAATCTGGATTGTGAGAGGATTTAAAAGTAAATCAACTTGAGATTATAAGCCTGGCTCACTACCAGTTGGGCTGACCGCCTACCAATTCAAGGCTATTTTAAATAATCTCACTATCTCATAGATTCCTGATGAATTTTATAAAAACATGTCAATTACTAGGGATTCCTTTGAAAAACTTTGATGTTTTTCTGAAGTCTGCTGGTAATAAAAATAGTTAAACACAACATTTCACTAAATATCATAATGGCTAATAAATCTCAGATGTTTAACGCCAGATATTACTTACTGGTTTATATATGAGTAGTTGAACAGTACTCATACCGACCGATAGAGCTTGCCAGTCAAATAGAAGTGCTCTAAACACCGTATATAGCCATTTCGTTCGTTTGTGACCGAATTCGCCAACAGTTCACTCAGTCTGACTCAGCTCAGAGAGCTTAATCAGTTCAAATCACTCAAATGCTGACTAGCTACTTGGGGGTAGGGGAACTCGCAATACTTCAAGTCATCAGTGGCATACTGTTGATCAGGTCTGTCGACAAAATGCATGAAACGTCCATCTGGTGTCCAGATTATTTCTATCTGGCTAGCAAGCAATATTGTTTGTTATGAGTAGTATACGACACCAATCGTATCGATCAGGAAGTAGTACACAGCGTCATCTACGTATGCTTGCTTCCTTGACTGCCATTCATGTTATCAAGGAGATCCAGATCTATTTTGATATGGATAACTTTAGCTCCCGCGACAGAAACTGTGCGAAACGTAAATTAACTTGAAAATTGTTAATGTGACCTATTCTCCAACTCGCCGCTAAGAAAGACGTGTACATCAAGCTATTTGATGCATGGAGGATCATAGCAGCTTGACAATTAGACAAAGAGTGAACGCCATTGTGGTTAAAAAGACTTTCTATGCAGCTAATATCATAATAATTGAGAATGTGAAGCCAATATATCCATCCAATCCCTTTGAACATGCGAAAAATGATGTCACATCCCAATGTATTTACCAATTTGAATGTACGTGTGGTCACACATGCATATGCAGGAGACTCATCGATCTTTGCAAGTAAGGGCTGGCTTCAGAAGCAAATAGAATCACCAGAACAGACACCAACCTAGCTCCTCTATTGCGAAACACATTATAGAGGCAGGACATAAAACTGATGTTTACACCTCTTGTTGAAGTGTATCCTAAAGTTTATCGAAGCCCTAGCTGGCAACTAGGAAGTTTAAACCACCTTTAAGCGTTCAAAGTAACAATTAGTCATCACATTAAACGACCTTCTTTGGTAAACTTTGTTTTGATACTAGCCAGGGTAGATGAACTATTACCTGTTTTATTTGGTTTAGTGATCTTGATTGTTATTTTGACCTTTAATATGTCCTTATAACCTGAACTAAGTAGTCTATTTTCTCACCTCTTAACTCTTTATTAATTTCAGGCATATATTCCTATGAAAAGTACGTGATGTGTGATCAGATTGATTGTTCGAAATGTGTTGCAAGCAAATATACTCTACACGATTCAAACAAATTACATCTTCTTATTCCTTTTTGTGAATTTGATTTAACTAATAAATCTAATTTGTGAATGGTGACCAGCAGTGGAATCCAGCCAAGATGCGCATTTTGTCCTATTTGGCACTCATCATCTGGATGTACCTGCATTCCCCAGTGAGTGATGATTTTCCCAACGAGGCTCGAACCCAATGCGCGCACACACACACACGCAATATTGGCGGAAATACAAATTTGTGTCAATTTTCTAAACTATAAGTGATTTCATAAGTATACAATTGGTGGATGGTGGCTAGCAGTGGAATCCAGGATGCGCATTTCGTCCTATTTGGGACTCGTCAGCAAGATGTACGTGCATTTCTCCGTGATTCCGCGGATTCCACTGCTAGCCACCATCCACCAATTGTATACTAAATAAATTCCCAGACATCGTCGAGGCATCTGCACAAGAAGCCGACATGTCAACCTGAGACCGAGCACTTCGGTACAATCAATCGACGGGAAAATCAAAAATTCAATTCTATAAGTGATTTCATTCAAACAATCGTTTTTATTATTTATTACAAAGGAAAGGATCAAAGAGTCAGAAAAATAATTTTCTAGCAATAATAATTTACAAACATACCATTGCAGTAACTGGACTAACACCAGTACATTGATCCGTCAAACCGGAGCAATAACAAGCTTGACAACCTTCAGGATTGTTCACATCTAAATTGAAGAATCCTTGTTGACATTTATTACAATATGAATCGGGATCAACATTGATCTGTATTGTTAGTGGGATAAATGTAAAGAAGAAGAATAAGAAGAGGAAGTTTATACATTATTAGTAATATGAAAGTGATTATAATAAACATAAAAAACAGGTCTGGGTAACATTTCGAAGTGTTTTAATTGAACACTAGTAACTAGTGTGACACAACTAGTCCTTTCTTTGTTGCGGACTGAGTTCTGTCAGTAAGGTTTGTAATGTAGCCACCATTCTAGGCAGCTCGACATCACATTGCACATTGGTTTGATGATATTAGATAGCTCAGTGGTAACGTCTCCGACTCTACCCAGCAATGTGTGACGTGGGTTCGAATCTCAGAAGGGATATGAGTTCTTTCAAGGTTGCAGATACCCCCCCCCCTGCTGACGAAAGCCAACTAACACGTAACCTAGCTCCAAGGATTCCTGCCGATCGCCTCCAACTATCTAATATCATCAAATTTTGAAGTGTATTACAGTCTGCATTGATGCTGCAAATATTCGATGTTCACCTCTCAGTAGGGACATTAATTCTTTTAAGATTGTTGATGAGTGTCAACAAGCACGATACCTAGGTTATAGGCTTTCTGTCTACCGTTGCCGACCATTTTATATTCAAGCGAAATTCCTTTCAATAAAACCGTCATTCATATTCCACAAATACATTTCAATTCGTTTTTCGATTCCTTTGCATTCAAATAATACTGAAAAACACTTTTCTAGAGGAATGATAACCATTAAATGGCCAAGTTAAACGTTAAACACCACTAACTATCGACGGAGTGTGACCGCACCGATGACCTTGAAACGCTCACTGAGCAGGTTAGTGAAACCTGGAAATAATGTTGCTGTCATCATCATCGAAGTGTTATGCTGTTAAATGGGATATCTAGCAAATTTCAGCTTAGGCTTGCAAAAGATCAAGGTACGCTTTAAGCTAAGGACAAGTTAGGGTTAGGTTAATCTAATAAAGGTGACATTAGGGTTGGTTCGAGTTAGATTACAGTTAGTTTAGGGATGTACTCTACTCACCTTAGGGTTAGGTTGAGGAAAGATTAGGGTTATTGTTAGGGTAGGGTTAGAAGACCTAAATAATTACATGCATAGAATATGGTCAAATTTCTCTGCTGATATAAGAATAGGACATGTGCACTCTGGCGGTGGAGTATTATTCCATTGTAGGTAAAATTTATTTCGATAGACTCTCAGGGCGTCATAAAGTAATATTTACTGATGACCACGTTCCGAGCACAATTTATTGCTCAAGAAATATTACTGTATAACACTATGAGACTTTATCAAAATAAATTTTACCCACACTGAAATTATACTCTGTTGATACTCCAACCTAAAACGGATAGCTATTTTTATCACATATGAGAGAAACGTATCCTCTGTAACACTTTTCTACAGTTTTTATGCAATTTTTTAAAAATAAATATTTGTAATCCATACACAAAAATGCCTCCCTCACAAGATTGATGCGTTCGAGGTCATTTGCTGATTGGTAATTAGTGGTGCATAAAGTTTAACTTTGCCGTTATACTACATGTATGACTAAATTCACCACACGAAAACAGATTGATTTGTGATACGGAGGGATGAATTTTAAGCCGTTCAGAGTTTACAATGAAGGTATACGAAATAAAGGGCATTTCGGAATACAATCATATCCGAATACTCCACAAAAATTTCAACTTACCTTACAATTACACGGAGGTTCACATTGATATCCAGGACCACGATGACTTCCTCGGATATCACATGTACATGGTATGCATAACTGTGGATCAATTTTAGAGCGTTGATAGCCTTCAGCACATTCATCACAACGACGACCAGCATAACCTTCTTTACAGATACAATCTCCAGGATACTGAAGACAAAATGCAATCATTTAGATAGTGTAAGTCAGATTTTAAATAAGCAATTCCAGAGATCCAAGTATTATTCTCTCGTTACCAAGCTGTTTACATTGAACTTGTATTATAAATCATAACCTACTTTTCCCATCCTTCTGCGTTTGGATTGAAACATGAGCTATCAATCTTAGACATCTTATCACCTGCGACAGTATTGTTTTCGCACAGAATAGGGTTACTAGACTAACGTACAACCGTATCTCTTTTTCCAGGCCTATAGACCACTAGGCAAGGTCTAGAAGTACATCGACTGAGAATGTAACCCGGACTTCCAGCCGCGTCACTGGTGAACATTTTATCACTGACACAAATTATCAATGTAAATGAATTGAGACCGATTAGAGATTTATTCAAAACTTCATTAAGTTGAATATTAGAGACACTTTTGCTCAGCTTTTAGAGTCTGGATCAGTTTTATTTATTCTCAGTGTTATTCGATAAATTCCCTTTCATTTAGTTTTTAAGGTTTTTTGCCAAAGTTAAACTGTAACAATTTGTGGAATACGAACGCGAGACTGACCTTGAGGCGACCAATCAGAAAAACCAGCCGTTTCTACATAAAGATAGCATTTATTGACAATAGAAATATGGAGAATAATGTGAAAACATTTCATACAGGATATTTTTTCCTTGACGAGACTTAAAAATATTTCCCACTTATAATGAGAAGTAACCATTTTTTTAAATTTAGACCAGTTTCTATACATGTATTCATCAAGGTGAGTAAAGATAATTTCCTTTTGGGTGTTATTCAACGCTCCTATCCTGTTTTGTCAATCTTCCCCAATAGCCATCGATCGAATTACTATGGGGAATTCCAGTAAGAGGGTCAACAGCGCTACTAACTAAGAAGATGTGGATTATCAAAATAAAACACCCTATGCCTAAGTCCAACTTCAATTCTAACCCTAATCTTAAACGTAACCCTAACAAGATATCAACTCATTATCCAACCAGTACTTTAAGACGAGATCAGGATGAGATTTGCACCTCACTTGATGAACAGTGTTCATCGTGACACAGTAATGATAATACGTCTCGTTATACAACTAGTAGTATACTTTCAGGGTTATTGGAAAGCCATGCTTTATCTTGAATGTAAGTTGATTTGATTTTTTGTTGTTAGCGTCAGCAGATGAGCTGTCATTTGGTCTTTTTGTTACTATAATTAATTATGATTATTCCCTGGAGTTTCTAGGGGGACAGCAGCACGTCTTCATTGCACTCTGTGTTCTAACATCACTTTTAAGTAACCTTTACAAATTCCCGTTTACTTTGGCTATCTCGTCATGTGACATCCTCCTACATGTCATCCTCTAACGCCCAATCTGTCGCTAAGCATTCAGCTTTCACTCGGAAACCTGGAGTATGATATCATCAGGAGGTCTCCTCAGTATACTATATCCATTTCACTCTGAACATTTGTCGGGTAATACAATCTTCGTTGTTATTTATCTTCTACAGCCATATGACAAAGACTGAGACAGACAGATAGACAAAGAGGCAGGGAAGGACACAGAACTATAACGCCAACAAGTCACGTGGTAAACCTCATGAAGAAAACTAGAAATCTACATTTTTGGCTGCTATAACGAAATCTAGTCCCTGGTGTTCGTATTTATTCCTCTTACATTACTAGATAGTAGCATAAATGATAGTGACACAAAACTTTATCGTTTCTCAAACAGTATAAGTATTATTAGAGTCCCAAACATGTCACAATATGGGCACTAAGAGATGCGTCACACAAAAATTTGAGAGAGTTGGGGTGGTGCTCGTACGCCTTGATTGAAGTGGCCAACTCTCCACCTCCCGAGTTTTTGATCTGAAGTCTGATCCAAAAGACAGTGTGACGGTGCCAGAAGCTACGCTCCAATGGTCTATTATTATTATTCGCTTGGGTTCCTAGTGGAACATAGGGCTTCAACTGCACGTCTCCACTTGCTTCTGTCTTCTGCTGTACTTTTCACCTGCATCCATGTTAGTCCATACTGTTTCAAGTCCTATTCACACGACCTCCTCCATATTACCCTTGCACCGACCATCCACTCGCCGCTTTCCTTTCGGCCTTGTTCCACTCGAGCAATGGCCTGACGCGGGCGCGATGTCACCCAGTGGTCTCCTCAGCGAGTATCCAGTCAATCTCCACTTTCTCCTGCATATTTGTTGGTTGGTGATTGGTTCTTGTTTTGTTTGTTTATGCTCATAGTTTCTTGTTGGTGATTCTTTCCGGCCCGGCCATCTGATTGATCTTCAGTATAGAGCCAGCGAAGACAGTTGTTGTTGATAAAGGTAATGTCTGCAACAGGCTGTTGGAAATATTCTTTGTGACCCGCCCGCCAAGTTTCTGATCCGTATAGAAGAACCGACTGACTTGACGTTTGTATTGAAGATCCGACCGGATTTTGTTGTTGATCCTGGCTGAGTGACGAAGAGTTCGAGATTGATTTCAGGTTGATGAATGTGTTTCTCGCCCACTACCCGATTCCCGCTTGATTTGACATCCTCGTCCGTTCCGACTTCCTGTAGTTGAGACAATGCTCAATGCTAGATAAGTGAATGAAGTAACCTCTTTCGAATCCCTCCCGTTGATGGTGATTGGCGCTGGATTTTGTTGCTGTTGTTGTTGGCTGGTTATTTTCATAACCTCCGTCTTGTCTATGTTCACTTGGAGTCCTGTCTTCACTGTTTACTTCTTCGACCAGTTTGTCGGTTTTCGCTTGTAAGTCTTCGATTTTCTGTGACATCAGACGTAAATCACCCACGCGCGAAATCCAGGTCTTCTAGGTTCTTCACGTCGGTCTAGGATATCCCTGACCAAAATAAGTTCATTCAACCTATTCATTTCTTTCAGATTTTGCAGATCAGGTACACCATAAGTATGGAATCATGGTTCTCCACTTTCCTACCCGGATACAGTAGCATATCCACCATTTAGGTTATAAGCACCAGACGTTGCCAGTCATCCACTCACTTTAGAGAGGAACACTCGCCATTAAATGAGGCCAATAAGCATGAGTTACTCAGCAGAGTCCATGAAAGCGCAGCCACATTTTAACATTTCGGGAAGAAGATCGGATTCGACTCTTAGAAAAAATTAGACCAGCTTACCTTAGTGTGAGATTGGATAATGAAGATGCGCTTGTGATTTCTATATATGCATAGGAAAAAAGTAACTATTTATGAACTTACTCTTTCAGGTACTTCAGCATCATTTGAGATACAGTCACCAGTTGATCCAAATGTATTACATTCACATGGTCTGCATGGATAGGATGAATCTGGTCGTACATTCAACGGACGATAAAAGCCTTGTTTACACTTTTCACAATTTACACCAGTTGTATCTTCCTGAATAAATGAGGATAAGTGGAAAAAGAAAATTGAGAAAAGATTATCAGTTTATTACGGTCTACTCTTCGATCGTCTTAACCGACAAACTAGATAGTAATAGATAAGAGGAGGAGAGCAAATGGCAACACCTTGTGGTGTTATTGTGTAGCATATTAGTCGTTGGCACTCTTCGACAACAAGACAGAAGGTCAAGTCATCATAAATGCTTCCAGTATCATCGATTCATAGTCAGTCTGGGTGTCTCAGCTATGCACACGGCATAACAAAACCTATTAGAGTGTTAAACGGAGTAAAGGATTCCCTTTATTTTAAGGTGAAACGTGTCAATTACCGGGTAAAATTGCTGTCGCATTACTGTTATTATTATTATTACTTCCTGGAGCTCCGAGCGAATTATACGGCTTCAATGACACACTGCCATTTCACTCTGTTCTATGCAATCTTCTCTTAACTGTCTCCGTGATTAGTCTAGCTCTTGTTTCCTTCTCACATTTATCCTCGGACCTACGATCAACTCTCTCTCTCTGTTTCCCATTCGGGCCTGTTTAGCATGTGATATTAATTGCCCAGTGATGTCCACAGGATGTGCCCAATCCATTTTTCAATATCTTCTATACAGCTGTTGGGTAATATAAAGCATTTCAAAAAAGAAATATGTCTATCAACCACACCGAATATATGTAATTCTGTCGTATTCATAGGATAGAAGAAAACAGTTGATGATGAATCTTGCAAACAAGCTGTCGTAGATCTTAGACTAATATTAATACTTTTAAGTATCAGTTTACAGGAAGTCAGAGAGCCACTAGAAAACCAGAGGTCTCGTTCTGTTTTTTCAGACTCCTCAACAGTTCGCACCGATGACCACACTGCTAGGAATGGGATAATGTTTCAGATTGGAAGGTATGAGGGGAAGGATAGGTTCACACTGATGAAGAGTCCCAATCAAGAACAAAACAACTGTTCATTACCCTTTAATTTCCAATGGTCTTCCGAATGAAGTTTGTTCATCATTAAGTGATTGGGATATTTTCAGGTTTTTGGTAAGGTTTCTGGTACAAAACTGACCTGCTTGCTACTTTACAGCTGATATTAATTTTTATGAAAATAAGCAGTTTCGCTTTAAGATGATTGAGCAGGTGCTCAGTATGTGTTCACCTCCAAGGAATGTCTACAATGGATGCAAATGGAAATTGTCCATTCATGTGTCTAAATACAATACATTTGGATTAAATAAATGAATATATTTTGAGTGGTTGAAGAATTTCATCATGAGCTGACACCAGTTAGAGAGCCACTGGAAAAGCAGATTGGAGTACTGGACAGCTGTTTCGTCCTAGTTTCGGACTTTTCACTCCCAAAACCAATATTTGAAAGTGTATATCTACTTTGCTATCTGGAGTCTAAAATATAAACTCCTGAAGTCCTCGAATTCCTGCTTTTGCAAAGCACAAACTGACGGTCATTTCACCAGATTGTTACACTCTATGGTTTATCAGAAGACAGATTATATTTTTGAAAACCTAACTCACTTCTGTTGTCCTTGATTTTTATGAGGTGGTTCCGATAAACAGTTACAATTATCTTGCATTTCTGTCAGGTTCCAAAGACATGCGGCCCCAATTATTATTATCATTCTTGTTATTATTATCCCTTAGGTTCCGAGTGGGATATAGGGCTTCAGCAACACATCTCCGATTTCTTCTATTCTCTGCTGTACTCTTCAGCTGGCTGGCTTCACGACTGCGCAGAATACCTCAGTTCTTTCTCCTCGCTATCACGATCTTCTCCATGTCGCCCTCAATGTCATACGACAGCTTCATCAACGTATGCCCAACCGATCCATCTCCATCTTTTCCTACATGTTTATTGACTAATTGGCTCTCGCCTGTTGGTTCGTTCTACTCCAGACTTACTTGTTGCCAATTCTTTCTGGATAGTCATTTGATCTTCAGCATGGAGTCAGCCAACAAAGGTGGCAGCTTTAGATAAAAGTCTGCAGTGACTTGTTGGAAATCCTTTTCGTGACACCCTGGCCAAGTTTATGACGCGTTTAAAATCATTAACTGACCGACTCCAAGTTCGTGTTCAAAGTGATAATCTTGTTGTTTATGATAGCTGAATGAGAGCAGAAGATTTCCAAACTGGTTTCCGGTTGATGAAGACGTATCTCGTCTTTCCAATTCTAGCTGATGTTGACATCTTCATCAGAACCGTGTGTTTATGGTTGAAATGATGCTTCTTAGATGAATGAAGGAATTAACCTCTGTCAACTCTCTTCCATTGATGGTGATTGGTGCTGGTTGTCGCTGTTGGTTAGTTGATTGATTATCTTCATAATCTCCGTCTCTGCCTTCTCTATATTCACCTGCAGTCCTGTCTTCGCTGCCTGCCATCCTCTTCTGTCAGTCTTTTGGTTTTGCCTGCCCTCGAGTCTTCGAGTTTGTGTGACACTAGACATTAATCATCCACACACGAAATCCAGATCTTCTAGACTCTTCTTATAGGTTAGCCCAACGATTTCCTGTCTTCTGACTCACACGCTCAGTCTGACGCATAATCCAGTCCACCACAATTAAGAACATCACTGGTGATAATGGGCAGTCAGCCTTGTCTTATCCCTTTATTCACTTCGAACGCCTCACAGAGGTTTCGTTGTACATCACCTGACACGTGGAGTTGTTATATCGAATGAGGTTGATAAAGACTTGGGCGCTAAACGCCGTAGTGTTGAAGTAGTTTCTAAATTAATTCTCAGTCAGTGCTGTCTGTCGAAAGCCTTTTCGAAGTCAATTACTTTAAGGTACAGGTTTGACTGCCATTCGTCATCAACCACTCCATCATAACTGTTCTAAATTCCTAAACAAGCAAAATGTTTACTCATTCAAGGTGAAGACGACTAGACCTATCAAATCACTTTAAATCTGACAACAGAGCAGTGTTTATCAAACTTGCTCAAAGATTCACTGTGTGTTCAGAAGACTGTATCTTTCTATACATACAAAACTGCCTACTATCTTGTGGCACGTTAACATTTGGGTAAGAGAAGTCAACTTGAATTGCCCCCATCATGTTATCTACAATACAGCTGAATAAGAATGATGACAGTGGGAGGGAGAATGTCTTTGTCAGACACCACTCCGAGCTTTTGAAGTTTCAGTAGCGATAGTGTTGAAAGGAAAGACAAAATCCCGTAGGCGAATGCATTTTATGCTACCTTTGTTCCACTAACAAGAATCCAAGATTACGTGAATTCACTTTGTGGTGGGAGCAGGCTGCTAGCCAAATTGGTAGACAACTATTTACGTCAATGTTTATGTCGCAAATATTGGTCGTGAGGAAATATGAACAAGACTGATTCAACAACCAGTCACAGCAGACTTGGCGTAGGCAGATACAGTTAACATATAGATGGTCTGATATTCAAGAAACAGTCAAAAAGAGATGCAAGGTTAACTTTCTGTGAGAAAAAACCACCAATCAGAAGACTGTGTTTGTTTGCTTGAATAAGGTATAATAATGTACATGGAAATATATAAATACGTGTTGATTTCCTTAATAAACGATCTGTTGCCTGACTCTTGCCTCCTGTCGTTACAACTTTACTAACTGTCTACGCTACATTCCTACAGCAATAAAATTTACCTTTAAGCAGCTTCTTGGTGATAAGATACTTTAGAACAAAAGTTGTGAAGTATCCAGACTAAAAATAGAAGCTGATGTGAAAGTATAGGTACAGTACAGTACGATCCAAATTAACAGCTTTTGGGGTTTAAGTCGTAACCCGATACAAATTCAAACTTAATCATTGACCATAAACCCATTAGTCAAAATATCAGCCTTCCTATATAAGGCTAAATTAAACAATAACACAACTTGTTGATGTTAGAAAACCAAATGTAATAATTGTATAAATGTTTTCCTAAGTTTTGTGCCAACTTACCCGACAATTGATACAAACACCTCCACCTTCAAGAACTCCATCTTTACGCATACTTAAGCGTAGGTTGGCAACAGTCTGATTGTAGATGCATTCATCAGCCTTTTGATTGCAATTGCACTCTACAATGAGAAAAAAATAAGACATAGGGAAATTGATTACAACTTTCTCTCACAGTTACCATGGTGATGAATATACTTGACATATAACTTAAGTCGTTAAGCATTTAAAGCGGATTAATAAGTAATGTCAGGCGAACATAGGTGTCTAGTTTAAATTAATATAAGCTTAAAGGTTTGAGTTGCAGGAATTAGACTTTTCTTAAAACTGAATACGAACTAACTTCACTTCGCGAATTTTGTCAATTTAGAGTTTATGGATAATTAGATCCCGTCCCATTAGCTTAGTTGTATACGACTATATTCAATTCTTTGTGGGTTCATGGGTGCGCGTACTGATGAAGACTTTGTAGAAATGGGCGAAACAGCCACTCAGTACTCACTGGCTTTCAACGGTTTACTGACTGAAGTCAGTTCCTGATCAGTATTGGAACTGATGTAGTAAATACTTAGGTTGTACGAAAAGGCGATCATCTACTCTCACGATGCAGCATTTGTCAAAGTCATTGAAAACATCTGAAGTCAGAGTGCCAAGAATGTTCAATAACAAAGCATCTTGGAGTCTACAAACATGATACTGATGTTACTAAGTCATTTACTGATGGCAACAAACAAGAAAACAGGAAGACGCTTGCAATTGTGAAAACTTGTGTAATTTTTGCATCAGGAGTACACCGGTTAGGACTGTCGCTGACCATCCATGTGGTCTAGGATTCGATCCCCTGGTGACCCACACCTGATATCAATTGGTCGGTCTGCAAAATTTAGACTATCGATATCACATGCTGAAAATTCCATACTTGTACTAAAAATACGGTGTGAATTCAAGCTATGATCAAAAAAATATTAAATCAAGTCTCTGGATACAAAAGGGAATGGTGGTCACTCTAAATCCACTATGGTGATAAATCTCAATTATTAACTGTCGTTAATATTATTTTCAAGGATTGGTTTTTGTAAGGATTTTGTTTCTTTGGTTGGAGGGTTTCATCATGAGCTAACATCAGTTAGAGAATCACTGGAAAACTAACCAGGGAGTACTGGAAAACCGTTTTGGTCAGCCTAGTTTGGGACTTTTCAGAAGTACGCACTCACCGCCAGGGCTCGAACCCAGGACCTACTGGATACAAGGCGAGCTCGTAGGACGAAACAGCTGTCCATTACTGCTTCTCTAAATGATGTCAGTTCATGATGGAATCCTCCAATCAATGATTATTATTATTATTTTATATTTTATTCTACGCTTATTATTATTCTTGATTCATTTAAAACTATCTTTTGTCGATGCCCCTGTTTTAACTCGTTTTAATATCATTATTATTACCATTGCTATTATTATCAACATTATCATTCAGCTTACAATTCTTGACATATTCACTTCCTTTCTCTGATAACTAATTGTTTGTTTATTTATTTATTTTTTTGAATATGATCTGAAAAACATTCACACCTGTATTATTTCAATTGAATTTTAGATTTTCCCGTCGATTGATTGGATTGAAGTGCTCAGTCTAAGGTTGATATGTCGGCTTCTTGTGCAGATATTTCGACAATGTCTGGGCATCTAATTAGGATTTAATTTGTGGATGGTGACTGACAGTGAAATCCAGGATAACACGCATTTCGTCCTACTTGGGACTTGTCATCTGGCGCCGACATCTCAACCTGAGATCGAGCACTTCGGTTCAATCAATCGATGGGAAAATCTGAAATTCAATTAAATAATTATTAAAACCCGTCACACAAGAGCCAGGGTGGCTATCGTAACCCAAGTGGTCTAGTGGATAACGCTTTGGCGTTTGAAACTATGAGCACTGGGTTCGAGCCTTGGTGGGAGCATCATCACTCACGGAGAAATGCAGGTACATAATCCATCTGAAGAGTCCTGGATAGGACGAAACGCGCATCCTTAATTTCACTGCTAGTCACCATCTACCAATTAAATTTACACTTGTCGTTTTGTGTGATTAATTCAATGTTGTTCATTCGCTTATCAGTCTTACATTTCCCGTGAATGTAGGTTCGGCCCAGTTCAGTGTGTGTTTGTGTGTTTATGGATTCACTTACTTCTGTCGAGCTAGTTATGTCGTCAGCATAAAGCGTACATTTTCCTAATGTATCTCTAAATATTATCCAGTATGGTTATCTGGAGGACAATGTAAGAAAATTACCCTTGTTTGAGTCTGAAACACCTGGTTAACTAAGGCCAAGCAGCTCCACTTTAATAATCTTTTAAAATTACTTACAAGGCAAGTGAGATCGCTACGAGAATTGTTATTTTTAGGCACTTTTGTTTGGTTGAAGCACCAGCAATTAGGCAATATCAAAACAAAACTCTATGATTAAGTAAACATTTGTTCTAACATGGTCCTGTATTTTTATTAATTACTTCACTATTATCTCTCTGATTTAATTAAAACAATTAGTCCCTTTTATAAATTTGGATAACGTTATTAGAAGACGGAGATTATCTGAAAAATGTGATGTATTTGCGCCACACATTTCGAATAATTTGACCCCTCACATATTCACTTGTCAAGTCGGTATATATATGAAAAAATTAAAGGCAATTAAATTAAACAAAGTGAGAGAAAAAAAGGATTTAAGAATGATTACACAACGTTTGGTAATCCAATCAAACAAGGATTACCAAGGAAGGTTAAGAGTTATTATAAACTCTTTTTGAAAATACAGGGGGGAAGCCTAAGTTTATGAATAGCTATAGCCTCAGAGTATTTCAATAAGCCCCTTTGACCGTTATTATAGATGACCTTAAAGGCTAAGTTGACATCGATCGTATGGTTCATCTCGATCAGATGTTTAGTTATAGACGAAGTTGGTTGTCTGACACCTTCATCTATTGGCTTGTCACAATTCATCTGTTTTTCTAACCATTTTGGGATATGCTCTCCCACCCTCACATGCAGAGCGCGATTACTCCTCCCTATGTATGTGTGTCCACACACACACGAAAATTGGTAAATTGTATGGGATGTGATATAATCACTTGTGCACTTTTGAGGTTTGCAGTGGAGCATATTTTTAGCTTTTTCGATAATTACAAACTGGGCTGCATAATAGGCTCTACGGATGATCGAATTCAACCTTCGTCTCATAATCCTACTGTTAATTTTCCCGTTATATGGTAATTTGATGAAAACATTTTTCTTAGGGTCGGTATGGATTGTAGGTTTAGAGACTAACTGACTTCTACTCTTGTTTCAGAATTTTAAAGTATATTCGTTTTCAACAAGAGTATCCATCATTATTTTGTTTTCTTTGTCTATAACATCAGGTGGGCAAATACATTGAATCCTATCAAATAGATATTTCACCAAGCCTCTTTTATAATGTAATGAACAGAAACTATGAAAATTAAGGTATTGACCTGTCCAAGTGGGCTTTCTTTAAATAGGTCGTCCTACTGAACCACTATCTCTTCGACTCAGAAGTATGTCTAAAAATGCAAGCTGGTTACGACTTTCTTCCTCGCATGTAAGACTAATATGGTTCTGTACAGAGTGAAGTCTGTCTAATAGACTACTCGCATCTTCAAGATCGTCGCATATCAAAATGATATCATCTACATATCTCTTACAGAAGGGCAATTTTGAAATTAAATCAAGGGACAAGTTCCCAACATAAGACATGTAAACATCCTCTAAAAAAGGTCCTAATGGACTCCCCATAGCAACGCCATCCACTTGTCGAAAATGTTCACCTTCAAACATGAAATGGGCGTTGTCAGTACATAATAGTAGTAAATCTTTCAAATAAGTTAAAGGAAAAGGGAATGAAAAACAACTAGAAGATATATAGTCACAAAGAATATCAACAGTCTTAACCAATGGTACATTAGTAAACAAGGAATTAACATCAAATGAATACATTTTCCTATCTTTTATGTTCATATGTACACGACAGTTAACAACTTCAAATGTATCTTTCAAAGTAAACTTACATAATTCATTCCGTACTGGACTTAAAATATCAGCTAACCATTTTGCTAATTTATGTGTAGGAGAGTGACACATTGATAGAAGTGGACGTAATGGATTATCAACCTTACGAATTTTGGGTAATCCATAGAGGTTTGGAAAGTCAGATCCCATGAGTTTCAAGAAATTAAACTCCTCTTTATCGATAACATCCATGCCACGAAGTTTCACTGAGTGAGAAGTTACTTTTTCTTCCAATTTTCTGATATCGTCATGAGGAATATCGGCTATGAATTTGCTTTTGTCATTAAGGATTGATAACATTTTTGTTTTGTAATCGCTTTTGTCTATTACAACTACACCAGATCCTTTGTCAGGTTACAAAATAACTAAATCGAATCTATTACGTAATTCCCTTAGGGCTTTAAAATGAGTTGATGTTAAAATGCTTCCTTGATTCCGACTTGAATTACGGAATGGGTGTGCTACATCTACAAACTTAACTTTCCAAACGTTGTGTTAATCATTCTTAAATCCTTTTTTGTCACTTTGCTTATTTTAACTTTTTCATATATATCGACTTGACAAGTAAATGTGTGAGGGATCAGACTGTTTGAAATGTATAGCGCAAATACATCACATTTTTCAGATAATCTCCATTCTCTGATATATCCCTTTTCTACATTTTAAGCAGTTTTTACCTTCAAGTGGACACTGAACTACTTAGCTTCTCATTTAATGACAGCTTTCACCCTTACTTTTATTATACTATCGACTATTACATTATTCCTTTCTGTCTTTAGAAACCACTTCCAAGTAGTTATGTCAGTTATGTCATGCACACCCCGTCTTACTACTCGGCTGTAGACTGCTGTATGTTTTCGGTTGCACAGCTTTTGAAGAAGATGACTTCGTCAACAAAGTAAGTTTTCTTCGTTGAATTGTCTTTGATTCAGTACAGTAATCGTGTGGAGAAAAGCAACGTTGAAGGAAAGAAATAACAGTCATCAATCAAACAAAAGTAAGACAAAATTACCTTCACATATTCTTCCTGGACGCCATGGTTGTTGATTAAATAATGGACAACACTTTTCACAATTATTTCCACATGTATTATGCTGACAATCACAGACAGCTCGAGGTACACCCTAAATTGAAAATATATACATATATATGCGCATTGTAGAAATAGATTTCAACTTGGCAGACTTATCAGTCTTTATCATATAAATTTGTATTAATAGTTTCAAACAGAATTCTACGAATTTAGAAATTTTATTTTTTTTATTTTTGATTTACAGCTTGATTCCACACTGTATTTTGGTACAAGTATGGAATTTTCAGCATGGATATCGGTAGCCCAAATTTTGCAGGCCGACCATAGATATCAAGGTGTGCGCCGGCGTGGGCTCGAACCCCGGACCATGTGCATGGTCGGCGAGAGTCCTAACCACTGTGCCACCGACGCACAGTGTGTGAGTAAACATTTTAGAAGTAGTCACCATTCAGAAGTTGACTAGTTCAGAAAGTTTGGAAGCAACAGAATCGAAACAGCACAGGTTATTATAATATTATTACCATTCCCTTGGGTGTCGAGTGAAAAGTAAGGCTTTAGTAGCACTTATCCGATTCGTTCTACTCTCTCTAGTTCTCTTCAGCCGGCCACACGATTGCCCATAAGCTTCCATCGCCTCCCAGGACGATCTCCTCATTGTCACTCTCAGATGGGTTAGGTTAACCTAATAAAGGTGACATTAGGGTTGGTTCGAGTTAGATTACAGTTAGTTTAGGGATGTACTCTACTCACCTTAGGGTTAGGTTGAGGAAAGATTAGGGTTATTGTTAGGGTAGGGTTAGAAGACCTAAATAATTACATGCATAGAATGCGGTTAAATTACTCTGTTGATATAAGAATAGAACTTGTACACTGTGGCAGTAGGGTATAATTCCATTGAGAATGGTTACCCCCACAACTCTTCACAGATTAACACATAAAGCCCAAAACTGGCAAACCATACCCTATATCTTTTAACCGAAGAAGATGCTACACATTAGTGTGGTGTTCAGAGGTGACCTTCTTGTCAATACCCTAAAATAGTGAATATTTAAATCCCCGAAAAGAACATCTTTTCTTGCCACATTACGATTAGTATTCCCTTGCCGCCCATTGTTCCTGAACAACTCTAAAGACGAACCATCGCATTTGACCACTTCTATATGTATGTGCCAATTCACTTGCTGATGTGTATAGGTCGTTCGATGGGTGTTTTATCTAAAAGAGTCAAAGGACATTTTCCCGCTTGGCTGCTGAATGGTGACAGTGTCCGGATGGGTGCTTTTCGTGGATGAAAAGGATAAAACAAATAGTTGAGGGAAGAGGCTCATCAAAGATAGTCGTTTGGGAGACAATATAGAAAGGGGATAGAGATTGGAACTGCACAGGTATTATTCAGAATTTGTTGACCTGATTCTCTGGATTCAGGGCTAGGATCTTTTAGTATTGATGGCTATGCCTTTAGCTACCGACAGAAGACGTACTTCAGCTCCTCTTGATAACGAATTATATATATATATATGTACATGTTGGTTACAGGGTTTCATTATGAACTGACATCTGTTAGAGAACTATTAAAAAACCAGCTGGGAGTACTGGACAGCTGTTTCATCAGCCTAGTTCAGGACTCTTCAGCAGTAGGGGGTTCGAACCCAGAAACTTCTGGTTGCAGGGCGCACTCGTAGCCCGATAGGCCACTGGGATCCTACCCAATGGCCATCCCATGAATTCTAACTTCTGTCAGTTCATGATATAGCGCGACCACTAGCCAATGTAATCTATGGCGAGTATCTGTTCTCACATCCAGATTTTTCCAATGATTCTCCAACCGACGTCGGCTGATGCTGAAATCCTGTAAGCGATCAAATCAAATCCCTGCAGACCAACACTTATGTACAGCTTAAATCTAAAGAATAAAATACATAAGACATTACACAGAACTATTAAGTACGTCAATGCGAACATAATCGTTGGATAACTTACATCAATGACTTTCTGTTCACACCGGCTAGCATGGCTATTGCACACACATTTTCCGCCAACTTTAATTGTTCGAATTGAATAATAATACTAAAACAAAATAAAAATTTATGCAAACAAAGATAATTAGCGTGAATCTCATTGTAGTTCAGTTTATTTATTTGATTAAAGATGCCCATTAAAAATTTTAAAAGACTGATTATAAGTGAGTAAAGCATCATCGGGTTCTACAATTATATGTCCATATCATCAAGGAATTATTGTTTTAAATAACATAGAATCAATAATATCGTGTCAGGGGAAATATGCACAGGTATGGCTAAATGCAGATGCGGTCAAGATCACTAACAATCCGACAGTAGACCACTTGATTCAAACAGACCATAAAGTTAGCGTTAAACAATCTTTTCCTGTGATGTGTCAGGTACCAAATAAGTAGCCAAAAACCTCTAGGTACAAAATACCCCAACCAGTATCACAATCTATTTAAAATGGCCAGAGCTGTGCGTATAAAGGAAATAAGTCCAGTCTCTGTTACTACTGTGGGCTGCTGTCGAATCTAAAAATTCATCATTTCTGTATTATTTTCTCATTTCACCTGATATTGAGTTAGTTTGGTGTTATAGGGATGCATATTATCACCTGTAGATGCTTTTGAATTGTGTTCAATCCTTATTATTGATCCAGTCTTCTGTAGAACATTATTGTTGTTATTAATAATAATTATTTAATTATCACGGTCATATATCTGTAGAACCTGAAGACGAATTTGTCAGTCTTTTGGTTAATTCATTTTGCTTACTTATAAGTAGTACAGTGATAAACGCAAAAATAATTACCTAAAATCCTCCGTAAAAACGATTGACAGTAGTAACGTGATTTTCAGAGACAGAGAGAGACTAAATATGGTCACTCTCATAACTCATTTTACTATGCAGGCTGGCTAATAATTATCGAAAATATTAAGTATTCCAATGGTAGAATGTAGAACAAAACACTGAAGGGAACAATACTGTTTTCAATTAGATCTCATCAGATTGAAAGACACTACCAAATAGATATGATAGAGAAGATTTGTAGCTCAGGTGGATGATTTTGATGTGGTTTTGTTCTCTGAGCTGGATGGTTAGTTTGCGAAGCTTTCATCACCTTACTGGGTGACATCTTCAGCGCATACTTCAATTTGAAGTGAGCTTTTAGATTTCTCCACGAGTTTATTAATCATCTCTCCTGGTGACCTTGGACGTGATTGGTTGTTTGTGTGTGTTTTCACACCTTCTAGGTTACTTGTATTGGAACCGGTTGTTTCTTTGACCTGAACTTTGACCCTTTGTGTGTGAAGTTTCTTTCTTATTGGTTGATAACTTTTGTCTATCTCGATGTGTCTATTGATTGATGATTCACTGGAATGCCAAGCTTCTAAAAATTCTCTAGCATTCTTGTTATTTCCTTTGTCTAATATTTGAACGTTGTCCCAGTCGAATTGATGTCCGTAGTTGTCTGTGTGTAGTGAAATGAGGGAGTGGATATCATGTCTTTTGACGGCTAGCTTATGTTCGTGGATACGAAGACGAAGGGGACGTCCACTTTGGCCGATGTAGTGTTTTTCGCAGTTGTTACAGTTTATTTTGTAGATGATGTTGGTTTTGTCTTCTTTCTCTGTTGAGTCTTTTGGTTGACATAGAATTGAGTGCATCGACTTTGTTGGTTTGTGTACGACGTTAATTCCTAAAGGTTTGAAGAGTCTTGTAGTGATTTCTGAGATATCTTTTATATATGGTAAGGCAATTTTCTTTGTGCTTTCCTTGGTGGTTTTTGCTTTGGTAGGTCGGCTTGAGGGTATATGTCTCTTGATGAAATTCCGTGGATATCCATTCCTTTGGAAGACGTCCATGAGATACTTTTCTTCAATTTTCCTTAAGGTGGGAGTGCTGCAGGAATTGCATACAAACACTATTCAAGAGAGCAAGGACTCACTGCAGCACTAACACCTTAGGGAAAATTGAAGAAAAATATTTTATGGACGTCTTTCAAAGGAATGGATGGATATCCACGGAATTTCATCAAGAGACATATACCCTCAAGCCGACCTACCAAAGCAAAAACCACCAAGGAAAGCACAAAGAAAATTGCCTTACCATATATAAAAGATATCTCAGAAATCACTACAAGACTCTTCAAACCTTTAGGAATTAACGTCGTACACAAACCAACAAAGTCGATGCACTCAATTCTATGTCAACCAAAAGACTCAACAGAGAAAGAAGACAAAACCAACATCATCTACAAAATAAACTGTAACAACTGCGAAAAACACTACATCGGCCAAAGTGGACGTCCCCTTCGTCTTCGTATCCACGAACATAAGCTAGCCGTCAAAAGACATGATATCCACTCCCTCATTTCACTACACACAGACAACTACGGACATCAATTCGACTGGGACAACGTTCAAATATTAGACAAAGGAAATAACAAGAATGCTAGAGAATTTTTAGAAGCTTGGCATTCCAGTGAATCATCAATCAATAGACACATCGAGATAGACAAAAGTTATCAACCAATAAGAAAGAAACTTCACACACAAAGGGTCAAAGTTCAGGTCAAAGAAACAACCGGTTCCAATACAAGTAACCTAGAAGGTGTGAAAACACACACAAACAACCAATCACGTCCAAGGTCACCAGGAGAGATGATTAATAAACTCGTGGAGAAATCTAAAAGCTCACTTCAAATTGAAGTATGCGCTGAAGATGTCACCCAGTAAGGTGATGAAAGCTTCGCAAACTAACCATCCAGCTCAGAGAACAAAACCACATCAAAAACATTACCAAATAATTAGATATGTATTATCGTCATGTCACTGATACATTTATCTTAATTAGTGGGAATGAAAAGAGAGACTAATTGTTGATGAAAGCAAGTAACATCCACTCTTTGCTTACTTTTACCTGTGAAAAGAAGAAGGATAATAAACTGCATTTTCTGGATGTCTTGTTATGTAGGTGAAAAGATGGGTCACTTGGGAGAAGCGTGTATAGAAAAAGCACATTCACAGTCAGTACACACACTTCCTTAGTTACTTGCCCATTAAATATAAAAGAAATGTCGTTAGTTGTCTTACGATCTGATCAAGAAACATATATACGGATGACTACTTACAAAAGGAATTTGAATATATTCCCGATTCGTTGACGCAGATGAGCTATCCGATTAGTTTCATAAAGAAACGTAAGAAAACATCAGAGAGAAAACCTGAGACTATGACTGCATGTATTATTTATTAAGTTACAATTTAATGGTGACTATTCAAATGAGACTTTACTTCAAAGACTTTCCAGGAGTATACGAAGAACGTTTTACACAGCACACCTATGTTTGTCATTCTCTAGCCGACGAATGATTGGAACGCAAACGAAGGATAAGCTAGATAGTTGTGCAACATCTAAATGCATTTATCACTTCAACCGCACCTTCAGTGACAGTTATGTTGGGAGTACTACTAGACAGCCTAGCCAATGTGTTAGTGAACACCTACCTTCATGGTTTGGCAAAGGAGAGACAAAAACAATCCGTAGCTCAATTTTGTCACATTTAGTTGATAGTGGTCATGTAGTAGAGGGAACAAGAGCTTTCAAGGTAATTTATCGTATCCTAGCGAATCTTTGCAATAGACTTCGTATTCGACGATAGACATTCGAACTATGAAGCTCAAACTATGCATTCAAAAGAAGTTCGTACAGCTATTATCCCTCCCTTGGCTTATTAATACATGATGACTTCTCCACCAACCTTAACTTATATTTTCAACCCCTTTCTTATCATCCCCTAATCTTATCTTCATTAAAAAGGTGTTTCATTTACTTCCCTTACAAACTAGCATCACTTAATCGGTTCATTTGTTTGTACAAGCCTTTATCGACTACTTCCACCTGAACACATTTGTTTGTTTAATCATGCTGTTTTTCATTATTCGTATTATCACAGATTGCCTCCCTTTTTCATCCTTATTATTGATAAAACCAATATTATTATTACTATTATCATTACTGCTATTATGGCTATTTGCACAATTTATATTCACTATCGTATTATCCTATAGACAAAACACCTTGATTGGTTTATATTTGAATTTTTACTTGTAAACTTATATATATTAAAGTTAAGCCTGATGAGATCTAATTGAAAGCACAATATGGCTCGCTTAAATGTGTTGTTCTAAATTACCAAAAAACCGAAAAAACACATGCTTTACCACAAGCTTCGACAGTGAACGAGTGATTGTTATATCACACACCAATTTACATATGTGTGTATGTGTGTTTGGGCATGTGTAGCCACACATACATATGGAGGAAAAGTAGTGCTTTGTACGTGACAGTATCAGAACATATATCCGGATGATTAGAAAAACGAATAAACAATGAAGCTTTGATTAACATATGTGGCAGACCACCAACTTCGTCTACAGCAAAACACTTTTTATTACATTATTATTATTATTATCGTTCCCTTGAATTCTAAGTGGAATATAGAGATTCCGTAGCATATCTCTACTTTCTTCTATTCCCTGAGGTCCTTTTCAGCTGGCTGCGTGATTGCCCATAGACATACATCTCCTCTCCCCCAAATGGCCTCCTCCATGTCAGCCTCGGATGTTCTACTCCTCATTTCCCATTCAGGTTCCACTGGAGCCATAGCCTGTCACGTGATTTCATTCGACTGTCTAATCCACCTACATTTGCTTCGACATATTCTTTATGTGATAGATTCTTCATTGGTTCATTACCCAGAGGAGTTCCTTGATGCTAATTCTTTCTGGCCATTTGCTCCTCAATATGGAGAGAAGGCAACTGCTCGTAAAGTCCACATTTGCCCGTTTTTTAAATGCTTGTCGTGACTCGCCTACCAAGTTTCAGACCCATATCTAAGAAATCACTGAGTTAACATTCGTGTTGAATATCCTAATTTTGTTGCTGATACTGAGTCGATCGAGTAAATTTTCAAACTGAATTCAGAGTGATGAAGGTCTGCTTTGCCTTCCCGGTGTTGACTGGTTTTGACATCGTCATCCATACTGTCTTTCTGTA